AAACGTGGATATTAGGGCCATTGATATACCTTGTGTATTTGGAAGACAAGCATTGTAGCCATTTCCAGCAACAGCATATAATGGAAGTCCTTTTGAAGACAATAAAAGTTTAGTAATTAAGATGTTTTGCACATGCATTTCACCTACTCTTAGCTTTAAAACTTACCCCATGTCACTCATCCCGGCAGAGGAGTGACACGAATATTTACACGGTGCATATATTACACACCAATCTTGACTAGAAGCTTTCGTGAAGGCAGGATTTCACTTAGGTTTTCGGTAAAGTCACATAGACACATTTCTAAATTTGGTTAAGTTTGATATCAAAGCTTCCTTGGTCACATTTCTTCTTTCACCAAAGCCCTCTTTGAATTCTATCCCAACCCTCTCTCGCCCCCCCCTCTATACAATTGCCTCGTTAGAGGCATGTTTCTTTCACCCGAAGACGAATGCTTGTTGTTGCGATCGAAACATCGTGATCTATCATGTCTTTATTTTCCCATCCAAGTGACTTTACCGAAAGACACTCTGTACATTAAACGCCGTTCGGTTTTGTTTTTAATGGGTCAACTTGCAACCATTATCTAGCCACACACGTGGTGTGAGATTCTGGTTAGTTAATCTGGCCAGCCCCTAACGTAGCGGGTCTCTTCTTACAAGTCAATGCATCACATTGGGCACTGCTACATGCAGTTATATTGACCATTTGGTATTTTACGAATACATTGTAAGTGAAGCTAGTCTAAACAATACAGTACAAGGTCACTAATTTCAGTAGAGTATTCCGGTCTAGGTCTGGTGACAAATCACAGCCTGTATTACATGGACCATGGCCTTGAAAGGATCATTGCATTATAGAGTTAATATGGTAGCGTTTAAATTAGGTTTGGACCATTACAATGCCACAATTACATCACAAAGTACTGTACACCGTATAGTCAGCATCACGAAATTCTGTGGTACAATAACTAACACCAGCGCCGATAATCATTATTATAACTCGTCATAATTCATTACAGCTCATGAATAAAACATCCGAGCAGGCTTAAATGCATGACCACAGCCGCAATGGTTGTTACACCATCAACCACATCGCAGTTACAGCAGTAATGGATCATCTAACGTATTCATCACCATGCGCTGTTGTACAGATTGCATGTCAGTATTAATTGTGTGCCGTAGTGTTATAAACACAATGGGTGCGATTATTGTTCGCGATTGCATTACATGCAGGCACTGTACACCGCACACGTGGCGTTTCAAGGACACACAAACCACGTGCGTGTACAGTGCACTGTACACAACGCAGCATGTATCACACCAATACTCACAAAACACAAACGTACATACAGAACACCCATTCAGTATACGCCTCAAAGGGTATATTCACAACTTAACTACACCAACCAGTACACGTACAAAGATGCAGTCTTTCTTCATTCAAGCAAACACTCAAGGACACAGACCTCATTCAGTGTACATCGGCACTTAATCCACTCTCAGTAAACACCCGGCAACTAAATCACCCTCACCACAGAACAAAGGTAAAGATCCCCCGTGTAGCCTGCAAAAGTGGCGGGGCAAGGGGCCGTTAGAGAGCAGCCAACATCAACTACACCCGGACGTCTTTGTCTTCCCGGTGTTGAAGACAAAGGCGGCCGGTTTTTATCGTATAATAAACAATACTACACAGCAAGAACAGAAGTTAAAGTCGCACGCACTCGTGGCTGCGAAATTATAATTAACATTAATTTGACCCTGAGAATCCCACTAAGACTGCTTGTCCACACGTGGTTCACATTGGGGCAAAGCACTGCAGCTTGGAACAGTTAGCGAGCACCTATTAGTTCAAGTTTATATATATTAGGTATATCCCTGCGAGCCATTCGGCTCTTGAATCGGGTGCAACCGCAAAACTAAAACATGAACAAGAAAACATCTTAAAAGTGACTGTGCAAACAGAAAATCCAAGAAAAGACCGCAAAATATTGCAGAAAAAGCCACCGTACACCAAGACTGCAAAAATCCCAGTGGGATGCAAGTCAAACAACAACCACAAGACAACTTAGATTAAGGCCATCAGTCTAACTCTGTACAGACTGTACTACAGGCGCGGCTGTGTAAAACGGATGGCCGAACACCGCCTTTGTCTCTCCCCATGTGCCAATGTTTATTACACAACACCCTGGGCAGGTGAGTGTCAATTAAAGAGTAAAGTTGATCTGGGGAGAAGAGTTTGGGGTTAAATGACCGGTCCCCAGATATAGCTCTCGTCACTGCTGGTCGTGGCCGAGACGATTTGAACGCGGGTGTGCTAACCACTGCGTCACCGCTCCCCCAGTGCGCCAACCACCGCGCCACCGCTCCCCACGACACACTTTGTACAGATACGCAGACTGTATATACAGTACTCAAATGTCAGTATACGAATTAAGATTGTTACACATTCCAATGCAACGTACGCTAAAGGCACATTATATAAACACAAGTGTATACACAAACACACGCAAATGAATGACAACTACAAAGACTCCCCAGATAGCCTGTAACACTGCCGAGGCAAGTGCAGAGGGCACAGCATCGGCCGCCTTTGTGCGTGTAAAACGAAGACTGGGGAGACCCACTTGCCATACCAGGTCAATCATCTGGGGAGGCAGAGTGCAACCTACGAGGAGGGTTCCAAGAACCGGTTCACGTGCTCGAACCGGTTAGTAGCGCAGTGCGCCGGCCACTGCGCCACCGCTCCCCAGCACCACGTGGTTAACGCGAGCTGCAAGGATGCACCATTCAATAGGATAGTACGACACGTGTACTTACACACAACATCGTAAGTTCACAGATTGTGGTCGTCCTTCACGCACTCCGACGAGCAAGGTTGGCTACGTGCGGTGCGAAAGAATTTCACACGTTCAACGCCACCGATTGAAAAACACAACACGGCCCTTTAAACCCCACACCAAGCACATGGTGGACTTGCAATTACAACTCTGCACGGATTTGGACACCAACACCATCACACCCCATCTCTCCACCTTACAGCTTATTCGTGTGCTTGGCCACCCTACCCTGAGACATGTTGTACTGCACATACAAGTTTCTCGCCTCCCGACAGAATACCGCAGAGAAAACTACCAACACACACCACCCACCTACCTTTAAACCCCACAAAATTACCAGCAAATACCCCCCGCCAATACACCACCTACCTTTAAACCCCACAAAATTACCAGCAAATACCCCCCGCCAATACACCACCTACCTTTTTAAACCCCACAAAATTACCAGCAAATACCCCCCCGCCAATACACCACCTACCTTTAAACCCACAAAATTACCAGCAAATACCCCCCCGCCAATACACCACCTACCTTTAAACCCCACAAAATTACCAGCAAATACCCCCCCCGCCAATACACCACCTACCTTTAAACCCACAAAATTACCAGCAAATACCCCCGCCAATACACCACCTACCTTTAAACCCCACAAATTACCAGCAAATACCCCCCGCCAATACCCACCTACCTTTAAACCCCACAAAATTACCAGCAAATACCCCCCGCCAATACACCACCTACCTTTTAAACCCCACAAAATTACCAGCAAATACCCCCCCCCAATACACCACCTACCTTTAAACCCCACAAAATTACCAGCAAATACCCCCCCGCCAATACACCACCTACCTTTAAACCCCACAAATTACCAGCAAATACCCCCCCCAATACACCACCTACCTTTAAACCCCACAAAATTACCAGCAAATTACCCCCGCCAATACACACCTACCTTAACCCCACAAATTACCAGCAATACCCCCCCGCCAATACACCACCTACCTTTAAACCCCACAAAATTACCAGCAAATACCCCCCCGCCAATACACCACCTACCTTTAAACCCACAAAATTACCAGCAAATACCCCCGCCAATACACCACCTACCTTTTTAAACCCCACAAAATTACCAGCAAATACCCCCCCCACCTTTAAACCCCACAAAACTACCAATAAATGCCCCCCCCCCCCATACACCACCCACCAGCAAACGCGACCTTAGGTCACCACCTACCCAGTCACCTTCATGCCGGTAGGCGCAGTTCCGCATCTGCGTGTCTCCAGCACCACAGTCACTACCCCACACGTCTAGCTGCCTTCACTACCGATCTACCCTGCCATAGCAAGCCCAACACCAGCAATGCTGCATCTGCCTAACAAACAACGAAGACTAATACCCCCCCCCCCCCCACACACACACGTGTATCTTTAACAGGCTGTAGGGGCACAAGTGCTGTTAGAGAGCACCACGCCCGGCCGCCTTCGTCTCCCTAGGAGATGAACACCAATTTGAGGCCGAGTCGACCTAGGGAAGGAGAGGCCCAGAACCGGTTTCGATAATCGCCACTGCCGGTGGTGGGGGGGGGGGTCAGGGCGCAACCCGCAACCCACCACGGCCCCCCACACACACACACACCAGTGACCTACAAACACCACACATCCCCCCCCCCCCACGACCTATCAACACCGCACACTACCTAACACCACCCCCCCCCCGCACCAATACCCTACACACACCACACTAATCACCTACTAACACCACACACACTACCTACTATCACCACACCAAGCGACACATACCCATCACCTACAAACACCGCACCCCCCCCCCGCACACACTGCACCAATCACCTACCAACACCCCCCACACCAACTACCAACACAACACCAAGCGACACATACCCAAGCACCTACTGACACCCCCCCACACCAAATCACCTACCAACACCACACACACACACACAGAACCAATAACCTACCAACACCACACACACACACTACCCCCCCCCCCACCCCTGCACACACAGAACCAATAACCCCTACCACCCACCCTACACACACAGAACCAATAACCTACTAACACCATACACACACCAGTCACCTACTAACACCCCACCGTGGCTCACCCCGTTGTGTGTGTGGTGTGTGTTGCGAGGCACTCACCTGGCGCTGCGGCTGCCGAGGGGAGCAGCCCCGGCAAGGCCACGGCCATCATCATCAGCATCATCATCAGCAGCCGCCGGGACGAAGCCGTGAACACAACAACGACACGGGCGGCAGTGACAGGCGAACATTGCCGGGCATCCCGAGTAGACGAAGCATGCTTCTCCATGTAGCGGGGAGAGATGGGGGGGGGGGGTGTGTGAAAGGCTTCCAAATCGGTATTAACAACAACAGCAGCAAGACCCCACAGCCGCACACCCGGCGTGGTCAACCCCCACGTGTTCCGGCCAGTAATGCTGGAGAGACAGCCGTGACAAATCGCTCAAGCCGGAGGACGGAATCAATGAACCACGATGAATTGGTGGTGGTGGTGTTGTTGTTGTTGTCTCCAAGCCTTGCTACTAGAACACGAGCGGTGGGGGGCAAGAAGCGGCAGCGTGCTTGCTGCTTGCCGCCTGCTGCTGTCTTCTTCGTCGTAGCAATGAGCTGCTCCGGCAGCCCTCGGGCTCTCTCCGGCTTGACGTCACGAGGGGGGTGTGTGCGGAACGCTGCCCTGCACGTGCTCATGGAAGTCGTATTTATACTCAGTGGGAGCCAATTAATCTACGAGCTTTCACTCTGTGTGTGTGTGTGTCAGGCACGCGCGTGTACGCCGTACAGCGTGACAGCCGTCCCACTCCAACACCCGGTGAATTTCATGATTGTGGATAATTGTCATCGTAACGTTTATCAGAGTGAACTCGAAGTTCGATAAGCGAAACCAGACACCCCCCATCCCATCCACTCCCCCATCCCATCCACCCCCATCCATCCACCCCCATCCCATCCACCCCCATCCATCCACCCCCACCCCATCCACCCCCATCCATCCACCCCCATCCCATCCACCCCCATCCATCCACCCCCCACCCCATCCACCCCCATCCATCCACCCCCATCCACCCCCATCCATCCACCCCCATCCCATCCACCCCCATCCCATCCACCCCCATCCCATCCACCCCCATCCATCCACCCCCATCCCATCCACCCCCGTCCCATCCACCCCCGTCCCATCCACTCCCACCCCATCCACCCCCACCCCATCCACCCCCGTCCCATCCACCCCCAGTCCCATCCACCCCCGTCCCATCCACCCCCACCCCATCCACCCCCATCCATCCACCCCCATCCCATCCACCCCCATCCATCCACCCCCATCCCATCCACCCCCATCCATCCATCCACCCTCCATCCCATCCACCCCCATCCACCCCATCCCATCCACCCCCCATCCATCCACCCCCATCCATCCACCCCCATCCCATCCACCCCCATCCATCCACCCCCATCCCATCCGCCCCCATCCCATCCACCCCCACCCCATCCACCCCATCCATCCACCCCCATCCACCCCCATCCATCCACCCCCATCCCATCCACCCCCACCCCATCCACCCCCATCCACCCACCCTCATCCCATCCACCTCCCATCCCATTCACCCCCCCCCATCCCATCCACCCCCATCCCATCCACCCCCATCCATCCACCCCCATCCCATCCACCTCCCATCCCATCCACCCCCATCCCATCCACCTCCCATCCCATCCACCCTCATCCCATCCACCCTCATCCCATCCACCCTCATCCCATCCACCTCCCATCCCATCCACCCCCATCCCATCCACCTCCCATCCCATCCACCCTCATCCCATCCACCCCCATCCCATCCACCTCCCATCCACCCCCCCATCCCATCCACCCCCATCCCATCCACCCCCATCCACCCCCCCATCCCATCCACCTCCCACCCCATCCACCCCCATCCCATCCACCCCCATCCCATCCACCTCTCATCCACCCCCCCATCCCATCCACCCCCATCCCATCCACCTCCCATCCACCCCCCCCATCCCATCCACCCCCATCCCATCCACCTCCATCCCATCCACCCCCATCCCATCCACCTCCATCCCATCCACCTCCCATCCACCCCCCCATCCCATCCACCCCCATCCCATCCACCCCCATCCCATCCACCTACCATCCCATTCACCCCCCCATCCCATCCACCCCCATCCCATCCACCCCCATCCCATCCACCCCCACCCCATCCACCCCCATCCATCCACCCCCATCCCATCCACCCCCATCCATCCACCCCCATCCCATCCACCTCCCATCCCATCCACCCCCATCCCATCCACCTCCCATCCCATCCACCCTCATCCCATCCACCCCCATCCCATCCACCTCCCATCTACCCCCCCATCCCATCCACCCCCATCCCATCCACCCCCATCCCATCCACCCCCATCCCATCCACCCCCCATCCCATCCACCTCCCATCCCATCCACCCCCATCCCATCCACCCCCATCCCATCCACCTCTCATCCACCCCCCCCATCCCATCCACCCCCATCCCATCCACCTCCCATCCACCCCCCCATCCCATCCACCCCCATCCCATCCACCTCCATCCCATCCACCCCCATCCCATCCACCTCCATCCCATCCACCTCCCATCCACCCCCCATCCCATCCACCCCCCCATCCATCCACCCCCATCCCATCCACCCCCATCCCATCCACCTCCATCTCATCCACCTCCCATCCACCCCCCCCATCCCATCCACCTCCATCCCATCCACCCCATCCCATCCACCTCCATCCCATCCACCTCCCATCCACCCCCATCCCATCCACCCCCCCATCCCATCCACCCCCATCCCATCCGCCCTCCATCCCATCCACCCCCATCCCATCCGCCCCCCACCCAGGCGACGTGAGACCAGGTAGCACCACGTGTTCCAGGGCTCACCACGTGTCTGGGCTCACCACGTGCGCCGCTCTTCATGCACGCGCCAAATCGTGTTTGTTGCCGCGCGCTTTCAAGCGAGCAATTAGCCAGACGTCACCAAAACATGCACACACTCACTCGGGAGAGGCAGACTCGAGGCCATCAGTGAGCCATCGACCGACGTTTGTAGCGGATAAGAAAATTATAAATGCGTGATCCATTTAGAGATACCCCACTAAAATACACGGAGATAAATGTTTATACGGCAGTACAAAGTAAAATGTATTGATTTGTTTCAAAGCCTCTAACACAGCAACACTTTGGGCCAACGTTAGACAAATGGTTTCTACCACATGGCAACGTTGGCTCAACGTTGGGCATGTTTACTGGGATGTCTTTCACCGATCTCAATGCACCTTAAACGCATCTTTTAAAAATTATCCAATGACCTGTTTGAGACGAAATTAAGCGCGTACAATAATTGTAAATCAGTCGCGGAGGGGAAGGGGAGGCTCTGTGAACCAATCACTATAATTGGAGGACTCGGAATGCACCGTGAAAGCGCCTCTAACATTGCACACAATTAGCCCAAAGAGGCTCTTTAACGCGAATTAGTTCACACGCCTGATCAGCGCACACGTTTCCAATTATATATCACGACGGATACAATTAAGTAGTACAGTACAGTGATTACATGACGTTATTGATCGTTACATATGAAGCCATTGGAGTAGTTGTAACGATTTCACTTGCAATATTAGCAATAACTAGATTTTTTGCCCAAGGACGGGTGTATATTGAAGTAAATCTGAAAAATGTAATAGAAAAATTGTTCAGCTCATGCTGATTAATGATGGGGGGAGGGGGTTGCCCCATGTGGAGTGACGTCACCCGCTAATGGTTATTGGGGAGGGGTGCGGCATGTGGAGTGACGTCACCCGCTAATGGTTATTGGGGAGGGGTGCGGCATGTGGAGTGACGTCATCCGCTCATGGTTATTGGGGAGGGGTGCGGCATGTGGAGTGACGTCACCCGCTCATAATTATTAATGAGGGGGGGGGGGCTCTCATGTGGAGTGACGTCACGCGCGGGACACACATACTTGGCTTATTATATTAGTAATGTAATTTAAAATCCGTGTCAAGACGCTGCTCGATGGATACCTCCGCAACCACGTGGCCCTGTTTGTCACGGAGATTGACTATACTTCACCACGCCAGTCAGTGCGGGTTTCTGAAGAAATTTGAGTTATACAGTTACTGAAATGACTAATGATAGCGTAACGTTTCAACTAAAATTGTAACGTCAAAACAATATTACCACGTCACTGTCATCATTTTAATAGAGTACAGTATAGCAGTGTCTTACTCGTAATGTTCCTTTACATTTTAGAACTTTTACTTATTCGTACGTCAAAGAGCATTGTTTCATTTACGTGGAGGGACATATAATGGTACAGGTTTGCAATATTAATTGTCTTCTTATTTAGCTTGTTACATTACGATAGATTTGATTTTGAATTTGTGGTCGGTTGGAGACAAAACAAATCGTACAAATTTGACAGCAACCCACTTACTGTAAAATATTAACATATTCGTCAATAACACGGTGAATTTGAAGGGAAAATATATATAATAGGCGACGTTTCGGGAAATGACCCTTCATTGATGTGCTAGAAACAATTAGTCTCTGATCTCCAGTTGTCTGGGCGAAAAGTGGACTAAGTTTTGTCTAATCCCGGGCAGTTGACTTAAAACATTTTTTATAAACAAAAACTACGACGAAGGGCCATTCCCCGAAACGTCGACTGCTGAAATGTTTTACTTTTGAGGCCAGTGGTATTGAGAAATGTGTGGAGTTTTTATTAAATCCTGACTTAAAGCTTTCGTGACTGCAGGAATTCATATTCTTTGGAGTTTTCGGTAAATTCACGTAGATAGGTTCAAGGAAAATAACAAAAAACTACGACGTTTCGATCGCTTCCTGAAGACGAACGCTTGTGTTGCGATCGAAACGTCGTAGTTTTTGTTGTTATTTTCTTTGAACCTATCTACGTGACTTTACTGAAAGACCCAAAGAATTTTTTTTTATTAATTGTGCTTATACACCTTTTCCCCAATTTTCGAAGGTCTCTCGCGATATACCAGTTTTTAAATAAACATTCAACCAAACAATTGTATTGTTCAGAAGCGATCTGGCCACAAAGTTAGCTTACCATGTGCAAATGTATATCGGTCAAATACTCGAAACGCGTGATGTCGTTTCCAAATGTGGAGGGAAAAAATTAACCCGTAAAAACAAAGTTTTTCACTATAAATCCTTTATATGCGTGGCGGCTAGAGTCCTCTCGTCCTCTGGCTTGAGATGGCTGCCACCTATGGGTCAGATGATTGCCTGCCACCATTAAGCAATTGGTAATTAAATATAATTAATTTTTTCCTAAAAAGTGTAAATTTTGGAAAAAAAATTTCACGAAAATAAATTGTCACGCACAACGAGTCTGTGTGCAAAATGTCAGCTCGATTGGATCACGGGAAGTGGGTTAAAAAACGACCGAAAGATTTGCACGGTCGTAAGCGCGCAAGCAAGCAAGTGAACTTAATATTAAGGATTTAAAAAAACCGGAGGACCCGGATAAGAATCCACGCGACCACGAGGCAAACACGCAAACTCCAAATATACAGTAGCAGGCGTCAGAGGTTCAAGGTGTCGAACCCACGACCTCCTGTATACCAGGTGAGGATGTTAACATCTCGCCACCACGGGATCACATCTGTTCGAGATGATTTCATTACTCAACGTTTTCGGCGGAAGCCCTTAGCTCTTTATAATTCAATTATAATTCGGTACTGCATTTCATATTTTTACACTTTTTTATGTGCTGCAATGCCATTGTAGAGTTTTTTTGTGCTCCATTTGAAGCTTTCGTGACTGCAGGAATCCATACTCTTTGGTTCTTTCGGTAAAGTCACGTAGGTAGAAAAATTAAATCTATTTTTATTTTATTTTTCTCCCTACGTGACTTTACCGAAAAATAAAAAAAATTTATTTTATTTTTCTACCTACGTGATTTTACCGAAAGAACTAAAGAGTATAGTTTTTTGTGTGCTTGTTTTTATGGTTGTGCCATTGTTTCCTTCCATCTTCATCATTATCACAGTCATAAACATGCGTTTTGGCGAGAGTATTTGGATTGTTTGTCTGCTATAAATGTCCACGTGATAAGCCACTTCGTTGAGCTCTCATTTGTGATAGCCAGATCGCTTCTGAAAAGGAAGCGAATCGCTGTGGGCTTTTCCTGGTGAAATAAAAAAAGAGTTGGATTTTATATTTTTTTGTGATTTGCTTACCTTTGCTATACTTTGCACTATTATCGTGTTTTTTGCATTGTTTGTTGTTGTAACTTTCTGACCCGCCCCTACTGGACATCTGTGAAAAAGAGTTGTAAATGTCATCAGATTTCTCCTGCAGTATAAATACACATTCTGATCTGATCCCGATTAAGAAGGACCACTGGATCATCTCATGTTTTATATTTATATAGAGCGCCTTAGCTGAAGGTGCTTTACGTAGTTTAAAAAGCGGTAACAACAAAACTGTGATTTAGATCGCAGGGGATGTGCAAGTGCCGAGGAATGAGTTACTGCAGCACAGTACACATGGGGGTTCACGAAAGGGCAGGGGAAGGACGGGACAGAGTGGAAGGACCGAGGGAAGAGGAACAGAATGTGCGACGTCTTCGTGCTCCGGCTGACACCCGATAGTACGTCGTCACCGTGATGAACTTTGAAGAAGGGGCGAGAAATCCGCCGAGACGATTCGAACCCCGACTTTGCGAGGAGTGAGTGTCCCGTGTTGCGGTGTTGACGGAATCTGCGTTCGCCGTCGCTGCGAGCGACTTCGGAAAAACCGCAGCCAAGCCACAGACTCCGGTGTCTTCAGGGAGATACGACGGTCGTTCATCGAGGCCGCCGACAGCACGGACAAGATGACGACTACGATGGTGGGAATACAAGGCCGTAGCCATGGAGAAACATTGGGGGGACCAAATCATCCAGGGGGTCTGGGGGTCCACTCCCCCCAGAAAAAAAAAATCTCAATTTGAAAACGAATTTCCTGCCTAAAATGTAAAAAAATTCACCAACACATAGGATGGACTTAGTTATTTTTTTTCAATGTCTAATAGTGTATTGTATTATATTGCTCTGTTTTTTTTACCTTTTCTTGTTTCATTGTATGTAATGGCAGAGATTAGGGATTAATAAATTACAACCATAACCACAATAATCTAAACAGAAATCAATGCATTGTTATATGAAGACAAGTCCAGATATTGTGGCCAAGGTTTAGCGAATTGTTGTTTTTATTTACATAGCATAGCAATTATTATTTTATAAATCTATTTTATAGCAATATATTGGGCGGGACATTTTGAGCATATTTTAATATTGGTGGGGGGGGGGGGGGGATGTGTCCATATATATTACAATATATTATAATTACAACCGCGTGGTGTCAGGATCAAGGGACGATCGGGGGACGTGACACTTGTGCCACGTGATTCCAAAGTTTCACGAAGCTCGCGCCGTCGCCCGGGAGCGGCTGCGCACAATCGAGACGGCGTCGAACGTCCGCCGATGGTCCGGCGATCGAATTTGAGGGCAGCCGCACTTCATTGGTTACCCGACACGTTGCAGACACCATCGAGTCACCGTTAATCTTCAAGCAGTGCATCAAGCAGGACGTTCATGAGAACAATGAGCCCAAGTTCAAGGCGAACGGCGGGGAAACTCCCTGGACGGGCCAAATGTGGCAATGGAGGTCCGCCTATGAAAGAAGCTGAATTTGGAGTTGGCCGTTTTCAGAAACGATTGTTATTTTTGTCCCTTGAGCCGAGCTCACACACCTGATGGCGTGCTGCGTCCACAACCGCACAGACGACCTGACTTGAGTTTAAAGAGGACACAGCAGTAGGGTTCGCCAACAGTATTGGCGTGGGTAACTTTGGTACAGCGGAAACCAGACAATATGCCAAGGATGGGAAATCTGGCCCAGAGGGCCAACAACTGAGGCTACTGGCATAAGATGTCCTGCATCGCTCGAGGGGCAACGATGCGATATGCGTGTCCTTGCCAGGCACAGATGTGGTTTTTGAACAGTCTGCTACAGCAGAGTTGTAGAGGAATTTAATCGGGAACTACCTCTGCTTTATTGACCTGGTCGAGTCCGATGAAAACACCAATGGGTCAGGGCTTTGGTTAGATTTCATGATTTCAGGGATCCTGACCAAGGCATTGGACGTTTCTATATCTTGATGTGACGTTATCTTTTGTGTGTATCAGGGACGTGCGGTCAGGGGAGGCAGAGCCTCACCTGCCATACTCCAATGAAAATAGCTGTTACGAAAGGTAAAAAAATATATTAACATTTTCCCACTGATCTGTTATAAAAAGTCATTTCTGTACGATTCCAATCATTTTTATAGTCAAAATCGCCAAATTTGCAGAGCCCCGAAGCAAATACAGGAAGAGACGAGAAGTGAGGCGGCGACAAGCTCAGCCTCCCTTCTGATTGCGCAACCTCTCAGTAACTGGAGCGCAGGCAATAACCGCGTGCCTGTTACTATCTCAGTATGTCACCAATGTGATGTTTGTAGACCCCTTCATTTCATGTCCTCGTCTTCCATACTCCAGGTAACTTATTTCACGTATGTGTATAAATATATTTAGGCTCGCTGGTCTCGTCATGAAACTGCAATAAAAAAGCACCAGGGGAGGCAGCTGTCACATCTGCCTCACTGAGGGGGACGTGTCTAACACGCCCCCCTCAGTGAAGCCACGCCCCCTCAGTGTGTGAATCTGGCTCTGACACGAGCCAGTGCCTCCCCAGACATTGACCACATCGCACGTCACTGATGTGTATGCATGTCATCAGTGAACGTTAGCGCAGATACAAAACAGGACATGGTGCCGTTTACACGGTTTATTTTTAAACCAAATTTACGTTGTTAGCCCAGAATTCACCGTCACGGATGCGTGCATAATCAAATGACAATCACAAATAAATGTCACGTTATTGCATTGATGGCTGGTTTAATTCGTTCACAAAGCAAATTAAAAGCACACGTCATGTCAACTGGGGCCAGTCACATAACAAGTCAGAAACACGTCAAATATAATATTATTTTTTATTAAATGACTGGTGCCATACATCAAAGTATTGGAAAGTTACGCTACAGAGATATGGTAAATAGATAACATGGCTTGACTAAAGAATAGGATGAGCTACTGAACAGTTTAATGAGTTACCCAAACATCGTCCCCATTCATCCACAGTTGATCCCATTAACACCATCCAACTGTTCATTCTCACGAAACACACTGAACTAAAAAAGGATCGAACGGACGGCTCTCAAACCTTACGTTCCTACAGCGACAAATGCTATACAGACCCAATTAAAGAAAACAAATATTCTTGCGTACCCTACTATATGGCTACAGCTTGGTACAGTCTTGATTGTTCAGCCTATTTATTTCGCTACTTCAACCCTCCTCTCAAGATTTCAACGTCCCGTGTGGCCAATGTAGCTATACGAGTCAAATCCATTGACATTCTATGCCGTACAAGCAGTTTTGCAGCAACGCACTAACATTTACGTTGCAGTTGTCTTTTTCCCATCGTCGTTGCACAAAAGTTGCTGCAGTAGAATCGCTCCAATGCAAACCGCCCCCCCCCCCCACCCCTCTCTTTTGTGTACGGTACCCTATGCCACGTATTTTAAATCAAGTCTACTATTCACGGCAGGACGTGTTTGTCTTCATGTACTCTAACCTGGTTGCAAAGGTTGCAGGATTAAACTAATGTCACTTTGGCGTGCCGAGTATGATAAGGCTCAAGTCATGCTACAGTGCACATGAATCTACCACAGCATGGCTGGCTGACCAACACTTCTACCAAACTGCTGTCCACAGTACTATGGTTTTATTCCATAAAGTCGCACCGTGCATTGTATGCCCTCTGACCAGTTGCATAAAACGCCTAAAGTTGTTTTTGCCCTTTAAACTACTATATTGACAAACTGGGAACATTATACTTAAAGGTGTCTTATGCAACCAGCCCAAAAGAAAGCATATCAGCTATGCTTATATTGCCACGGTGGATTAGAAAATGTGCTCCGAAGTTGGGCGTTGATACATGACGTGAAAAAGTGCCTCGTGTTGAAAGTTCGACTGCTGGTGGGATATCATCATACCGCAGCTTGCAGAGGTGCATCAATTGATTTTTGTCAAAGTCTGCACAGAGTCAGCATGTACACGAAAAAGTTGTTGCAATGCCTTTCAAGTTCACTGGTAAAGAGGACGCATCCCAAATGCCAAGATCCGACCGAAGGGTAATTGTTGCTAGACTAGGCTGCTCATAACCAAAAAACAACAGCTATTTTTTTTGGACACTCACTGTAACACATGCACACGAAAAAATGAAGCATTGAAAGCCACTCACTTTGGGCATAAAAAAAGCAAATAAGCAGAGGCGTGAAAATCGTATTTGTGTTCTAAAATGCACATTAATAGGCCTTCCACGCCATCCAGGAAAGTGGTACATTATCACAAAGTTTGCAAAGCCCGGGGGATGGTCACAATCCAACTGTCGGCCGATTTCAATCCTCCTCGGTGTCACCGCTTCCCTCCGAACGTTCCTGGACCGTAGGAGAAAAAAACATTTTCAAAGAAACGAATTTGTCGAGCATCACATTCATCTTCATCAAACCACATTTGCTGCAAGTGCATATTATTTTATAGGGATGCAAAAACTAGACAAAGGAGGACAGCCTACGCAATGGTTTTTTTTATGACGGCAGAACGACGATAACATTTGTACTTCAAAAACACACGCTACGAAGGGTATCACTTTTACCTCTTCAGTGGGACATCAAAAAAATGTATTGCTCCATTGGTTTTTATGGACAGAAAATGACAAAACATGTGTTAATGTATTATCCTTACAAGGCTATCATTACACTATATGGAACATACCCCCCCCCCCCCCACTGTTAAACATTTTCAAATTAGTTTTTTATCCAGTCAGAATCAGAAGTTGATTTCCCGAGCAAAGCCCATTGATCTAAGAAGCTCTTTAAGGGCGACTTGCCCGGCAGACCACGGCGACAACAGCAGCAAAAGACCGCTGCGTCAAATTTAACTCCCGAGAAAAATTATCTAACGGCAACGCACATTTCATCACATTGATAGAGGAGGGGGGGGGGAAGAGTCTCTAATAAGCAGGGTCTGGGCGGCACGGCGGGGGGGGGGGGGGGGGACACGAGCTGGCTTTCATTATCAGGCAAACGAGTACCTTTGCTTGAAGCTTAATTTTTCAAATCGTCCATGTCATTGTTACAGGCGGGCGGCGTTAACGGAGTCGACGCTCGCCCAGGTTTCCCGGCGGGCGGCGCGTTGTGCGCGGCCCCCACCTGGTTGTCCTGAGACTCGTTGGACTCCTCGTCGCTGATCACGGGCTTGACCTTGGCGGGGCGGCTCGGCCGCTTGCGCGCTTTGCCCTTGTCGCGCCCGCGGTCCCGCCGTCCCAGCCGTATCTTCACCTTCACGCTGTGACCTGGGCGGTGGGCGGAGGTGGGCGGAGGGTAGCTTTGCATCACAGTGCACTGATTTACTCGCGTTTGTGTACACGGGGACGCAACGGAAATATCAAGTTGTCAATGAAAGAGTGGGGAACCTTTTTCTTACCTCGAGTCAAATGCCACTTTCAAAAGACCCATTCCTTTTATCAAGATACTCCTTGGTCTTGCCATAATCTCATCTTTTTTTTATGTCTAGCACCCGTTTCTATGTTCAACCATTTCCAGTCATTAATGTTTAGGCAATAATAATCTAAGTGCTTTTTAACATCACTACTTTTTCACGAAATGTTATTGGTATTTCAAGACAAGTTATCTTCATTAGAACTAGGTAATGGTCATGCTGTTATATGCAACGTAAGGATTCTGTTTTTGGTAAACTGTGTGCTATTCTTAGGTTTTTTCGGTAAAGTCACGTAGGTAGAACATTTAAATTAATAAAAGTAGAATAAAAATAAAATAAAAATCACGACATTTCGGAAGCAACACAAGCCTCCGTCTTCAGGTGGAACCGTCACAGCACGATTGCTGTTTCAAGTAAGATTTTTTATTTTACTTTTATTAATTAAAATTTTTTACCTACGTGACTTTACCGAAAAAACCTAAGAATATGAATCCTTGCAGTCACAAAAGCTTCAAATCTAAAACTGTGTGCTGTATTTGACTATTTCCAGAAATCTCCACGACAGATGCAGCACGTGAAAGCCTTCACCCGATATCGGATTCAATAATAACTGTACTTAATCTTTGTATAGCTTTCAAGACCCAGATCTACCTTGAAACAGAGGACCTTGAGTCTCAAGAGGCCCTTCAACATGGCTATAACGTTTAACACGACCACTTACGTTACTGTAGTCAACACAAGCCCCCTTGCACGAAGTGAATCATTACATCTGTATTGTATACACAAGCTCTGTTGCGCGAAATATCTTTCTACTGGTAAGTCTTCATGTGTGCAGTGCTGTGTCAACCTCAATAGGCTCTCCCCTGGTTGTCAATGAACAACAGTAAATACTGATAAACAACATATTTTTCGATTTAAAGCTTTCGTGACTGCAGGGATTCATCTTCTTAGTTCTTTCGGTAAAGTCACGTAGAAGGGAAGTAATAAAATAATAAAAATAAAACATAATAAAATAAAATAATTCTCACACTTTACCGAAAGAACTAAGAAGATAAACAACATATGTTAAACTACACAGATAAACTTTAAATGACGCTACACAGTACAATTGGCAGGCTGATTTGTTTTGTTCGATTGCGTTCTTTATCGTGAATCAATACAGGGCATTCAGATGTCGACCAAACAGTGATCAATGATACAACCCTGGTGTTGCTATTCTGTATAGGCTCATTATTTCCTTAAGCAGTAAACATTAATGATACACCGTCGAATTGCCATGCCAAGCTGAAGCTGCTGTAATTGTTACAGTGTCTGCTATAATGGTTATAGGCTGGTAAATCTTTCTGTGCGAGGCTTACAGAATTACTTCTGAATATGCTGACATCTTCTTTGAGCACTGCTCTTGTGTGTTTAATGTGTTGTCATTCCCCCGCACCTCCAATTAGCACAGTTGATTACGTACTGTGCGAAAGAAGTTCAACATACATCCATAAAATCCCATTGTATGGATGGGTACGGCATCAGCCCTTATGATCAGTATTGACGGCTGGCATGCAGGCCTTCCTTAATTGGGGGGGCTTCAGCCTTATTTCCTGTGTTGTCTAGTTGGATTTAACGACGCTGACATGCACACAACTTGACCTCACCACATCCCGTGTACATTTCGACATTGCGGCGAGCTCTGTCACAGCGATGAGTGGTACACGTGCAATGTTCTCCAATCACAGCTAACATTGGTGGCAAGTTGTGCCTAAACCTGTTCTGGACCGCCCCTAGGTTAACTCGGCCTTAAATAAATGTATGTTCTAGTGTGCAAACAATACAAACATCAACAATGGGGAGCTAACAGCAGCTGGGCATGGTGCTAACTGCCCAACAACCTCGAGTGCGGCGTGAGTCGTGATAATTGGTGCATGCCAACAGGGCTTGCTTTCACGGTCCAAGGTGGAAATAGGGGGTGTTTGTCTTTGTGTTTCACTCGTTACTAACGATGGTTTTCATTCCCCCCCATCCCCGGATAACGCGTGAGCTGTGTCGCAACTGACTTTCATTGTCGGAGTCACCCTCGTCCTCCTCGCCGCTGTCGCTCTCCTCCTCGCTCTCCTCTTCCTTCTCGCGCTCGCTTCGGAACACTCCCTGCAGGACCTTGGAGTCCTCGTAGATCTGGAAGGAACGGGGGGATGGGGGTCGGAGAGAAAGAGACGTGACGTCACGTAAGTATGTGGACTTATTTTGCGCCGTACGTAAGCCAAGCGTGCTAATCGGAGGTGCGGGGAAAGGACAAAGAACTAAAAACAATAAACTAAAACGTTTTGATTGAAAGCTTTCGTGACTGCAGGGATTCATATTCTTGGTTCTTTCGGTAAAGTCACGTAGAAGGGAAATAATGAAGTAATACAAATATAAAACAATATATTTTTATTATTTTATTATTTCCCTTCTACGTGACTTTACCGAAAGAACCAAGAATAAAAACTAAAAAGTGTTTTTCTTTTCCTCTCGGTCATCAAAATGGCACAATCAAAGCGTCAAGAGATCATCTTCCAGTTTGCGTTTCATTCCGCTAAGAAAATTGTGCGCGCAAGGTGGACATTTGTTGTTGGGCAGGACTGGGAAAAAATTGGATTGCCGACTACAGCGGTACACAAACAACACCGCTTACATGAGGCCGGTCTTACGTTTCACACGCAGCTCAAGTCGATGTTCTGCACGAGCGATTGGAAAACCTGACTCACGCACGCTGGCAGCGCTGCAGGCGTGACCTCTGACGTCAAGCACCTGCTGTGCACGAGCACACGGCATGTTTTTTTTCCGTAAATAATAAGGAATATTCTTTCACCAATGCCCACTGACCAGCGTGAAGTATGGGAAAATAAGAGTTATAACAAATAGCGGGGGGTGTGGGGTGCCTCTCATTCAACAGTGGATTGACAAGTGCTGTACATGTACAATATCTATTGACCAAAGCCTCACTTAAGTCTCTTTTTCAGGGATGGCTCCTACGTTGGGATGTTTGGAAAAGTCCTTTTTAATGTGGTGACTAACAAAATAATAACAATAAAGTTTTTTTTTCTCTCAGGAGAGGTGTGCAACACTAAAATGTTTAGCTCATAATCTTTTGAAACGTATAAGGATTATAAAAAAAAAAATTAACAAGGCCTTTGATGGGATTAAACACATTATTTGGCGATAACTGCGTTGGCAGTGGTGCACATTCGTCAAGACTGCCTTAACAGGAAAGTTGTATCGTAGGTGATGTTGGGTACTGGACTCCTAACAAGAAGGGCAATGGTCCTTTATTGATAGCACACAAGAGGTCAGAGAGTGGACACGAGTTGGAGACTGCTCTTTACACCATGGAGCATGATGGGACAAGTTAATTTTTCAGATTTCCTCAAGAAACATTTTAGAAATGTAATTTTCATCTGGCCGCATGGTGTATAGTACAGGATACAATTCTTATTCACTCTATTTATCCGTCCTCTCTCGCTATGCGCTCTGAAGAAGGGCCATTGCTCGAAATCTTAATTTTGGAGCTTTCGTGACTGCCGTGCCGCATCGTCATCTTACTTGCAGCAGCATCACGTTGCCGTCCACTCATTGATATGCTAATTTTTTTGTCTGCCCCCTCCCTCTCTCCGCCCCCGCCCCCCTCTCTATATTTAAGGCACCGTCACAGAAACGACCTCTCTCTTTGTGCCGATATGTGTCCTCTCTCTGTGTGTCCTTGTGATGTCTGTCTGCTTGTATGTCTGTCTATAGTTTTCTAGTTAGATTTTTGTTGCTATTTCTTTTATGCCTGATGATGATTGCTTGTGTTGCAATCGAAACGTCGTAGTATGCTATTATTTAATTTATTATTTTATCTTTAGACGTGACTTAACCGAAAGAACCAAAGAATAATTGCTTGAAATGTCAACTATTATATACGTTTCCTTTCAAGGCTCTGATGGAATTGCATTTTGAAAAACAAAAACTATCCCTGGAGAAAAATGGCACATCCTCTGCACCATTGCAATACATTTTGAATCTCGTCCGATTAGCGAGGTTGGCTACATACGGTGCGAAAGAAGTTCAACAATGCATAGTTATCGATTTAAAGCTTTCGTGACTGCAGGGATTCATATTCTTGGTTCTTTCGGGAAAGTCACGTAGAAGGGAAATAATAAAATAATAAAAATAAAACAATAAAATTCTCACGACGTTTCGATTGCAACACAAGCAATCATCATGAGGTGTGAAAACCACAGCAATTCTTGCTGATGATTGCTTGTGTTGCAATCGAAACGTGTCATGAGAATTTGATTGTTGAATTGTTATTATTTTATTATTTCCCTTCTACGTGATGTTACCGAAAGAACCAAGAAAATGCATACTTTGCTGCAGTTAAGTCCGGTATTAGACAAGTTGAAAACCGTCATTGTGAACCATTATATGTTCAAATCGTCGCACTGAGCTCCCTCGGGTTCTCACCTATAACTCTTACGGGCAATAAAAGGAGCAAGGCAGATTCATCGTGGCTTGCGATTCTCTCTTCACTGTGCCGGAGGTTTAATTGGACAGCAAGCATGAATCAGCGGCAACAGCAACATCAGCAGTAGGAGCGGCAAGCAGATATGGTGAGCGTGTGTGGTGACGTGAGATCTCCTACCAGGGAACCCTCCAGGTTGAAAGTCTGTGCATTGTGACAAAGCAGCATCACATCTTTCTCCAGGTCGTCCATGCTTCGGTACTTGTGGATTCGGATCCGCTCCTGAGGATACCGTAGCCGGCCAAAAGTCACAAACAATAACAATAAGACAAACCAAAAAATATAATTGCACTTGCCAATTAAATTACAGCAGGCAGGGTGGCTAAACTAACATTAACCCAATGCGACTGCTGGCATATTTCCGATTTTTGGCAAAAATGCACCAATGCCTCCAACACCAACCAATAAATAGGGCAAAATGGCCAAGGCAACGGTGTTACAGTTGTTTTGTCGAAATGTCAATCTGCCTCTTAGAATAAAATGCATGGCTTCCTTCGAACATCAAAAGAGTGAAATGTGTCAGATGAGATTGTCAGGCACCAGCCAGACAAATGTGTTGCTGGTTCATTTAATAAGGTCGTGTTTGAACTGTATAGCCTATCAATACATTGGAATACATTTATCTTATGGTAGATAGCAGCCGCTGTTCAGTAGTTCCAAAAATACTATTAGATGCAGCATTTTTCGTCCGTATAATCATGGTGCCAAAAATCACTTAAATTCGAGTCTATAAAAGTTCAAGAAAATTGGATGCTGCCCTGTTGTAATGGTTAGCACACACTGGACTTGCAATCCAGTGGCCACCAGTTCCAATCAGTCTCATGACAGTGGTAACAATGGGCAAGTGTCTAAACACCCAGCAGCATAAATACGTACACCACAGTATGTGTTGCACGTGGTGAGATTAAGTGTGGGTACCCCCCCACGTCTTCTGAGACGTGTGGCCAGTGCAAGAGAGTAGGCCACATTGCAGGGGCTATACCTTTGCACGTCCGATTAGCACGGTTGGCTTACGTACAGCGCGAAAAAAAGTTCAACATAAGTACATACCTTCTATATATAAAAGGGAAATTTGAGAATATGTGCGTCTGCTCAAAATGTGTAGCGTACTTCCCGACATGCAACAAACTTGAAATTTGCCATGTGGGTACTTTCTAGACTGTACACCATGCAACAATTATAAAAACACACTTTTGTATTTTTTGGAGGGGGGCGCAATAATGGATATATTTTGCACGGCAAGTGAGCGGTGACATCACATCACATCTGTGATGTCACCTGCATGCGGCAGCGTCACGCAGTGTGCCTGCTGACGTCACCCCCCCCCCCCACCCTCCGTGTAGGCCGTGGATTAATCCAAGACAAGAATCCAAGTCCCGGGCAAAGCCGGGTAGTAAAGCTAGTTAATAATATACAAATGCAATACTTTGTAGGCCGTCCCCACTAATTTTGCCAAGGTGGGGCATCCTGAACGAGGGTGCGGTTGTTGCGATGTCTCGCCTTGATCTTGTTGAAGTCCACAGGGCGGCGGATCAGCTCGTAGTACTCCGGAAGCTCCTTCCGTGATGGCAGCTGGATGAACACGTCGCTCAGCTGTCGGCCACAGCTGCGCATGCGAACACAAGAAGGGAAATTACACGCACGCACATATGTATGTAGAACTTCTTTCGCACGGTACGTAACCAACCGTGCTAATCAGAGGTGCAGGGGGAAGGGCAACCAGCTAAACACAAGTAAGGTCAGTTTAACACGGAGGCTTTTGCGACCAATATCATCCATAATAGAGGTTTTTTGGGTTAGATCGCGTAAATATATAAATGTGTCGTTAAAATCCGCCATCACCCGACACAGCCAACTAGTAAGGATCGTCACGGAAACAGAACGTGGCCAATTCGTCAATAGTACAGCACACCGGTGTGTCAACCATTTCTGGACATTCAACTCGGACAGGGTCGAAATGGTAAAATAACACAGCGTTTACCGAAATAAAACGCATACTGACACATATTTGAATGCAGTCACACCATCACCGCACACAGAAATCTGCTCTTATCAAGATGCTCATTCATCGAGCTAAGAATGTGTCAGATGGTGACAGTCTGAGACGTGAAATTAAACATGTTAAAGAAGCGCTGCAAATGAACGGTTAAAAGGATGCACAAATCAACAGGGAATTGAATGCCAAAACCAAATAAAATAATACGAGCATCGAAACTGCCCAAGTAATTAAAACGATCAAATAGCGTACACTGCGGGAGTAACTGATAAACTAGCCAGATGTTTGGAAAATCAAAACATCCGAGTCAGATTTGCCACGGTACATAAAATACAGAATTTAATATCTGGTACAAAAGATATATTACCGAAGCTATCAACAGAAGTTGTTAACAGGATTAACTGCACTTGTGGAAAATGCTATGTTGGGCAACCAGGACGAATGATTAGCTCGAGACTAAAAGAACATCAGATAAATATTAAATACTCCCAAATACAATTGTCAGCAGTAGCAGAACACGCGTGCCAACAAGGACACTCAATTGATTTTGATAATGTTGAAGTTCTGTGAAAAAACTAGATACTACTGGCCAAGACTAATTAGAGAATCTATCGAAATAAATAAAAATTATTTTAACCGTTCGGATAGCTACCGAATTAGTGCTGCGTGGGAGTGAATCATCAAATAATACATTATTTAAATGCATGCCGATATAGGCCACTATACTTCAAAAGGGATTACCGTTGCTACGGCTATTTTAATACACACAATGGACAGGAAAGACAAGATCAAAGGGCTCGCATAATGCGCATGCATCATGTACGTCGACTTAAGACCACAGAAGCGTGGTCACCACGTCTACGCCTCTATATAAGGAACGAAACAGGAGGACTTCTCCACAAATCTGTCTGTCGCCTGATGAAGCTGGTTGTAATAACTGGTGAAACATCGTACTCAGATTGTAAATGTTGTGGTTTGGCTCTCCAACACACCGGTGTGCTGTACTAGTGACGAATTGGCAGGTTCTGTTTAGGTGACAACCCTTACTAGTTGGCTGTGTCGGGTGGTGGCGGGTTTTAACGACACATATATTTACACGATCTAACCCAAAAAACCTGTATTATACAAGAAAGGTTAAACAATCCCCATGACATTAAGGCATGGGCAGGCCTTTATCCAGCAGTGGATGCGGGCTTATACATTAACTTTTACTTAATTATTATGATCCATGAGATTCTCCATGGCATTGGTTTCTTTATCGTCCCAATCGTGCCGTTTCTTTCTTTGCGACACGTCACGTTTAAGAGCCACGTCACGAGGCGCACAGAGTATCACTCTTGGCAAAACAAAAACAACGTTTCACACTCATTAACTGACACGCGAAAAACTCATTCATCGATAACACTTGCCTTAAAAATCTACAGTATATAATAATAGGTGACGATTTGGGGCGAAAGCCCTTATTCATAGCACGTTAAACATTAATCGTTACACACATACACACGGCTAACATCACACTGCGCCAGCAGTCAAAACTCATGAGAAGGGGGGCATAACCCACCTGTCACGGTACTTGATGACGGTGTCGATGATCCGCTTCATCTTGCGTGTGAGGGCGGGCGGGTTGGGCACGGGCTTCTCCACGGGGGGGCGGCCACGCTTCTTCTTCGCCTTCTCCTCCGGCTCGGGGGCCGCCCCCACACGCTCGCGGCTCGGCCCCGGCGTGTCGGGATCGCGCTTCCGCTTGCGCGCCTTCTTCATGCGCACTTCCTCCTCCAGCAGGTCCAAGTTGCCCTCCTCAATCGCCTGTGAAGGAGGGGGGGGGGGGGGGGGGGGTGCGCCACGCGATGACCGACCGCAATTAGGATCGGAGGGCCTCCTGCAGGTGATCGTTTGCCCCCGATGGGATGACTGGAACGAGGGTCATGGCGAGGGGCTCCCACATCCGGCACAGTCCACAGAAATCGGGCTAAATTATTTTTTTTGGCGCGCATTCATAGCCGGCTGCTCATTTGTAATTTAGAAACGGTTAACTTCGGGCAGCGCTGGTCCATGAATTCATAGTCATGCGTGCCGAGATGGCAAGAGGCAGGCTGCTTGAGGAGAGCCATATTGCAGTGAGCAGGATTTTTTTTAAAAGGCACTGTACACAATTAGTCAAATAGTGCACGGCAATGTGCAATGCCGGGCATGCAGTTTAGTGTTATATTTATAGCACGCAAAGCTCAACGATACTACAATGAGGCAGGATATAAATAATAAAAACCACACACATACACAAGATATTCTGCAGAATAATTTCTGTGGCATGATTTTTTTTTGTTACCAGAATGTGCCTTTGTTAAAATTGTATGCAATCCACATTCCAAAATGCTTCTCTAACAAAAGGAACCTGAAATACCGCGCGCTGCTGAAAGATTATGACACACGGCATGGAAACATAAAATATCGCATGCATGCTAATACCTCCTGCTGAGATGGTAAACATGAAAAATTAATCAACGCTCAAGCTCTTTGTTCCATAAGCATATGCACCTCTGGCATGGTAAATTAATGCAAATATACAATTTACACAAGCACTGTACTATGAAAAAAAAACACGTCAAACCCCTTGTAACTTCCAGACTCCTGCATTAAGCTGCATTATTCAGAATGTAAAATTTCTGTTGGAGGCTTGACAAACGGCAGAGGCTGCAAAATCAACGTGCAGGCACGTGACGTAGCTAACGTTGACAGCATGCAAATGGCACACATTCTTCTCCACGATACTCTTAGGCTTTTTCGGTAAAGTCACGTAGGTAAAAAAGAAAATTAATAGAAGCAATAATAGAAATAAAATAATAAATCACGACGTTTCGGATGCAACACAAGTCTCCGTCATCAGGTGGGACCGTCACAGCTAAAATTACTGCATCCACGATATCCAAAGAAGGAGGAAGACAATGGGGAACACACACAAACGCGTTGGCAATGGAAAATCCCGTGCTCTCATAAAAAGGACACGGTCAAACATCCCAGGCAGGATGACACTGCAAAGAGGTGTTGAGACTCCGTGAGCTTCACCAGGGTAAATAACTATAATTAAAACTAGATGGATGCCTGGCCTCAGGATCGGAAAAATACGCAATATGGGACACGTATATGCTAATTTAAACATGTCAATGTGGTGATTAATTACATAATGTCATACTAAGGTGTGCCAACATTAATTTTTTTAAGATGGTTAACTCCATGCGTTTCATACATTTTTATTCTTAGTAGGTCAAAGTCCACTGACCCCTTACATTGTCATTATCGTCTCTTGTTAATTCCTCATGTAATGAGACCACGTTCGTCAACATTCACTCAATTTTGTATGATTAGTAGCTTGCATAAAGACTATCGCACGTATATATAAAACATTTGTCAACCAATGAATAACCCCTCGAGGAATGCAACGAAACATCATGATTAAAGTAAAAAGATAAAGATGTCTAATTTCAGTGTCTGGCTCATTTGTTATCTCTTATGTTACCCATCTCTTCTGCTCCAATCGGAACTGAACGCGGAAGATTGATGAAACGAACATTGAGAGCATAGCGAGCAATTTTAATCAACAAATCGACTAATCATAATGTACTCAAACGTAAACCATTACAGGAAGTCTTCGTTGAATGCGGAAGCTGCGTTCGTGAAAATTTCCACGTTCAGCAAAAACAATTTCCCCATAAATAATGTATCGATAAAAGTTTGGCGAGATACGATTCACGCACACGCAGCGAGGTGGCGGGATAAATAACTTGGGGTATGCCGCGGCGTTACTGCAACATTCCACATCCTGTATCCTTCCGCTCAGCCGCGCAGCTCAAGAAAGTAGTTCGTTGTCGACCGCTCAAAAAACACGTTAGAACGGCGTGCGTTCCGCGTAGTGTGAAAAGTGTCCCCTTACGGGAGAACGCGCCGTGTGTAAACAGCACGCGTTAAGTGAGGACTTGGCGTACATTGAGCTCTCCAGCAGTTTTCGGATCATACCGCTGTTTACGGCGACATCAGGCATCGTGCCGATCAACGCGCGGGGGGTCACACACTGACAAAAACGCATCGGAGAGCCGCAATGTACAACCGCGGAAAAAACCCTCCACGAGCCGATCATACCTTGAGCCACTGCTTCTCGGTGAGCGAGTGCCGATCAACGCGCGGGGGTCACACACTGACAAAAACGCATCGGAGAGCCGCAATGTACAACCGCGGAAAAACCCTCCGCGAGCCGATCATACCTTGAGCCACTGCTTCTCGGTGAGCGAGTGCCGATCAACGCGCGGGGGTCACACACTGACAAAAACGCATCGGAGAGCCGCAATGTACAACCGCGGAAAAATCCTCCGCGAGCCGATCATACCTTGAGCCACTGCTTCTCGGTGAGCGAGTGCCGATCAACGCGCGGGGGTCACACACTGACAAAAACGCATCGGAGAGCCGCAATATACAACCGCGGAAAAACCCTCCACGAGCCGATCATACCTTGAGCCACTGCTTCTCGGTGAGCGAGTCGCTATAATCGACCTCCTTGCGCTGCCGGGAACCCCGGCCGAACAGCTTCTCTTCCTCGTCCTCGCAGGTCAGCCGTTCCACCTCCGCGTCGTCCTTGATGATCCAGTTGGGCAGCTCATCCTCCTCCATGAGACGCGGCCGGCGCCGGGGGTTGCGTGCGTCCTCTCGCCGCCGGTCCAGGTCCATGCGCTGGCGAGCGAGCGAGCGGGCGGGTGAGCAGAGACGACGATGGCGGTGGAGGCGATGACGATTGTAGATGGCAAATGGGAGAAGCGAAGAGGGTGCAACGTGTTTTACGGGTGGGACGCAAGTGCCGATCGCACTCTGGTCAGCGCATCATTGGTAATATTTAGCACTTTATCGCCGCTAGTAATCTGGCTTGTTTGTCATCTCTTATATTCTCACACGTGTATTCCATTAACCTAGAGATATAACATGAGGCTCATGGGAGTCTTGCGTGTTCAAAACTTGGTTAGGGAGGCCTACTCAGACTATAACTCCTGTAGGGATGATAATAAGAGGGCCACTTGGTGAACCTCCACAGTTGTTGTTCTTGGTTATTTCGGTAAAGTCACGTAGAAGGGAAATAACAAAATAAATCAATAAAAATTATCACGACGTTTCGACTGCAACACAAGCAATCATCATCAGGTGTGAAATCCACAGCACGAAAATTTGAAAAAAATTAAAAATTATTGCTGTGGATTTCACACCTGATGATGATTGCTTGTGTTGCAGTCGAAACGTCGTGAGAATTTTTATTGTTTTATATTAATATTATTTTATTATTTCCCTTCTACGTGACTTTACCGAAAGAACCAATAATATGAATCCCTGCAGTCATGAAAGCTTAAAATCTAAATTTAACTCCACAGTTGTTGTTCGCCGGCTTAGGAGTTGAGCATAGCTACACATTTGATTGAGCGGATGATTACTTTGGCTATTACATGATATACATTTCAGAAAAAAAATTGTACCATCATTATTTGCCATAAAAAACACATGTATTGCTTTTTACCAATACAAACAAATCATCCAATTTCCATGGACTATGTGGCATGTACGACCACAATGGCAGTATTGTGTGCGACACATGGTACTCAAGAGCGTTGAACCCCAATGAGAGTTTGAGAACAAAACATCCAAGTACAGCTGTCACACAGTTGAGAGTTAAATGATCTAACGCAAATAGCATTACAGTTCAGCAATTTATAATTGCTCTTTCTTTATTTGGAGCTGTCAGATGGTTAGCATCTTGTTGTTGTGGGGTCCATGGGATAACACACGTTCAGGCATCGATCCTTATGTTACGAAGCCAATTCGAAAATATTAAATGTAAACAAACATACATTTACCAGGAAAGTATAAGATTACCCATTGTATTTTTTTTTACACGTTGAAATGCCACACGATTAAAAACAAGTGGATGCAATGAGACGCAAATGTGAGCATTGATGAAACTCACCATGAACATCTCGAACTCCTCCTCACTCCGGGCGATCATCTGATTGACCGTCTCATCGTCCGGAACCTCATCCTCCTCCTGCATCCGCCATCATCACATTCAGCACCACCATTATTATTATTAAAACATCCACTGCCATCCTTACAAAATGCAATAACAGCAGCTTAAAGCAGCAGCAGCAGCAGCAGCAGAAGCTCATTACAGCTTACAGAGAGTGAGAGTAATCTCTGGGCTGAAAATCATTTTCCAGATTCTCTTCAAGGTCAATTCAAGCCAAACATTTTTTTTATAAAATCTCTCTCTTGACAAGCACATCCTACCCAGGGAGGGCACGGTCGATGCAGTTTTTTTTTGGTCCTCCTGGTTCACTAAGCGTCGCGGCCAGAGGGAGACTGCAGCGCCTGTGGTCTTTGTGAAGCGAGATCAACGCAACAAAAAGCCTCCCCGCCGAATTATCACTCCTGCTGTGCCGACTACCGCCTTTCGCCGAGAAAATCCCGGAAATGCGGAGACCTTTAAAATACGATTAATGTTTATTCTCGTTCATATACCGCACTGCACTTAAATTATTTACTCCATTTAAGAATTAAATGTCCTCTATGCAGCCAGCCACCAGATTTTAGTTTTATATTCAGTGGGCTGTTCTGTCTGCTTCATACAGGGGGATGTTGTTGCTTTGATTAATCGGATAAGCTTTTCAGAGAGACAAGAATGTGTTTTCCGTTCACATCAACAGTTAAAATTATGCAGGGTGTGCTGTTTAATCCTCGAGCAGGAAAAACAGCACTCTCGTCTAAATAAAATGTTACCTTAACGAGATAATTTCTCGACGTATTATTCAGACAAAATTCGACACAAATCCTGCTACAAAAGACTAAAATACTTGAACTTGTCTGACGCACACTAACACTATTTACATTCCTGATTTAGCCTCGCGGGTGTATGACCCCCGGAGGCAAGAAAAATAAAATAAAATAAAGCGTCCATTGGAGCAGAGAGACCTCACCGACTACATCAATCACTCAAGTGGCACTGTCAACACCACAAACGAAACAGTGGCCAAACATTGAAAATTCCATATGTTGTGGGTCTACTCTCCAACACACCAGTGTGCTGAATTAGTATTGGTACGTTTTGTTTACAAACCTTACTAATGGCCCGTGTCGGGTGGTGGCGGGTTTAACGACACATTTATATTTACGCGATCTAACCCAAAAAAAAAATGTCATGGATAATTACATACAATACATTGCAACTGGTAAGAGGGGGGGCAGAAAACAGTTGGTGGGCAAAGCACGCAACAAAATACTAGCCAACTCCTAACCAACCAGAAAATGTAACTACAAGCACCAACCCTAATGTGTCCCAATTAGCCAGGAGTCATTAGCGCTACCCCTCCCAACGACAACCAAAAACCACAAATTGGCCATCCTGCCATAAGCACTTGCCGTCTCAGCGACCCCAACCCGAAACCTTCTGCTTGAGCTTCATCACGAAGCTTTGGGACTTCATATCACTTTGAGCTTGCTTTACACTTTGACTGTTGCTGTGTATAGTGCCACACGTTCCTATAAGCCCAATGCCACAAAGTATATTAACATTTGGCGGTAGTAAACCAGCCCAAAAAGCCATTTTAACAACAAAAATTACCAATTGAAAAGTTTGCAAAGAAACATGGAGAGATGGACGTTTGGAATCACATTTAGAGAAATATAAACCTCTGTTGATATGCAAATTCCTTTGTCAAGGCACCCTTCCTCCTCTAACCCAGCTTAAATATACGCTGCCAAGCATGGTGGTGCTCATTCAGATGCTGTCTTTCCGACAGACCTGTTCTTCACCTGAGGACGACTGCTTGCGTTGTGGCCGAAACGTCGTGAGAATTGTATTTTACTATGTTTTATTTGTATTATTTTATTATTTCCCTTCCACGTGACTTTACCGAAAGAACCAAGAAGATAAACCAATGGATTAGAGAACACACGCCGGTGACATTAAATACAAGTGTTAAGAAGGGTGGGTGAGGACAGGATACATAGAAAGGATTGATGACAGCGTAGCAACGAAGTAATGAAACGTGTCTTCGAGGACATCTACCGAGTGTCGGAGCTAGTGGATATTGCATTGCAGGGCAGTGAAACATGGTGATTCTAGATTTGAAGCTTTCGTGACTGCAAGGATTCATATTCTTAGGTTTTTTCGGCAAAGTCACAGTAGGCTAAAAAATTCAAATTAATAAAAGTAAAATAAAAATAAAATAAAAATCACGGACGTTTCGGAGGCAACACAAGCCTCCGTCTTCAGGTGGAACCGTCACAGCACGACTGCTGCATCAAGTAAGAGAAATTCCAAGAAAACAGTCCTTGTATATATACTGCTTGAGGTGATGGCGGCTATGGCAAGCCTTCATGTTTTTTGGCCGGGTGGTGGTGGCGCATGCCTGTCATCCAGCACTGTGGAGGCAACGAGGGTTGGTGGATGACAGCACAAATTTAGTGAAACTCCAATCCTGTGGGGGCGTTGAGGAGGTGCCAAACCCTGGCTCGCCAGAAGGCGGTGAAGTAAAATGTGGACTCCACCTGTTCCATCTGTCTGAGATGAAAATTTTGCACCTTCCCCCGCACATCCCTCATCAATTGGCTGATAACGCCTTCATAGAGAGAACTGCAGAGCTTGGAAAAATAATGTGGCACAAGCTCACCACCTAGTCACCCTTTCCGCTTGTCTGTGACTCCGTGTGCCTTCGAGTGGTTCCTTTTCTCCGACAGTCAGCGAATATTGTGCACGTTACAAGTTAAAATTATTATTGATGTAACGTTAGACAGATCCAGGCTGATGCTGCTCATGATGATGATGCACGAAACCATTGGTACCCCAAACTGTGGTCCATCGGCCACTGGTGATTCTCAATGCCCTGGTAAGTTGTTCCTTTGGAACTGTTGCAGTTGGCACAATTTTTTTCCCCACGGAAATGTTGTAGATATGACAACGACATGACAAATTGTACATAAAATATAAATCAATAAAAAGGAAGTTAATTGTTTGCATAGCTTTTTAACTAATATTTGACAGATTCTGTTATATTTCGAAGGAATAACAATGGTCCAACAAGGATCCAGAAAGGTTAGGAACCACCTGCAATTAAACCGAAGTGAAAGAGTCAACAATTTTACAAACGGACTTGAGAAAAAAACACACACAGGGTTTAAAAGGCAGTAAAGCCCCAGGGTCCACCCCCAGCCCACCCCAACCTCCCTCGCACCTCATTCTGCTCCTCGTGTTCCAGCACCGCCTGCAAGAACGCCCTCCGCTCGTGGCCGGACGACTTCTGGTCGAACATGCCGGCCTGAATGACCTTCTGGTCCACGTTGAGCTTGTACTTGGCGGCCGCCAGGATCTTCTCCTCCACGCTGTTGACGGTGCAGAGGCGTAGCACGCGCACCTCGTTCTGCTGCCCGATGCGGTGGGCGCGGTCCTGCGCTTGCAGATCCTGGAGGAACGCGAGCGGGCATGAAGGTCAGGCGTTGGGGGGGAGGTTGCAAAGGGAGCGACCCTTGCTTCCGTATTCGGTTAACGCTTAATAATCCGTGGGGGGAGCGAATCGGCGAGAGATGGTGATCGTCAATCGAGCCGACTCCTTCACTTTGAATTCTAGCAAATATATTTATTTGTGAAACTGCATTGGCAATGGTGCACGAGCACAAATAATAAATACACAACACGTGTGCCAACAACACGTCCCCTGAAAGGAATAAATATATAAGTGGGCAATGGCCCCTTCTTCACAGCAGATGGTTCTATCTTACTGTAGAGTTCTCTCTGTTCTGAAGAGGGGGCAATTGACCAAAATGTTGCCCATATTGTTTCCTTCGTGGGCAAAGTGCTCACTGACGTACGTGTTGAGTTTTAAATATATCAGGTGCGAACAGTGAGGTAGGAGCTTTTGTGTTCCAACTTTATCCGAATATGTGCTCTGTACAGTCGTATTAACGGGTACGGAAAATAAAACAAGGCTTTTAAGATGCCCCTTCAGCCAGATTAATAATACAGTCATGTGATGACAGTTCAGATGACATCGTAGTGCCAAGATGATTTTATTATCGGTTTTAGTGGCTAAGAATAATATTGTTAAGTATGTTGTCTGGGTTGCAGATTAACCATGCTCATTCACACCTTTTACACACATACATGCTCGTTGAATTACCAGCTGCTCCTAACTATTCACAGATAAGTCCCCCCAATGTCCATGTGACTGCAAGCAAGTTGTAAAATAAAGAGATTACATTATACACCTTTAACGCCCATTCTACGCACGTAAAACAGTAAATACAATTTCATAGCATAACTTAAGATATGTTCTATATTATCCGTATACATATATATTTTTTATCAGGGTCATCACCCCTCTGGTGAAAATCCCAACTAGCTAACCGGTCTCTCCTACTCCCCGCGACTCGGAAATGCTCCTTCGGCAGACGCTCACCTGATGGGGGTTCCAGTCGGAGTCGAATATGATGACAGTGTCTGCGGCCTGCAGGTTGAGACCCAGCCCTCCGGCACGCGTGCTCAACAGGAAGATGAAGTAGGGAGAGTTGGGCTCGTTGAACGTCTTCAGCAAGTTGCTGCGATCTTCCGACTTCGTGGTGCCTTCACAGGAATGCGTGGACAAGCGGCATCAGCATCAAGCATCCATCCGTGATCCACTCATCACTGCTGGATGAAGGGATGCCAAAGTGACGGAATGTTAACTACCTCGCTTGGTATGCAGGAGGTCGTGGGTTCAATCCCGACCCCGATGCATATTTGGAGTTTGCATGCCTCTCTCTCTCTCCCAGTGGTGATGTGGGTTTTTCTCCGGGTCCTCTGGTTATTCCCTCCACATTTAGAATCAACGTATGTTTGAGAGTATTTGGCTGCAATTCCACATAAGCTATCATTTGTAGCCAGGTCGCTTGTGAAAAAGAGCAACATAGCTCAGTGGGCCTTACCTGGTAAAATAAAAATTGTTTAATAGTTCTTTAGTTTCAGAGTTTAAGGACCACCACCCAAGCCACCACAATCTCTCACGGTGCCATGATGCAATCATCCCTAGCAACTGGACAGGAGCTGATGTATTGCTTCCATCTCCATGGTGAACATCCACTCGGATGCATTCCATGCCTTGGCTGCAGGTGCATCATTACTGTCCCCCATCGGTTATCAAACCTTCATGAAGTGTCCTTCCCAGGCACACTTCCTTTTCTCAACAGGTACGATGTATTTAACCAGCATGCGTTCTTTAATCCGTGTTACACTCTCCGTCTCTCAATCCAACTCCAAGCGAGCATCTTTCCACACTTTTTTGGTGCAATTAATTTTTTTTCTTCAAATTTCAACATAAATGTCCTATGTTACTGATCCGTGTCATATCAGGTAGTATGCAATGTAGAGCCGTGCAGAATATTAAATTAATAAAACTGTACCATGCTCTTTGTAAGTAAGCATCGGTTACAACCAATGCTTTATGAATTGAACAAATACGTTTTACAGTAACCATACGATGACATCTTACAAGTGATTAAGGTCAGTCCGAAGTGAAAGTTGGATGAGGTTTGTAACCAAGGAAGAGCTAACTCGTATAAACAAGTCTCTTTTCCAACTTAGGCATCGCCTATTATCGCAGACATAAAAGCAAATGTATTTTCTCCCCTGCCAAATTCAGTTATTGCATTCAGAGGCTGACCCAAGTTGAAGTCAAGATCACTAATGAGTTGCTTCTATGGTGGCTGGCTTCCCGAGCCAATTAAAGCACATTTCTCCAAGGTGTAGATTCTCTTACCAAGGTACATCTACTAAATAGCTTAAAGAGCTCACTTTCATCTTCTTGGTTCTTTCGGTACGTGACTTTACCGAAAGAACCAAGAAGATGAATCCCTGCAGTCACGAAAGCTTTAAATCGAAAGAGCTCACATTGTCCACACAGAAAAACAGCAATTGTCAAAAACAGCTCGATATATGCCAAAATAAAACTCTCTAGAGCTGACTGGTCTTGTTTAGTTAACCATCAACGAGCTGTTGTTCTTTAGCAGTCGCGAAAGCACAAGTCAGATGCACGCGGTTCCCTGTGCAGCACATGGCCCGTCATTTGGACTTTGCATTGGTCAAAGGGTGACATACGCCCTCTCTCTCCTCTCCTCTGATGCACATGTGCCAGCCCTCCTGCCAAAGCACCCAGCTGAATTGCCTTTGATAATCTGCTGCTAGCTGTGTGTAAAGGCTACTGAACAAATACATGCTGGTAAGGTCAAGGATTTTTCTCTCAGTATATATAGTACATTTTTTATATTTTTTGTTAATTCTCATTGCAGTGCAAATGTATAATATTATATAATGACATGACCACAACTCCAAACCAGGTCATACAAAAAGCTTAATATAAAAAATATGTAAATGAGCAACAACCATCTGGGAATATAACTCAACAATGAATATAGATTTTATCCGTGATTGAATTAAACTCAAAGTAAATGCACGATAACAAATTAATTATATTGCTATACATTTCATGCATGTGGACAATAAACCTATTAAGCTGAAGCTTTACATATAATTATAACCCTTTAAAGAGACAAAAAAAATGCCATCAAAATCTTTGGTTTAACTTATTCACTTAATGATAGTAAAATAATGAGAGAATGTAACGATTTAATCCTGTCACAATTCCAGGGTCATCATTTTTAATGGACATTTTATAGATTTTGTTTTCACTGTACCATCTCATATTAATTTCCTCAGTCATTAATTCAATAAGCCGAATAACATTTAAATATAATTTGTATACATTTTGACGGTGGTTCTTGAATGCACCATTAGATGCATGAATCATGAGCATTTGACTTTGTTGATTCGATTATTACATAAAAAATGTGCTTCTTACCACACAGAAAATCAAATATCTTCGACTAACAACAACTAGCCGACCTTGGCCCTAGCGATAACCCTCCCTTGGTGGTGACGAGTGAAGCGGTCAAGGACAAGTTTAGTTAAATATTATTGCACAACCTGCTCTCACACTGCCCTCATTCGGGCTGCCGTCACTTTTCTGAGTGGGTTAATCAAGTCCCCATCTGTTGCATATACGACACAACATGCCCTCGCTGCTCAACGTTGAAACATGTGCTGATGAAGCAACTGTGACTTACAGTTGCTGAATGACCGCTTGGTTTAGTTATATGGCCAAGTGGCTTTGGCAGCTGGTCCCTAATTAAGCGCAGTGTGATACGAAAAGCGTTAATATTTCCGAAAACGATTATTATTCTTACAGGCAACATTTGTTTAGCTCATATTTATGGGTGCGCTGCATACCCACTACATATGGATTCAACTGGATAACAATGAGAAAATTATTGTGCAACCAGATGAATAATGGTTGAAGTATTGTGTTCATGAGTCACAGTAGTCATGTAAGATACAGGGGGGCACACGAGGAGATGGTGGGGGGAGGGTAGTGGGATGCGACATCCACGTGAGCCCACCCAACACAGCCCCAACCACAAGCAGGAACGTGGAAAGACGGAGGCACAAGCCACAATACTGATGCACAGTGTGTTGAGATGCAGTTGCACTTTGTCGCACTATGGACATTGTCCTGTATTACCACGGCAGCTATTTCAGCCCGTAGTCCTTTACACTTTCCCGTTCCGATGACGTACGTGTACGTCATCAGTTTATCTTCAGATTCCGTTCGTAGAGGAACCAAAAGAAAAACTAAAATAACTTTCTCGGTTCCAAGGCTTCCACAAGGCCATGTGGGAGGGTGTGGGGCACAGATTGGCACCGCTACGATGGCACCTCATCAGTTATAAATTTAAATCACGCGTGCATTCACTCCAAGCGAATCTGTCGCGAGGTAGCTGATGGCTCACCGTCAAGGCGCAGGTAGCGAAAGCTACGGAAGGCAAAGTAGTCCTCCATGATGGTCATGAGGGAGGTCATCTGACAGAAGAGCAGCACTCGGTGGTTGCTGACTCTCAGCTTGGGCAGGATGCGGTCCAGTAGCTCGAACTTCCCAGATGCGCGGAATAGGTCAGCCCTGATAGCAGTTAATGAAGACATTGGTTAGTCGAAGTCAATGCACGCAAGTACGTTGAACTTAAAATTTAGATTTAAAGCTTTCGTGACTGCAGCGATTCATCTTCTTGGTTCTTTCGGTAAAGTCACGTAGAAGGGAGATAATAAAATAATAAAATAAAACATAATAAAATAATACAATTCTCACGACGTTTCGGCCACAACGCAAGCAGCCGTCCTCAGGTGAAGAACAGGTCTGTCGGAAAGACAGCGTTTTATTATGTTATATTTTTATTATTTTATCATCTCCCTTCTACGTGACTTTACGTTGAACTTATTTCTCACCATACGTAGCCAAACCGTGCTGATAGGAGGTGCAATGGAAGGGCAACAAACTAGCACACAAACAAAATCAAAGTGTGTACCCAACTCAAACGGGCCACTGTCATAGGCAGTAGTCATCTCTGCCGAGCTTGAGCTCATGGTGGAATTCATATGGTAGGGCGCCAGGATCACCGCTGGTCGTTTCCCACAAAGTGATGCTCATTTTGTCAACCTCGGCATTATGATGGGTTGAGTCAACTCCAGACAAGGAATTCCATTTTTAAGTTTAACTTCCGATTTTTCTCAACAAAAACTTAAAAATGTACAAGCAGGTACAACTGTAAACGTATGTAAGGAATTCAACAATAATATTGCGACCTCATCATTTGCAATTGGTTGCGTATGTTTTCAAATAAAATGTAGAGCCACGTCATAAAAGCTCTCAATTCGATCACCGTTGGTTAAAAAAATACTCCCTCCCGTAAATAGTCAAATCTGACGGCTAGGTTGGAGACAATTACATCAGTTTCCCATCTGCCCTTGTAAGCACAGAAGTAGCATCAACATAGAACAGATGGTCACTTCAAAATGCCCCTTGAGCAGGTGCAACCAATTGAAATCTGAGGAAGCCAAACTGCTACGCAACAGCAATAAAATAATGACAGCGGTAAGGTGCCTTCACACAACTTATGAATGTGTGTGCGAGAGACAATACATTTATACTCTTTGGTTCTTTCGGTAAAGTCACGTAGAAGGGAAATAATAAAATAATAAAAATAAAACATAATAAAATAATTCTCACGACATTTTGGCCAAAGAATTCTCTCATTCAGACGCTGTCTTTCCGACAGACCTGTTCTTCACATGAGGACGGCTGCTTGCGTTGTGGCCGAAACGTCGTGAGAATTATTTATGTTTTATTTTTATTATTTTATTATTTCCCTTCTACGTGACTTTACCGAAAGAACCAAGAAGATGAATGCATATATTATCAGTGTGGTTTTTTTTTTGCATTTTGACTGCAAGTATTGTGGTTAATGCAGACATGAATCCTTGTAAAAAGGTTTCAGTTTTGTTGCCATAAAAAAGGGGAAAAACCCTATTATTATGTGTCATTAAACCTACCACCACCCGACAGCAAATTAGTAAGGTTTGTGACGTAAACAAAATGTGCCAATGAGTGACGACTTCAGCACCACCGGTGGTATTCTTATGTTTTTTCGGTAAAGTCACGTAGGTAAAAAAATAAAAACGTCGTGATTTTTTATTTTATTTTACTTTTATTAATGTAAATTTTTTACCTATGTGACTTTACCGAAAAAACCTAAGAATATGAATCTTTGCAGTCACGAAAGCTTCAAATCTAGGAACCACCGGTCAACCCACAACATTAACAATTCGAGCACGACGTTTCGCTGGCGACTACAACCCGCTTCATCAGGCGATGAGCTAGAATTGTGAAGTCTTCTTCCTGTTTCTGTCTTGAATGTAAGTCACCGACAGACATTCCAGAATGCGAAACACATTGAACCGTGCAGCAGGGCGCTTTTGGGAAGCATCCACAAGCAGGACCATCCAATGTTCCCAAGTTGTACAATTGGAAAAACATGCAAAACCGTAGTGCAATTGAATCTTAATGTTTTCACAACAAAAAGTTCCGATGCTTTGCACCTTTACAATAACCTTAAAATAGATACATTTAAAATTGCAACTGTATGAAGCTCGTAATAATGTTAATATCACTCTCACCCTTGCACGATGCTGTTGGGGAAGCCAAGATGTTCCGCAAACGACTCCTGCATCCCCACACCAAAGCACGTTCACTCATTTGCCTTTCAATACACGAATCAAGACAACTCAGCTGACAATGCGCTATTTGCGACGCTTGCTCCTGGAAGAGTTTAAAATCCAATGGTGGCACGTGCTCTCTGAGCACAACTTGCAAGTTGCCGCGAACCAGTGGCACATTTTGAATCAATCGCAGCAGGGCGCCACATCAACATCCTGGCTTTCATTAAGCAGCTTGCAAGGCCGTTTAACCATTGAATGGAAAAAGAACATTTACTTTGAATGCCAGTTTTAAGCAATCGATTAATTACGATTTAATTAAGTAAAAAAATTGTATGTTGAACATCTTTTGCACTGTACGTAGCCAACTGTGATAATCGGAGGGTGTGTGGGGGGAAGGACAACAAAATAAACACAACAATTCGCTTTATAGAAATTAGTTTTCAATCTATATTTAAAAGCGTATAGCTCCAGTGGCTTCCTAATATCGGAAGAGCGTTTCAGACTGCCGCAAAAGCGCATCTCAAAGCGTGCGATGCAGTGACCCGTCTTTAGTCGATGGTTAGCCAAAACCTGCTGCTGCGAGAATGACCAGAGTTTGCACGACAATTTACGCTCCTTGATGAGAGCAGCGATGTATTGTGGTTCGTTTGTGGCAAGCACTTTGTGTGCAACGAGTGCGGCCTTAAAATGTATTCCGTTCAGCAACCGGAAGCCAAACATTTATTTAATGACGGGTAATAAAATAACAGACAAGTCTACTTTCACCAAGAAAACACCTTCAAGCAGCAGTTCACGGTTCACCTGGTTCAGGCTGCATACAAGGAACTTTGATCCTTTGCTCCGGCGCCTCCCGGACTCCTCGATCAAACAATGCGTCCCGATTTATATGATTTTGTTCTATCAGCCTACAATGCCTTCTGGAGCAATGTTTTATATCACTATTTGCTTAAGCAGGTGACCAACTCTCTACTAATTTGAATGCTGAGTATCATCAACACTAGAGCCTGCTCAAACATATTAATGATTGGCAGATTTTTCTCTCTCGCCAAAGTCTGGATGAAGGCCCTTCAGTCGAGGCAACTGCAGAGGTAAATTTACCAGAATGCGCATGGAAAATGGCGACGAACTATGGCAATAACAGCAAATAAAAAACGATGTTTTAATTGCGTATTTCATTAAAAGCGACGTAAACATCGCTAATCAGGCAATTCCAAGGGGTGATATACACCAGCACACAAGTGCCGGTGCTAAACCACAAAGCAAAACTAAACGTAGTAACAACCCCGAGTCTCTTTTGCAGCAGGCCCGCGCTCACCTCGATGTGCTGGAACATGTAAGGATGGTTTGCAATCTTCCTCAGCTGTACGATGGTGTTCATCAGAGTCTTGGCACCACCCTTGCCCTGTAGGTTAGGGGTAACACGTGTTGCTGGTCAAAAACAAACCTCGTTATGCGTCTACTGCAATGCTCGAACCTCAGCTTTGGGAACTGGCATCATCCTAGCAATATTATAATTTTATTGATAAATTCATTTTTTTCCTAACAGATTTTTCTTAGATAGAATTATTAGTGCTAACATCGGCCCCTGTTGAGACTTAAACAACCATGAGTGGGTGAAATGAGGATGACTGAAGGGGGAAGCAAGTGGTGCAAGTGTGACATCTACAATGCCCTCTCTTATCCAGGAAATCATGAACTGAATCTAAAGGACTTGTTATGGGGACGTTAGATCAATGACCTTCACGAGTGTTCTTCATGGAGGAGAAAACCAGAGCAACCGAAGAAAACTCATCCATATGTGAACACAATACGGTCACAGTTCAGCAAGTTTGGGAGTTTCACAATTTTTAAAAGGTCGGCACCAAGTCTTGCTTCAAAACGGACAGTGATATGCGAGCGACTGCTTCCAGCCACACAATTCAACGTGCCAATTGGAGAAATATCGATGGATAACTCCCCAAGTCTCCACTTCATCAATACACATTGACATGTGAAATACGGTAAAACACCATAAACGATAGAACATATGGGTGCCATTGGAACCTCCTTTGCCAGTAGCAAAACAATAATTGTTTTTTTTACCCTTTTATCTGGCAACAAAACTGACACCTTTTTTTACAAGGAGTCATGTTTGCATTGACCACAATACCTGCGGTCGGAATGCAAACAAAAAACACAACTCTGATAAAGTATGCACTGTCCTTGAAATTGATTGGTCCACACCCGAGACAGCTTTCCTTGGAGCCTAGTTTCACATGGTGTTGGACCAGATGACGCCAAAATGCGTATTGTTGCCAGATAAAAGGGTAAAAAAAATCTCAATTAACATATGGGTGGTATTTATCCGGCATTGATTTGACAAAAGGTCTGTAAATTATTATCAGATGGTGTGGTGGCATTGTGGTTCTAGTCCTGTGCAATGACCTTGCCGACCTGTGTTTGATTCCCTGCCACAGCTGACATCAGGGGTAAGTAAAATGTCAATCCGTCTTGGGGACCTCTACACCAACCCGCACATGCACACACCCTGTGGCTTACACAAGCGGGGATTTGGTAAACTGTGAGATGAAGGCAAAAGTTGGTGGGATTTCTGTGCGCTACGCCCGTGCAATAATGGTGCGGCACCTTCTTGTCCTTCTCTGAGCCATCGGTGAGCAGCACGCCCTTGGCCTGCATGTGTCGGTACAGCACCTTCTGCAGCGCTGACATGTCGCACTTGACCACGTACTCCACCTGCAGGAACGCACACAGTTTTAATAAACGAACAACGGAAGGGTGCAGGTTTTTTTACAGTGGCGCTGTATAGCTCCAGATGCATAATTTGAGTGTTCTCTTGCACCGTTACGTAGCAAACGGTGCTATTCTGAGATGCGAGGGAAGGACAACAAATTAAACACAACGAGCAGTTCTAAATAAATTAGTTTTAAATCGAATTTAGGTTGTGCTGTGTTGTTCAGCATGTCTGACATTTTGTTCCACGTTCTGGTAGCTTCCTCGGGAACCACAGATACTGTAGAGGCTCCCAAGCATGCAAAATGAATCGTCTGACTACACGCTAAACAGTTCGCAGTTCCTGAAGAAGCTCCCAGCACATGCAGCGAAACTTCCGATGTCATTCAGAAAAATACACGGTACAACCAGAAATCACATCAGTGAGAATAAAATTTGTTCTTTTTGAGCCACGCGAGAAAATTTGATTACACTTTGATACTTGTCATCGGCAGTGAAAAGAACATTACGAGAAATCTGCTACAGGCAGCACCGCACACTAGCGAAATTCTTTGCGAGTATTTCACCAACATTAACATACCGTGTGCAGGGAAAAAGACATAAACGTTCATCCATATTATAAATGCAAACGCCTACAAGCAATTATGAATTTGATTTTAAATCGGCTTCTATTGTATTAATCTGAAAATGATGCACCCGCATCCTCCTTGTGTGTGCCAGCATGTATATTTATATAAACAGGGGTGACGGGGTGCTGCGAGATGATGTTGTTGGTCAGCAGAGGGCACAGCGGCTAAGCCCATCCCTTCAAGTCACCAACTCTAACTCCACCCCCGCTTTAACAAACCCACAAAGGCCAGCATAAAGTACAACGCACGTGGCGTGGTGGTAGCCCTCACCCAGTGGTGGACTGACAACTGAGCTGCACTCCCTGGCATACCCAAAGTGCAAGCACCCCCCCAACACCCCGCTGTAGGTCCCCTCTCCTCGCTCATCCCGTAGGTCGCTTCTGAAAAAGAGCTATATATACTGAGACCTCCTTTACCAGTCATCTGGTCCAACACCATGTGAGACTAGGCTCTAAGAAAAGCTGTCTCGGGTGTGGACCAATCAACTTCAACGACTGTGCATATCATTATCAGAGTTGTTTTCTTTTTGTTTGCATTTTGACTGCTTGTGTTGTGGTTATTGCAAACATGATGCCTTGTATAAAGGTGTCAGTTTTTGTACCAGTTTAAAGGTTAAAAACCTACTACGAGCTATATATAGCTCAGTGGGCCTTTCCTGGTAAAAAAAAAGTTTAGTTTAGTAGCGCGCGCCCACCCTGGATTCGGCGTCGCCCGCCCCCGTGTGAGCACTACCTTCTCGTGTGGGTACTACCTTCTCGTGTGGGCACTACCTTCCCGTGTGAGCACTACCTTCTCGTGTGGGCACTAACTTCTCGTGTGAGCACTACCTTCTCGTGTGAGCAATACCTTCTCGTGTGGGCACTACCTTCTCGTGTGGGCACTACCTTCTCGTGTGGGCACTACCTTCTCGTGTGAGCACTACCTTCTCGTGTGGGCACTACCTTCTCGTGTGAGCACTACCTTCTCGTGCGGGCACTACCTTCTCGTGTGAGCACTACCTTCTCGTGTGAGCACTACCTTCTCGTGTGGGCACTACCTTTTCGTGTGGGCACTACCGTCTCGTGTGAGCACTACCTTCTCGTGTGGGCACTACCTTCCCGTGTGAGCACTACCTTCTCGTGTGAGCACTACCTTCTCATGTGGGCACTACCGTCTCGTGTGAGCACTACCTTCTCGTGTGGGCACTACCTTCCCGTGTGAGCACTACCTTCTCGTGTGAGCACTACCGTCTCGTGTGAGCACTACCTTCTCGTGTGAGCACTACCTTCTCGTGTGAGCACTACCGTCTCGTGTGGGCACTACCTTCTCGTGTGGGCACTACCTTCCCGTGTGAGCACTACCTTCTCGTGTGGGCACTACCGTCTCGTGCGAGCACTACCTTCTCGTGCGAGCACTACCTTCTCGTGTGAGCACTACCTTCTCGTGCGAGCACTACCTTCTCGTGTGGGCACTACCTTCTCGTGTGGGCACTACCTTCTCGTGTGAGCACTACCGTCTCGTGTGAGCACTACCTTCTCGTGCGAGCACTACCTTCTCGTGTGAGCACTACCGTCTCGTGTGAGCACTACCTTCTCGTGTGAGCACTACCGTCTCGTGTGAGCACTACCTTCTCGTGTGAGCACTACCTTCTCGTGTGGGCACTACCTTCTCGTGTGAGCACTACCGTCCTCGTGTGAGCACTACCTTCTCGTGTGAGCACTACCTTCTCGTGTGGGCACTACCTTCCGTGTGAGCACTACCTTCTCGTGTGAGCACTACCTTCTCGTGTGGGCACTACCGTCTCGTGTGAGCACTACCTTCTCGTGTGGCACTACCTTCCTGTGAGCACTACCTTCTCGTGTGAGCACTACCTTCTCGTGTGGGCACTACCTTCTCGTGTGGGCACTACCTTCTCGTGTGAGCACTACCTTCTCGTGTGAGCACTACCTTCTCGTGTGAGCACTACCTTCTCGTGTGAGCACTACCTTCTCGTGTGAGCACTACCGTCTCGTGTGAGCACTACCTTCTCGTGTGGGCACTACCTTCTCGTGTGGGCACTACCTTCTCGTGTGAGCACTACCTTCTCGTGTGAGCACTACCGTCTCGTGTGGGCACTACCGTCTCGTGTGGGCACTACCGTCTCGTGTGAGCACTACCTTCTCGTGCGAGCACTACCTTCTCGTGTGGGCACTACCTTCTCGTGTGAGCACTACCGTCTCGTGTGAGCACTATCTTCTCGTGCGAGCACTACCTTCTCGTGTGAGCACTACCGTCTCGTGTGGGCACTACCTTCTCGTGTGGGCACTACCGTCTCGTGTGGGCACTACCTTCCCGTGTGAGCACTACCTTCTCGTGTGGGCACTACCGTCTCGTGTGAGCACTACCTTCTCGTGCGAGCACTACCTTCTCGTGTGAGCACTACCTTCTCGTGTGAGCACTACCTTCTCGTGCGAGCACTACCTTCTCGTGCGAGCACTACCGTCTCGTGTGAGCACTACCTTCTCGTGTGAGCACTACCGTCTCGTGTGAGCACTACCTTCTCGTGTGGGCACTACCTTCTCGTGTGGGCACTACCTTCTCGTGTGAGCACTACCTTCTCGTGTGAGCACTACCTTCTCGTGTGAGCACTACCTTCTCGTGTGAGCACTACCTTCTCGTGTGAGCACTACCGTCTCGTGTGAGCACTACCTTCTCGTGTGGGCACTACCTTCTCGTGTGAGCACTACCTTCTCGTGTGAGCACTACCTTCTCGTGTGAGCACTACCTTCTCGTGTGGGCACTACCTTCTCGTGTGAGCACTACCTTCTCGTGTGAGCACTACCTTCTCGTGTGAGCACTACCTTCTCGTGTGGGCACTACCGTCTCGTGTGAGCGCTACCTTCTCGTGTGAGCACTACCTTCTCGTGTGAGCACTACCTTCTCGTGTGAGCACTACCTTCTCGTGTGAGCACTACCTTCTCGTGTGAGCACTACCGTCTCGTGTGGGCACTACCGTCTCGTGTGAGCACTACCTTCTCGTGTGAGCATTACCTTTTCGGGCAGCTGGGACTCGACCTCTTTCTTGAGGCGGCGCAGGAGGAAGGGGCGCAGCACCTTGTGCAGACGGCGGAATAATGAGGATTGTCTCCTCCTCGTTGAGGTCCACCTGTTGTGCAGCCAACACGCCACGCGCAAACCATCAAAGGACGACCGCAGATCAACCCGGACAACAGGCAGAGCCCAAGAGATGATAGAGATGGGACAGGAAGAAGAAGGGAGGTGTAGCATTTTTCCGCATGGCTCCAAACACTTTTTGGCAGTCCTGCCAGCGGGGAGACGACCGAACCATTATTATATACAGGTAGTCCTTTACTTACGATGGAGATGCGTTACGATGACCCCATCGTAAGTCAAAAATATCGCAAGTCGAAGATGGCCTAGCCTACCCAGGAGTCTTTAAGAATGGTGATAATTTAGCAAAACAGAGCGATTTACAGTACCGTACTGTATAAACTATATACTGTATGTATTTCTTAATTACAATACTGTATTGCACAGTAAAATGTAAAGTAAAAATAAACAAGGTAAATACTTAGCCTACGTATATGAACTGCAATTTAATAGAAATTTTTTTTAGGAAACAATCCATTCTGCTATAAAAAAACTTTTAACATGCATTGAACGTATCGTATCGTGGTAACCCTAAAATGAAATCGCTAAAGCTACGTATCATGCATGCATTGAACGTACAGTATCGTACGCTGCTGCATTTGCCTGCCGCGTGAAATTTAAAATAGTTGACAATTTTGTCGTATCGCTATCGTAAGATCGAAATATCGAAGTCGGACCATCGTAACTCGGGGACTATCTGTATACTAGGCTTCCAATGCTTCACTGGGTCACACCATGACTGTCGCCTGATATGCAGGAGGTTGTGGGTTCGCGAATTCCATCCTGACCATGACGCCTGTATATTTGGAGACTGCATGTTCTCCCCGTGGTCGCGCGGATTCTACTCCGGGTTCTCTGGGGTTTTCTCCTCCACATTTAGAATCAACATGCGTTTAGATTTGGTTGCAATACATTTTCACGTGATAAGCCACTCTGTTGACCTATCATTTGTGGCTAGGTTGCTTCTTAAAAAGAGCAATATAGCTCAGTGGGCCTTACCTGGTAAAATATTTATTTTTAGTAGTTTACTCCATTATTCATATTGTCTCTCTCATACATATCTTGTTTGATTTGCAGTTTGTTCAATTAGCCGAAAGGTAATATTGTAAAAATAAAAACGGACTCTTACATGTACAATTCAATGCATATATTTCAACCATAAAAATTGATTTTAATTGACGATTTGTGAGTACCCTGGGAATACCACACCTGTTTTTAAAGAATGTATTACATTATGAGTTGTCCAATATTGCTGACAACAATACAAACATTATTATCAACGAGCCTTTTGCCCGTCCAAGGACGCAGTAAATCTGAAACTTGCAAGCGAAAAGCAGACGGCGACGTGATAGTCATTGCATCAATGCGTGTGCAATTTGTAAGGGCGCGGTGACACAGACTTATTTCATCTTAAGGTTATAATCCATTGCTCATCATGACGTCCTTTTTACACGCTTTTCATTAACTCACTCTGTCTGTTGTTGTATCCTCAAATCTTGTAACTCAATTTTTACCCACTTCCCAATGTGGTATCGACTACAAACTTGGTATACTTATGTCATACTGATGACAATACTATATTCTATCATTCAAAATAAATTTTTTTTAACATTCTTTTTTACGTTATGTTTCGGCTTGGGTCTAATTGTCTACGCTCAACTGATGTTGGCTGTAAATCACCACGGCCCCTTACGTTATGGCAAGCTTCGGGGCCACTTCCTGGAGTCGCGGAGTTCTTCCATTACTAGTACGGTACATTTCATTAAAGCGTGTTTAAAAAAAAGTTTTTTTAAATATTACTTTTACTTCGATGTCTCAACAGTGTGACGGAGATTGCGTGACGTGAGGCTTCTGCCTTTGCAGTGAGGGTTGTAAGTTGCCGCCGAGGAGGGGGGAGGAGGCACCTCGGCCCCCCCCATGTGGAGTGACGTCACCCGCTAATTATTATGAATGGAGGGGAGGGGTGTCCATTTGGAGGACGTCACCTGTTTTTAATTATTAATGAGGGGGGCTGTTCGATGTGGAGTTACGTCACCTGCTCATGATTATTAATGAGGGGGGCTGGTCGATGTGGAGCGACGTCACAAGCGTCAAGGACAGACATTCCTGGGTGATTATTGTTGGTATAGTAATGGAAACTGCTTTCCACCACAACAGTTTAGTAACCTTCCTATGACACTTGACCGTCGGCCAGAATCACATACTGGCTGGGATATATATTGCCTTGACGTTTCACCATCGTTTCTATTTGCTACATTGGCACAATGTCATGAAAAAAATCGGACAAGTGTGACCTTTGCCAACATTTAACTCGAACCATACAGAGACTACGTGTGCCGTGTTCATATCTGGCCCCGAATCCACAAGCACAATCGTTACTCACTCCATAAAAAATATTTTTTTTGGGGTTAAAATGCGTAATTATAAATATGTCGTTAAATTCGCCACCAACCGAAACAGCCAATTAGTATGGTCACGTAAACAAAACGTGCCAATCAGTTCCACCTTTAGCACAACGGTTGTGTGTTGGGTAAACCCACATTTACAAGTGTGACGTTTCACTGGCGGTTACAACCAGCATCATAGGGCGATTAGCCAGAATTGTGAAGTCTTCTTTCTGTTTCGGTCTTAAATAGAGTAGAGGTGACGTCATCACTGTGAGCCTCAGGTGCAAACACCAGAGAAGGGGGTTAATGTAGTCATATCTATTTTGGATATTGGTCGCGAAAGCCTACGTGTTAAAACACATTCCTGCGGAGGGAGCTGGTAGGAACGTTGGGTTGCTCGGTCAATGGCCAGGGTCAACGGTGGCGTGGTGTATTCCGCAAATATGCCCGACTGTGAGGGCGGGCACAAGCTGGCGTGAGTAGGTTAAATGTTGAGTTTTACAAGGGCACCACGGGGTGACCAGCCCCTCCCCTCCCCACCCCTCCTACCCCCCACCCAGCCCCACCCTCCCCACCCAGCCCAACCCTCCCCAACCCTCCCCACCCAGCCCCTCCCCACCCCACCCAGCCCCCCCCTCCACACCCAGCCCCTCCCTGCACGACGGACGGACGGACAGACAGAATAATCCCCTGTGGGCTGGTGTAACCAGGAGGTTCCTACCAGTACCAAACTACTCAATCCGCCTACAGAGAGCTGAACAACGAACCTTTTCTCCCGTCAAGGCAAAGGGGGCGTTGAACCACTGCTCAAAGGTGCTGCAGCTCTTGAAGATGGTGGGCAGCAGGAAGTTGAGCAGGGCCCACAGCTCGGGCAGCTTGTTCTGCAGCGGCGTCCCCGTGAGCAGAAGGCGTCGTGGCGCGATGTAGTGCGTGTTCAGCACCTGCGCAACGTTCGGAGAGTCAGGAACCGGGTGGGGGAGGGGGGTCAAGAGTTAAGAGGAGGCTAAACCAGAGGGCGGCAAACCTGCAGCTACAGAGCTGCATACGGCTCTTTAAGGACTGCTTCCTGACATCATTTATTAAGGGCCATCCCATATTCACCAAGTGCATTTCGGCTCTTGAAATATTGAGTTTCTTTACTGAATTCGAAACAGAATGGCTCTTATTATTTTGGTTGCCGACCCCTAGGCTAGACGGAAGAAGGACACGTGTGCTGTCAATCAATCAGTAGACACGGCCGGGCAGTAGCACGTTTTAAATTTTTATTTAAAGCTTTCGTGACTGCAGGGATTCATATTCTTGGTTCTTTCGTTAAAGTCACGTAGGAGGGAAACAATAAATAATAAAAATATAAAACAATACAATTCTCACGACGTTTCGATTGCAACACAAGCAATCATCATCAAGTGTGAAAACCACATCAAGACAATTTGAAAAAAAGTGGCGTTTTTTTCTGGAGCACGTTTGCCCACTTGCTGCAGGGGATCACGGTTCGAGCCCTGCCAGCCACCCTGGTCAATATCTCGGGTGCTTTACCCCCCAAAAAACGCACACCCAATGCTTTACACTTTCACTGAGGACACGAAGATCCAGTGGCGTTATTAAAAAATGGGTACGCCATGTGTGTGAGTCACGGTCAAAAGTTTGCAAAAATTACTAAGAAAATTACCACAAGGATAAAATAAAGTATTGCACCTGACTGTTAAACTAATGCAGACCAAGGACGTAATTATAATATATATTGGGGGACACACACACACACACACACCCCCCCCCCTCAATATTCAAATATGCTCAAAATGTCCCCCCCCCAATATATTGCTATAAAAATATTAAAAATAATAATTGCTATGCTATGTAAATAAAAACAATTCGCTAAACCTTGGCCACAATATCTGGACTTGTCTTCATATAACAGTGCATAGATTTCTGTTTAGATTATTGTGGTTATGGTTGTACTGTATTAATCCCTAATCTCAGCCATTACATACAATGAAACAAGAAAATGAAAAGACTAAAAAACAGAGTAGACATTGTAAAAAAATTAATAAAAAGTCCATCCCATGTGTTAGTGAATTTTAAACAGGAAATGAGTTTTCAAATGGAAGATTTCGTCCCCCCAAATGTTATTATGATAGCCTTGCACGATAATGGGGCAAATACCATACGTACTTATGATTGTATTTGAAGTGCAGTCAAACTAAAAGCTTCTGCACGACTGAACACACGTTATCCCACAAAACACAGTCCAGCAATAAAGGAGCAAGTGTCCAAAATTCATATACCTGGGTCAGCTTGCAGTGGTGGTTCTTCATTCTGTGTCCTTCGTCCACAATCATGTACTTCCAGCGGAGCTGCGTGGGCACACCGGTACAAAGGTGTTCATAGCTTGGACACAACGACAGCAGACAAGTTGACTCGAAGCCTTCATTGGCACTAGTTTAGATTTGAAGTTTTCGTGACTGCAATGTTCCATACTCTTTGGTTCTTTCGGTAAAGTCACGTACGTATAAAATGAAAGTAAAATAAAAAACCTTTTTTTATATAAAAAAAAGTAAAAAAAATAAAAAAGACATTTATTTATTTTTTTTATGAAAAAAAGTTTTTTTATTTTATACCTACGTGACTTTACCAAAAGAACCATTGGCACTGTTACGATTGCAGCCTTGGGGGGCAGCACGTGTCTTGTGTGTAACCGCGGTACAATTGGAACAAATATTCTTCTAGTGTTCCGGGAAAAGTCCTGGCAAGATATAATTCAATGTCGCCTTTGCCAGGCACACCGAGGAAGCTTGGCGGAGGCCACCCCAACACACGAATGGAATACGACTGGGAAAAAATTAACCCGTAAAAACAAAGTTTTTCACTATAAATCCTTTATATGCGTGGCATCAGTTTTATTTTATTATTCATTTCTGTTTTTCTTGAGTAAGAGTTTAATTTTTATCACATTGGTATTTTAAATTAAATATGAAAAAAAAAATTTCCTAAAAAGTGGAAAATTTTGGAAAAAAAATTTCACGAAAAGAAATTGTCACGCACAACGAGTCTGTGTGCAAAATGTCAGCTCGATTGGATCACGGGAAGTGGGTTAAAAAAAAACCGAAAGATTTGAACGGTCGTAAGCGCGCAAGCAAGCAAGCAAGCGAACTTAATATAAAGGATTTAAAAAGAGCAAAGGTAACAGCAGGCTGTGTCAGCACATGTCCGAGGCGATGGCTACCTTGGCCAGCACGTGCTTGTCCTTGATGATGTACTCGTACGTGGTGAGCAGCACGTTGAACTTTCCGCTGCGAAGCTGTGGCATGAATGCTCGCCGCGCAAGAGGAGAACCCTGCAGGAATTGGCGGAGCGATCTTTGTGAGCAAAGCACATTTAAAATTCTGCCTCTTGTTCATGGACTTGTGAAATATTACACCCCGTCGTATGGACAACACCTCACAGCAAGTCAACAGCCAACTCACTGTCATTTTTATCTTCTTGCATATTAACAAAAAAAATTGTGCATTTTTGCGAGTATAAAAATAAAACATGTCTATGCAGTTCTCCAGATCTCCTTTTTAAAATAAAAATGCATCTCAATAGGCTCGACAATGATTAGAGAACATCTAAATATTTTTTATTTAAAGCTTTCGTGACTGCAGGGATTCATATTCTTGGTTCTTTCGGTAAAGTCAAGAAGAAAGGAAATGATAAAATAATATAAATATAAAACAATTAAATTCTCACGTTTCGACTGCAACACAAGCAATCATCATCAGGTGTTGCAGTCGAAACTTCGTGAGAATTTTATTGTTTTATTTTTATTATTTTATTATTTCCCTTCTACGTGACTTTACCGAAAAAACCAAGAACATCTAAACATTTATGCCACCGTTATCAAGAACATACGTACACACACTCATTACATGCATGGACGTGCTACGGCTCATTTGTCTGATATGAAGGAGGCAGCCATATTACTTTTATGTATATTTTGCATCAGCAATAGCCACCTTGTAAGATATCTTCACCACGGATGGGCCCCATTTGTCAAATTCCAGCATCCAGTTTGACAAGGTCCTGTTGAAAAATATAAAGATTGTAAAATAGATTAAAAAGGCCACATTAGTGTGATATGCATGACAGGTTCAATTTACATCCTAGTGAAAAGTTGAAGATATCACATACTACGCATAACTTCAGATATAAAAGTGGAGCAATAAGCAAAATCACATGCATATACACAAAAGCAACTCTCAATGGACCATCAGCAGCAATGGGTCATTAGAATTTTACAGCTTCCCAAAAATGTTATGGAGTTGGAGCGGTAGTGGAGTGGTTAGTGCACTGCAACATGAACCCAGTTTCCCGAATTAAATTCCCAGCCAAGTGGTAAAATATCTGAAATGGTCCTTGCCCAATGCCTCCTGCACCAACCCACACACTGACCAGCATGGTGAAGTTTTGCCAAACAAACCCTGTGACTGACACAGCATGGGGAGGCCTTCACCCAGCATTGGATTGACAAAGGGCTGTGAATTATTATTAACTAGCGGTAAGTACCTGGCGTTGCTCGGGTGAAAAAGGCAGAAACACACATGGACTTACACACAGACATTTTCCCACACACATAGAAACACATCGACTAAGACGCACACACATATATGGTTAAACCCAGGATGGATCGTTAGCAGGCCAGCCTAAATGTTTCTAACCGGCGAAGATGTTCCATTAGGGGGTGCACGTTTCGCAAGCGTATTATTAATACTATTACCATATACAGTAAAACCTTGGATTGCGAGTAACTTGGTCTGCGAGTGTTTTGCAAGACGAGCAAATTTTTTAAATAAATATTAATTTGATAAACGAGCGAGCTCTTGCAATACGAGTAGCGCGTGTATACGCTTTGTCTGCCGAGCGTCACGTGAGCACAACTGATATACGAGTGATTTGGATTACAAACACGTTTCCGGAACGAATTATGCTCGCCAGCCAACGTTTTACTGTACTCCAAATTAAAAGATGCATTTAACTCCTTGTATTTTAAATCAAGAGTTACGAATGCGTTTTTTGAATCTTAGTTGTTCCACAGCAATATATGACCACCCAGAGGATGGAAGGACACCAGGAGCTGTTGAGGATCATTTTCCAAAAGACACCTCACCATATTTAACAAAAACATTCATAATCATCTGCTTGCAGATAGCTCTCTGTAGCAGCACATTTTCCCAAGTAAAAATAAACTTTATTTAAAAATGACGGCAAAGTCTGAGGTGAGTCTTGATTTTCCGGAGCATCTTACAAATCGGGAGAATGCAGTACATCCAACTTATGCATCATTGAGCTTTACAATTAAGCCAATGCTGGTTATAATTGACTAGCTTTACTACCCGGCTTCGAATTGGATTCACCACGCCGGGCCACCTTTGTCTCCCCAGTGGCGATGTTTACACACCACACCAGTTACTCATTTGAGCCTGAGTCAATCTAGGGGAGGCCCAGGACCGGTTCAAATAATTGTCACCGGTGGTGGCCGTGAGCGGGAATCGAACTCGGGTCGCCGGGTTCGTAGCGCAGCGCGCTAACCACTACACACAACTTTCAGGGTGCGAACGGCAGTAAACGACTGAAATAATAAAGCGGCAATGCTGCGCGAAGAACGCCTTAGACCTGCAACACATTTGTATTTCACTTTAGCCGCGATCAGCAGGCACACTCCGTTACGCTTCCGCATACGGGTCACATGACAGATGTGACGTCACAGCTCACTTGCCGTGCAAAATATATGCATTATTGCGCCCCCCTCCCCCAAAAATACAAGAGTCTATTCTTATAATTTGTGCATGGTGTACAGTCTGGAAAGTACCCACATGGCAAATTTAAAGTTTGTTGCATGTCGGGAAGCACGCTAAACATTTTAAACAGACACACAATCACAAATTTCCATTTTATATATTGTATATCGATGAATCTCACGAGAGGGGTACGATGATGAGGAAGGGCCCATTGAGTCGCTTGTGCTCCATGAGGTAGGTGATGAGGGCTATGGTCTGGATAGTCTTGCCGAGCCCCATCTCGTCAGCCAGGATGCCGTTGAGGTTGTTGTTGTAGAGCGACACCAGCCACTCGAGGCCTTGTACCTGTAGCCGGGAAGGGGGGGGGGGCAGTTTAACACACGGTTGTGGCATATGAGACAACACCCTATAACCCAACCCACCCAAAATGCAGCCCCCCCAATCTCGTCGGATCTCAGAAGCGAAGCAAACTTGAGCCTGCGCAGTACTTTGGACAGAGCGAAAGCCATGCACAGAAAGAACGATAAAGGCTGCGGGTCTACGTTGTCGACAGAAGAGGGCAGTGCGACAAAATCCATTGTTGTACTATACTTCATGCTCACGTCTATGCTGCCTGTCTTCAACAACCCGCAGCGACCAGCATGGTGGAATATGGACAAATAATAACCTCAAAGACCTCGACAGCGATCAAAAGGCCCTCACCTTGTAGTGGGACTGACAGAGGACTGTGCATTTAACGAAGAGAACAGAGAGTTTTATGCGGACAAGGTTCAAAGCATAAGGAGGGGCAATAGGTAAGATGCAGACCTGGTACATCTTGAGCGAGCCGTTGACAAGCAGGGACGACTGGCACTCCACCCTCTCGGAGACAGCGTGGGCCATGGTGTAGTAGGACTGCGATCCGCTCACCTCCTGCCTGCGGTACTCATCATCTACATCCTGTCGGGCGTGCCTGTCCAACGACAAAAGACCGTGTGGAATCACTCTTCACCACCAAAAACAAAGATCCCCCATATAGTCTTAACATAATATTGGGGCAAGTGCTGTTAAGGGTGTAGCACCTATGAATGCACCGTACACAAGGGAGTGGGTGGCCAGCACCATGCCAGGCACCTTTGTCTCTCCCAAGTGGAGATGATCACACACTGCATCATGTACTCATTTGAGGCTGAATCGACCTAGGACCGGTTCAGATAATCGTCACTTATGTTAAGCGGAATCGAACCTGGGTTACTGGGTTTATAGTGCAGCACACTAACCGCGACACTACTGCTCTCCAACACCACCACCACCACCACCATTTTCATAAAAAATATAAAGTCGAGTTTTATTCGTACGCATGTTGAACTTCTTTCGCACCGTACATAGGTCAACCGTGCTAATCAGAGGTGCGGGGGGGGGGAAGGCCAACAAACTAAACACAAAAAGCAGTTCTAAAGAAATTCGTTTTCATACTCGTTGGTTCTTTCGGTAAAATATAAAATAAAATAAATTAAATCACGACGTTTCGGGCGCAACACAAGTGGCCGTCATCTGGTGGGACAACCACAGCAAGAAACAATTGCTGAAGTGGGCAAAAGGGGGCTGCTTGTAACAAGAGGCTATATAAGTAAGAGAGAGGGGGGGGGGGGAGCCAGGGAGGAGAGATAGAGAGGGTGGGGGTGTGGGGTAGGGGGAGTGGAGAAGTGCAAGCTCCAACACATTCAAATCTAGATTGAAATTAGTTTTCAATTAAGAAAAAACAAGTGAGCAAGGTTGCCAGGGCATGCCAACAAGTGTGAATTTAGCAGCATTTGTTACTTTGATCAGTCTTAGTGTAGCCGACAAATACCCATGGCATATTATAGACACGTCTTAGTGTGTGGATTTCACCGAGTAAATCTAATGGTCTGGTAGACCTAAAGCAGTGAAAAATATAATCCCCTATGTGTTATTAAATGTTGGTGAGGGGTACACAAAGTTTTCCTCGCTCAACATCATCATGCCAGATGACCAGTGAACTCTTGTCAACTTGTAAATAGACAGAGAGCCATTTATAATTCTTGGTCTTCCTCAGTGGCAATGCCAGTGTCAACATTACTATACAGGTAGTCCTCGACTTACGATGGAGATGCGTTACGACGACCCCATCGTAAGTTGAAAATATCGTAAGTCGAAGAAGGCCTAGCCTACCCAGGAGTCTTAAAGAATGGTGATAATTTAGCAAAATAGAGCAATTTACAGTACCGTACTGTATAAACTATATACTGTATGTATTTATTAATTACAATACTGTATTGCACAGTAAAATTTAAAGTAAAAAAAACCAAGGTACATTCTTAGCCTACCAATGAACTGCAATTTCATAGAAAGTTTTTTCAGGAAACTATCCTATCTGCTTTATAAACTGTTAACATGCATTGAACACCAAGACAATTTAACTCCGTCGACCGCTGGTGAGAGTGAAGCATCACACAAGGCAGGAGATGCGTACAGTACATCCCGGCAGCGTCCCAACGTACAGTATCGTACCTCGTACGCTGCTGCGTTTGCTTGCCACACGAAATGTCAAATATTTTACAATTTTGTCATATCGCTATCGCCATCGTAAGATCGAAATATCGTAAGTCGGACCATCGTAAGTCGGGGACTACATGTATTATCTTCGTACGCATCTTAATTTAGACCAGTTATGAGTTATCCCAGTAGAGTCTGTCATACCTAGGTCTTCAGTGGGTCGTCGTAGTCATCATCACGCTTGATGGAGTTTTGTCCACACAGTTGTCGGTGACCAAAAAACAAACACTTCGCAGACGAATACTTTCGTCGCTAATTGCGCGAGCAAAACATAACGCCGGAGCTTACTCGATGATGTGCTTTGCGTCGTCCTCAGAGACGTCCTCAGTCTCGGGGTGTGGCAACTGCTTTCCCTTCTTCGTGGTCTCCTCGCCGGGAGGAGGCACCTGCGGCTGAGGCAGATCTTCATCCTCATATTCCTTCAAACACAACACGATAAAACACACCGTCAAACACAAAAGGCTAAAGAGAAAAAAAAAAAAAGCCGCAAAAATAAACCACGGTGCAAAAGGGCCCCACAGGCTTATGGGACAAATGCAACTCCAATGAGTTGAAAGATAACCTTTCTTTACTATTTTATTGTCCATAATTATAACAAGTCAGTGTGTAAACAATTTTGTTACTGAAGAGTGTACAGCGTGTTTTGTAAAAAGGTTCCCATGCAGGTTGTGCTTGCATTTGCCCTTTCAATGGAACTGAATTACAATCAGCCGCGAGAGATTTGGAACTAGGTTTTGGTGGAATGCGAAAATAATATTACGCATCCAAATCACACAACCTTGAGGACTTCTACTGGTTAGCAGTTGGCAGTATAACAAATAGATGGCCTATCTGTGAGGATATTTATGGAAATTCAAGTGAGGCTGTGGTGCATTTGAACCAGGTGATCCAACTTCAAATCCCTGCCACGGCTAATGAGTGGCAAGCGATATCTCAGAATCAGAATCTTCATTTAGCTTGGAAGAATCCGATGAGTTCCGAATCTCATTTTACATTAGTCCAGCAGGGGCAGGCCAGAAAGTTACTGGTCCTAAACCGGTCTTGAATCCCCCCAACTTCTACAACCTGAATTGTCCAGCATGGTGAAGTATAGTCAAACAGCCCCCATGATAAGACGTACCATGGGGTAGCTGTGATCCAGCAGAGGATTGAGAAAGCGCTGTAAAATATCAGTATTCCTTTACTCATTAAAACAGTCTGAATGTCGGTGCATGAGGTCTCTTTTACCGTGTCATCCTCTTCAGAGCTACTCTCTTCGCTATCCGACCTCGGGGCAACTTCATACCTGCGCACATCAAAATCGAAATGGTAGAAACATTTTATTATAAACAAGTCATAAATTCATAATAAACGTTTTTGGGTTAGATAGCGTTATTTATAAGTGTGTGTAACCCTCCACCACCCGACACGGCCAATCAGCAAAAAAAAAAAGTGTCACGTTGACAAAAGAGAAATAGTTCACTACTTTAGCCCACCGGTGTGTTGAAGAGTGAATCCATAACATTTACAAATTGCTGATTGGCCGTGTCGGGTGGTGAAGGGTTACGACACATTTATGAATAACGCGATCTAATCCAAAAACGTTTATTATGAATAATATTGGTCGTGAAAGCCTACGTGTTAAACTGAAGTCATCAATTAACTGGGATGTTACCGAGGTGTAATGGAAAGCACACTGGACATACAATCAGTTCAATCAATAAGCATGGCAGCTGACACAATGGGATACAGCTTCTTAAATAACACCCCTCTCGGTCGAAGCAACAGAATGAGTACACCACAGATAGCATGACAGATCGTGCCACCGTGGCGAGATGTTAACTCCCTCGCCTGGTACGCAGGAGGTTGTGGGTTCGATCCTGACCCTGATGCCTGCTGTATATTTGGAGTTTCTACGTTCTCCCCGTGGTAGCGTGTCTTTTTTTTATCCAGGCCCTCCGATTGTTTCCCTACACATTTAGAATCAACATCCTTTCAGAGTATTTGGCTGCCATAAATACTTAATTTCTTATGCTCATTTTACTGTTGTTAAATATTAGAATTTCTCATGATGAATTTATGAAGTTACTAATTAAATAATGAAAGTAGTAACTAAATTGCAATTGTCCATTTAAATGTTGCTTTGTAAAACGCTTTTAGCAGAAGAATTTACAGTATGACAATTGTAAGACTTCATTATTTTCAGATTTTTACGTTATTTAGTTTTGTGTAGCCGACAGCTCATGAAGTATTAGTTTAGATGATAAATTTGCAAAGATTATACGACTTATGGCAAAGCTTATGTTAAATTAACTGCAACTGAAGAACTTCTTCCCTCATTGTTCTTATTAGAATTACAGTAAAGCGCTAAACCAATACACACAAATTGTGAAACACAATTACCAAGTTAGGGCAAAATAATGTCATCATTATTCTTGGTTTTTTTGGTAATGTCACGTAGAAGGGAACTAATTAAAAAACATAAATTTAAAACATCAGGTGTGATGATTGCTTGTGTTGCAGTCGAAACGTCGTGATAATTTTTATTGTTTTATATTTATATTATTTTATTTTTTCCCTTCTACGTGACTTTACCGAAAGAATCAAGAATATGAATCCCTGCAGTCACGAAAGCTTTAAATAAAAAAAATGTCATCATTGCCATATAGTGGAATTGCATCGTGAAAAATCACATCGCAGACAGGTAGGTTGGTAGTTTTGTGCAATGCGTGAAATACCCAGGGTTCATCTCAAGCCAGGTGTCCAGCTGGCTGGCTTTAGGGGCCTCCGGGCCTGTGAGGATGCGGCCCGATTCCGTCTGGATGACCTTGACCGGAAGGTCGCTCATCTGACTGCTCTCATCCAGTGGCTACGTGACAAACAAGACATGGTATCAAAACAACGAGACAAACGTGGTCCACTGCTGGCTGCTCCGGTGAGCCGTACTAACGGACGGCTGAATTAAAGTGCATTGGTAAAAACGCCACACATCGTGTCCGTCCTCGAAATACCAGGATAATTCACGTGCCTTAAAACATATCATTAGCCCCTTTCGTATGTGCACCATTTATCGCACACAAAGGCACCATGTTTCACATAGTCTGCAGTAGTTTTTCAGCAGGGGCGATGATTACTATGTGTTCGCCAAATGAGGTAATTAGTGGGTAATTATTCAAATTTGACAAATTTGGACCTTGATTCCAGTAGATATGGCCTGCTCTTTTTCAAACAAAGCCACGGGATCTTTAACGTCCACTGTGAAGCAGACGGCATGTAACTATGGTAAATACACCCAGTCGATTGCCTGACGGAGCTGGCTGTAATCACCAGGGAAACATTGTACTCAAATTGCAAATGTTGTGGGTTTACTCTCAAACACAGTGGTTTGCTGAAGTAGTAACCAATTGGCACGTACCTCTCCATCCGGACCCATCCCTGAATTAGAATTCTCGCCATTCTCCTCCTGCTTCTGAAATGTCAAAAGAGCTATCAATGCACTGTTTGTAAAAAAAAAGCCAACTTATGTGCAGTAGAGAAAAAATGTAAGTTTTACAAGTGCGCACTCAAACTCCTTTATCAAATGTTCAGATTGAATTTTTGGTTTGTTTTGTCACAATTAATTTCCAACAGTGTAATCATTGCTACATTCTAGAACAAGGAAATGTACAGTCTGAAACCTCACGGAAATCAGTTTTAACAATCACGCCCATGTTAGGGAACAGCCATTGGAAGACGACATAACAGAACTATTCTCTACATATATTTGTACCAACCTATTTGACAAGTACTAGTCTACTTTACCGAGTGTTGACATCCCCAGCGTTTAACAGTACTGCTATTTTGTATTTGTCAGCTAACATCGGCCGTAACCCCAAGTTGAGGTGCACCAATTGTTCCCTTCTAGCTCCGCCCCCCCCACCGTTCCATTTCCTGGTTACCACATTCAGATAAGCCCCTCCCCCCTCCCCCTTAACTTGTATATAAGATCTTGTCTCTTGGATTTTTTCTTACTTGATACAGTAATTTTAGCTGTGACGGTCCCACCTGAAGACGGAGACTTGTGTTGCCTCCGAAACGTCGTGATTTAAATGATTTATTATTTCTTTATTTTTACCTACGTGACTTTACCGAAAAAACCTAAGAGTATGAATCCTTGCAGTCACGAAAGCTTCAAATCTAGAATGACAGAACTACTTCTGAAATCCTTTCATATGCCCCCTATCAAAACTAGGTGCGATGCACCTTCTCAGAACCATCAGAGATTAAATGTGCATAAGGAAAAAAAAAACAAATAGACCATAGTTGAGAACCCGATGTGAACACGGAATGGAACTAAATATTAAGTAATATTTAAAACAACTTTTATTAAAACACGCTTTCATGAAATGTACCGTACTCGTAATGGCAGAACTCCACGACTCCAGGAAGTGGCCCCGAAGCTTGCCACAACGTAAGGGGCCGTGGCCAATTACAGCCAACGTCAGTTGAGCGTGGACAATTAGACCCAAGCCGAAGCATAACATATAAAAAAGGTTTAAATTTTTTATGATAGAATATAGTATTGTCATCAATATGACATAATTATACCAAGTTTGCAGTCGATACCCCATTGGGAAGTGGGTTAAAATTGAGCTACAAGATTTGAGGATACAACAACAGACAGAGTGAGTTAATAAAAAGCGTGTAAAAAAGAAATTATTCTCCTGTGGGCCAGTGAGCCCAATCTCCTCCCCCATCTATGGACCCAGGAGTATTGAGGCCGGGCCTCTGTTGGCAGAGGTTTTTGTCCTCGCCCCCCCCCCTCCCACCGACGCTATCATCCCATTATATTATTGGTTCTTTCGGTAAAGTCACGAAGGGAAATAATAAAATAAATATAAAACAATCAAATTCTCCCGACGTTTCGACCTGATGATGATTGCTTGCGTTGCAGTCGAAACGTCGTGAGAATTTTATCGTTTTAGATTTGTATTATTTTATTATTTCCCTTCTACGTGACTTTACCAAAAGAACCAAGAATATGAATCCCTGCAGTCACGAAAGCTTTAAATCAAAATTTTACCACCCCATTGTTGTGGTCTGTGCCTTATACTGGGCTCTTATTTTGTTGCAAAAAAAACAATAATCTTTTTTTCGATTTAAAGCTCATTCAGACGCTGTCTCCCCGACAGACCTGGTCTTCACCTGAGGACGGCTGCTTGCATTGTGGCCGAAACGTCGTGAGAATAATTTTATTTTATTATGTCCATTCTACGTGACTTTACCGAAAGAATAATCTTTTTCTTGGTAAATGGGGAAAATGACCCAAACGGAATGTTCGAGTGTGCAGTGTCTCACCTTCTTCTTCCTTTTCTTCTTTTTCTTCTTTTCACGGGCGGCCTGCTGAATCTTGTGCTCGCGCACCAGGTCCGTGAGATTACCAATGTACTCGTCCGTCTGCATGAGCAGGTAGGCCAGACGCTTGTCCTTCTTCTGGTCGATAAGATTCCTGTAGCCTTCCTCATCTTCTGCCTGCACGCCCCAACGCCAACGTCAGTCACGTTATTAGTATTTTTTGTTAACTGGTCAGCGATGCAATTGCGGGGAGCGGAGGTGGTGAGGAGGCGAGGGGGTTGAAGAGGATATGCGATGCGACAGTGCTGGATACCTATGTAGCCCCTGTCAATTGTGTGCATGGACACCTACGTGTGGCGATGCTAAATCCAGTGTCCAGCAGTATATCTGGTCAAGTTGCAAATAGAGGCCCTGTAGGTTGCTGGAATGTACTGTAGATTGAACTTATTTCGCACCGTATGTAGCCAACCGTGCTAGTCAGGTGTGGGGAAAGACAACAAACTAAACACGAAAAGCATATTGAAAGAAATTAGTTATCCAAATGAATGGATCCACCTTTGTGTGGATAAGTCCCTCCAACAACTAACTGCAATTCTAGTACTAAGCAAATTTTGAATTTAAGGGATGAATTCGTGGCTTTTAACACCGTTTGTCTTCTGCAATTGTTACACTGTGTTTGCTGTACCTATTTTGTACTTGGTTTGGTTTTTGAAAGCCAGGTCCTCCCTTGGAAGAGATTTGGGGTCTAAACAGGCTCTAATTATGTCCGAGAGAACCTCAGAACCTCAGAAATGGCCAAAAAAACGGACTCGAAATCGGCATTTTAGCCCTCGACTTTCAAAAACAAACCGGTGGCCCTACAAGCGGGCTTACAAGAGAACCACCCATGTTATTACGAATACGCGAGGCTCTGCTTGTCTCTTTTAAACCACACCCTCCTCCCCCCTTGCGGGCAGTTATAGAGAGAAGTGTGGGGGTGTGCGCATCACTGACCATGAGGCGCCGCATGCGCTCCTTCTCGATGCGCTCATTCTCTTTCTTCTGCTCGCGCTCTGTGTTGGCGTGGTACGTGGCCACGGCGCGAGTCACTTTCTGCACCTTGGCCGTCATCGTCCGGTGGAACTCCTTGAAGTCCTTGGCATGCTGCAGGATGCTATTCAGGTACTCCTGCGTGTGGAGAAGGCAAGCAAACGTGTGCGTGAGTTTATTTCGATGCCGAGTATGTTCGCGGATAGCAGAGGACACGGGTGCCCCTATAACCGCCTAGTAGCCACTCTTCTTGGGACCCTCACTAATATGCATTGCTTCCCTCTATGCATTGAGATGATGATAAACATTCATTGAGATTATTTAGATTATTTAGCTGCTATGCCCACATGATAGGCCACCTTGTTGCGCTATCATTTGTGGCCAAGTCAATTCTGAAAAATAAGTTGATACCTGTGGGCTTTACCTGGTCAGATAAAAATCATTTAGTTGTATTTGTATATTTTTAAGTAATTTGTTTACAGTCTAGATTTGAAGTTTTCATGACTGCAGGGATCCATACTCTTTGGTTCTTTCGGTAAAGTCACGTAGGTATAAGAATAAAATAAATTTAATTAAATCACGACGTGTTGCGCCCGAAACGTCGTGATTGAATTAAATTTGTTTACCTTTCCTATACTTTGCACTATTTCATGTTTTTCTATTGTTTGTTCTTGTAACGTTCTTGAATGCATCTACTGGACATCTGCTCACTGGATTCCTCCAGTATAAATATTATGATTCTAAACCTAAACCTCACCTACCCTACCAAGCATAACCTGCCCGATATAACCTACCCCCAATGTTTAACAATTTTACTTACGGAACTAATCTAAATTTTTTTACATACCCGAGTTGTCAGATAGTGCTTGGATGACCGTGTATAAAACAGATTACATGTCATGGGCAGCAGACAAAATTACAGCAAAATCCATTGCAATACTACGCTTCCATTCCCCTACATCTACGTTACTCGACTTCACCCAAAATTAACCAAACAGAGTGGTACACACACACACGTACATGTGTAAATACTAACTTTGGGCATCACTGTTCTGACCCGTGACAACGTTGCAATAAATTCATCCTGATGGAATTCCATTTTTTGTTCCACCGGTCCTATTTACAACGAAGCTCTTCGGGGGGGGAGAGAATCCAACACCGGCCCAACACACGAGTGGGTCTTTGGGGGGGGGGGCTGGAGGGTGCCGCACCTGGTGCTTCTGCTTGCGCTTGCGCTCCTGCTCGATCTTCTGCTGCTTCTCCAACTTCTCGGTGATGCGCGCCTCGCGCAGCGTCTGCCGCTTGCTGCGCTTGTACGCCTTGGCGTTGAGCGCCGTCTCGAGCGTCGTGTCGCGCCGCATGCAGGCAACAACCTCCTGCCGTAGCTGCACACCCCCACCCCCCCCAGGACATTGTTGGGAATGAAGAAAAAACGTCGTCATCAAACTTCAGTGAGGGGGGTGCGGAACCTTTTCGTATAAGTCCTTGAAATTCCTTTGGTGGGAAACAAATTAAACACACACCACCTTAGTCATTTCTATTACTGGAAGAGGTCCCTTGTGGTGACAGAAGCAACCGAGTGCACAAACATTATAAACGATGTTGTTGAAAGATGGTAAATATTCCACCCCAAGGCCTGAATCGTATGGCTAAGATGCTTGCGGTGAAAGAAAAATATCATTTGTGCGTTTTATTAAAGTGCTATGCCCTCATGTGGCCACGGACCATAGAAAATGGAAGTCGTGAGCCATATCCCACAATCATGTGGTTCAAAATAACTGAGCGTTTTTATTTTTTTTACCAACAAAACTTCAACTCAGACAGCCTCGGATGCAGAATAACATCAGGTGATGAATTTATAGATACATTCACTCATCTCTAACGACACTCTTCTTTCTCAGCAGGTGGTTGAATGTCGTGAATTCGACAGCTCTATATCTTACATCGGAGTGTTAAAATATGCAAACACGTGTCTTCAGAATCGCAGGAGGTGGAAATGTAAATGTATTTATTTGTTCAGAAACATTGAAGGAAGCAGAAAGAGAGGAATACTGAACAGATAATGGCTTGACGACATAAAAGAGGTTGGTGCCAGAAACATGTGGCCATACTTGAGCATATTGGCAAATGGCGAAATGTGCAGTGGTCACCGACAGGCTATCTGCCCATGGATCATGATGATGAAGATTTATACTGGTAGGAACCTCCTGGTTACACCAGCCCACAGGGGATTATTGTGTCCGTCGTGCAGGGAGGGGCTGGGAGGGGAGGGTGGGGAGGAGCTGGGTGGGGAAAGTGGGGCTGGGTGGGGAGGGGAGGGTGGGGAGGGGCTGGGTGGGGAGGGGCTGGGTGGGGAGGGTGGGGCTGGGTGGGGAGGGGCTGGTCACCTCGTGGTGCCCTTATAAAACTCAACGCCGGCTTGTGCCCGCCCTCACAGTCGGCCATATTTGCGGAATACACCACGCCACCGTTGACCCTGGCCATTGACCGAGCAACCACAACGTTCCTAGCAGCTCCCTCCGCAGGAATGTGTTTTATTTCTCGCCATTAGTTTAGTGGGTTACTTAAAAATGGATCACCCAGTGCGTCAGGTGGTACCTGGCGTTGGAAGTTGAGGAGGCGCAGCGCCTTGATCTCGATGGTGGCCTTGTTGCGCAGGTCGCCCGGCAGTGATCCAGGCAGGTTCTCTAGCTCCTCAATGCGGTGGGCGATGCGAGCCTGTAGCCTGCACACAAGGTACCCCCCACCACAAACTTAATTAACAATACACCTGCATTCAGTGTCAGAATCAAGAACCTTATAACCTGCCGAAGGCTGGCACGGTGAGCATGTAACTACATTTAATGTATAAATAATGATATACCCAAAAACAATAATGTATCAAGTTTAATGTGATCATTGTGAATATGGCAAAGTAATTTGAATAGCACATCCTAGGGTCTCATGGATTTTCTTGTGATGGAAGTAATAAACTGTGACAGTAATGTATTATAGAAAATAATGATACATGTTAAATATGAATTCATTTCCAATGAATATGAAGAAAAACATAGCCATTCCATGCAAAAGATTTGAGGTGCTGCCGCTCTCATCATCAGTCTGTAAGCTCTACCTGTACTCCCTCTCCTGCAGGATTTCTACAGGGTCGAGGCCCTGTGGCTTGGCGATTGGCGTGATGAGGTTCTGGCGTAACTGGAAAGGCGGCACGCTCGACCCAACATGGCCCGGTGTGGCCATCGGTCCGTGTGGCGTTGGACCGGGCCCTAAAGGCTGCGGCGTCATCTGTGGGTGGGGGGCCGACTGCCCCTGCGGGGTACCCGGCACTCCGCCCGGCACGGATGTCGGGGGCACGGAGGGTGGTGGGGCAGGAGAGGGTCGGCCGGCTGTCGGGTGGCGTTGGGGCGTGCTGCTCGACACCACCGAACTCAGCGAGGGACCTTCAACGAACAATTACACGCAGTGTTTGCGTTATTATCAACTTATGCATTTAAGCAAGCAGTAACAAAAGGCGTTAGTAGTATAGTTCAAACTCCTCGTGCATAATTGCTGTTTTGAGGTGCACCGACTGTACGTTTTGCATGCAGGTCAGACCAGGACCCAGAGGTATTTTAACGTTCGAATTGAATAAAAGGGAATCCAAATCAGTGATTTACAAATTGAGCTTCGAGCACCATAGAACATAGAAGTCTTGGCCCATGAAGAGGAGTGCAAGAAAATGACAGCGGTCACGTGCCGATGGCCTCCACCACCAACACATGGCAAGAGGGAACTGGAGAGAGAGAGGCAGTGAGACCACACTAAAGAGTGGATGTGCCATGGATCACGAAGCCCTTAGGAGAGGAGATAATGGATGTGGGGTATTCCAGAGGTGAAATTTACATTGCCAAGTAAAATACAGAAACGCTAAGTCTATACAATGTATCACAAGTAACATTCTCAAGCATTAACTTGATGCTACAAACTGATGCAAGTTAAACGAATCACAATACCTTCAGACCACGGCTTGCTACTGCCAGTGGACATAGGCCCTTGTACTGCACCTCCAGGCATTGGGGAAATACCCATTGCTGCAAAATGAAAAAAGAAATAAATTCTGACATCGCCAAATATTAGCGAGGAGAAAATTGTAATTACCTGCATAATAAAGAACAACTTTCTTTCAGCAATGCAGCGAAAACCATACGGAAACATTCAACTAGCATCCACCAATATGATTTCCATTTTTAAAAACGGTCAAGTGAACTCATGCTCCCATAACTCTAGTCTTACTGAATGTGTATTTTGCCAAAAGCCTGCAGATTTTAATAACCATCATTCATAGTATTTACAGTTAGTACACAATAGCAGTTCATAATCAACGTTTTTGGGTTTAGATCACGTTATTTATAAATGTGTCGTAACCCTCCACCACCCGACACGGCCAATCAGTAAAAAAGTGTCACGTTGACAAAAGACAAATAGTTCACTGCTTTAGCCCACCAGTGTGTTGAAGCCACAACATTTACAATTTGTACTCAAATTGTGGCTTCAACACACCGGTGGGCTAAAGCAGTGAACTATTTGTCTTTTGTCAACGTGACACTTTTTTACTGACTGGCCGTGTCGGGTGGTGGAGGGTCACGACACATTTATAAATAACGCGATCTAAACCCAAAAACGTTGATTATGAATAACATTGGTCGCGAAAGCCTACGTGTTAAACACACAATAGCAGTGTTTCTCAAAGAACTCTTTCCCATGTCTCCATCTATTCCTGTGTTCCTCCATCAGTTACCTTCCTCTTGAATCTCCATCCTCGTTTCTCCCTCTCTTACGTCTCTCCCCGAAATGTTCTCACATCATCCTCTCATAAGCGCTCCACGTCTTCTTTGTTTCTTTGCTTCCTTCATGTATTACTTTGTGTGTAAAGACTTAGAGTTTCTGTTATTTTTCTTGACAATGTGACTTTCACCTCTGGAATGCCCCACATATCCATTCAATACAGATTGAAAACTCACTTCTTTAGAACTGCTTTTTGTATTTAGATAGTTGTCCTTCCCCACATCTCCAATTAGCACGTTTGGCTACATACTGTGCAAAAGTTCAACATACATACTTGTACCTCCTGTCTCTCAACCGATGTCTATCTATCCTATATTTCAATACCTGTGCCTCTCGCGTTTCCTCTCATATCCTCATCTGTTAAATCTCCACACGCGTCTCTCATGTCTCTAATCTTGTTTCTTTCTCTCACCTCACGTGAAGTTAGGTGCCTTTTCCGATGTCTTTCCTTTTCTATCTCTCCTTACATTTCCCCCCTACCCCGTGTCTTGTCTCATGTATATCTACACTACTTGTCTCGTGCCTCTCCCTTAATGTTTCTTTTGTCCTTTGTACGCGTCCATGTGAATCTGTCCGTGCACACAGACGGATGCGGGCGGCTGATGCACGCTTGCTAACACTTCACGGCGCAGCTCTGCTGCTCTCTCACCATGTGGACGGCTGAACTGCGGCGGGAGGTTCTGGGGACCGGGCGGGGGCGCCTGGTGGGACGACTGTGGTCCCGGCGGCGGCCGCTTGCCCTGGACAGCCAGCTGCAGGTTCTCGGGCAAGGGTTGGCCCCGGGCAAGCAGCTTGTAAGCCAGGATCTGAGCACGCAGCTGCTGCAGTTGGAGGGGGCTGAAGGAGGGCGAGGTGCCCTTGCTTGCGACGGCGCCCTGTGTTGGGTCGGGCGTCCCAGACGGACCAGCGGCTGGCGGAGGTGCGATGCCGCCTTGCATGGGGCTGGAGGCGTGCTCGGCACCGCTCATCGGAGACGGGTGTGGCGACGGGTAACCTGCGCCAACCGCCATGGAAGGGGAACGTGAAGAGTTTTAAATGGAATGCCGCTTTTCAGTTGGTCACAATTGGTGGGAGGGCACTGTAGGGAACAGATAATTCCCTGAAAAATACTGCCACTTACACCAATCAGAAATGAGTTTGAGAATCAAGTGGCATGGGAATGTGGGTATTGATAAGAGCCATAACCATGTACGAGTAATAAGGGTACATATAGGGTCAGGCCACTGATTGGTCTAGCTAAAACTTTTTACATTTTAAATATTATCTATTAGCACATCAACAATGAGCAAATATTTTTCTTTTTACAATTGTACAGTGGTATGTTTTGGCATATCCATATAAAACAGTGATGCATGTCTAGATTTGAAGCTTTCGTGACTGCAAGGATTCATACTCTTAGGTTTTTTCGGTAAAGTCACGTAGGTAAATTTTTATTTATTTTACTTTTATTAATTTAAATTTTTTACCTACTTGACTTTACCGAAAAAACCTAAGAGTATGAGTGATGCATGTGTCTACTTGTAAGTGAACATTACATTATTGCCCATACAAATGACAAAATATCACATTGTTAGTGTTTCCAAGTTAGTCTTGATGTGTCTGTATGCCAGCTACACACAAACTGTCAAACATGTCCTTCTTTCTATTATTTGCAAAGGAACAATGACATCAGCGGTAATTCTGCGTATCCTCAAAACAACGGACTAATTCAAAGGTGTGATGTGTCCTGGCATATTCTTACCAAAACCCCCTTATTTCCAATAAGACTACATTTATCCAATTTACAGATTGTAAAGGGATAATTTCTTCGCGTGACGATACACTTTCGAGCTTCACATGTGCGACATTCCAAAAAAAAGTTCCGTCCCTTTTTTCCCCCACTCTCTCATGAACCCCCCTAAAAAACCACCCCATTACATGTCGGAGACACCACGATATACCTGCTCAAGTTATTTTAAGGACACTCCTTAGATATGGTATGGCTGCAGTAAGTGTTGTGCTAAGCGGCTGCGAGGCCAAGTGAGTCTGACCCTGGGAATGCTGATCCATGGGGCTGTGCGGTGGAGGCAGGCTCGACATCGTTGGCCTCATGCCCATCGGGCGCATCGGTCCGTAGCGCGGATCGTCCACCATGACTTTGTCCTGCATGGATTCCATTGACTGCGTGTCAAACGCAAACGGAAGATAAATACAAACATTTACATATAAAAATGCATAAATACAGCAGAACAGCAGTTAAACATACTCTAAAACACATCATGTGAAGTGCATAGGAACACAACGCTACGATTTAGTACATAAAGGATGGAAGTCCAGATGGGAGTAGAAACATTAATATTTAATGTAGGAGTACCAGCATCTTAAGGCAGTGACAAGACATTTGGAATGTAATGATTCAATCTCCTGTCTTCTACAGTACGATCAATTTGTTTCAATATATTTTTTCTCCAGTGTGTTTGTCTGATTTGTATAGTCTTATTCTATTGTTCTCATGTGACACTACCCTAAATATGAATTTTCATATAACATCCAAGCAGCAGAATGACAAGGTGCTGTGCATTAGTAATATATAACCATACATACTTCTCACGCGCACATTTGGATGCATACTTAAAAATCTAAATTAGCATATTGTTACATGCCTACAAAAACAACCTTCAAGACCCAAAGTGCCTTAAAAACAATAATTATGAAAACATCAACGAACGTTCAAATTGACCAATATAAGCATCACACCTTGTGCATGGGGTACATGCTCTCCTGTGGGTAGCCCGCAGCGCCTGGCATGCCCATGGGGTGCCCACTGGGTGGTGGTCCGGGGCTTGGGCCCATCATTCCGTGCATGGAGCCAGGTGAGGGTCCAGGTCCTGGGCTGGGCCCCATTATGGGTCCCGGTGAAGGCCCCATCATGGCCCCACCAGGACTAGGCCCCACCATCTGGCCAGGGCTGTGGCCCAGCATGGTGCCAGGGCTGGGACCCATCATGGTGCCGGGGGACGGGCCGGGCCCTGGAGAGAGGCCTGGGTGGGGGGTGCCACCCATGGCCTGATCTCCAGGTGCCGACATTGTGTCTGGCTACAGACAAAAAGACACACAAACAAATTGATTATTAGATATATAAGAGTTTGTTTCACCACCGACAACAACAGAAACAATCAGATATGTATGGGTGGTGGCACGAATGCACAGTGGCGGTTAAATTTCGATTTAAAGCTTTCGTGACTGCAGGGATTCATCTTCTTGGTTCGTTATTACTTCCCTTCTACGTGACTTTACCGAAAGAACCAAGAGATGAATGCACAGTGGTTAGTGGAGGGGGGACGTTGTGAACCTCGTGATCAGAGTTCGATTCAAAGTCACGCGAACATCAACAAAGTGAACCGGTTCTTCAATTTCCACGCGTTTACCAACCCACACGGACTGGAGTGAACGAAGGATAAATAAACCGTCAGGGCATCGGGTGGCTCTCATACAATCGTTAATTGAGAATGGCTGTAATTTATTTGTATATTAAACATGATGTGCGTCTTAATAAGTGGCTTGCCGACGATAGTTTTCAAGGATTCGCTAAATCGTCAAAACAATGGATCGGCTTGTCACATCCACACCGAGCAGAACACGGTAAATGTCTGTAGTCAACATTCGCCACGCGCGTGAAAGAGAATGCATGCCAATTGCCTAACATAATGCGTTTAGCATATCGGTCCACGGTTAAGATTACCATCGGTACTTATCAGATTATCAGTCCATAGAGGATTACACATTGTTACATGTTCAATTTGCCTTCGTTAATTTCGTCCCAGTTAAAAAGTTAAACTTTATTTCATTCAATCGACTTATAAGGGCCTTGGCGTCACCTTCACGGCATGTATATATACACAGCATTTGTAAATCGAAAGTGGTTGCTGTATTGTTTACAATCGGGCCTATCACATACATAACATACGCGTTTAGTTTTTCTTTAAAACGTACGTAAACGTGGTGGGGAAAAATAAAAGGAATTAAAAGTTTGTTTCGTACGCAGATACATTTCACCGTCTTTGTACGGATACTGTACAACGATTAACGCTCGGCTTGTTTACATAACAGGGGTGACACGAAAACACCCGTCGATTGTATTTACTTCGGCTCGTTCGCGCAACTTCGAACATTCATGACAACAAGTCACCTCATGTTCCGGGGTACATTTTGCACAGCTTAAGACGGCACAGTTTAAAAAAACAAAATTTAACCTTTAAACGAAAACAAAAGCGCATGGGGCCTAAGCAAGGCCTTAAACCTGACCACACATTTTCTCAAACGCCGGCCAAAACAAAAATCACAAAACGCTAAATAAGACCTTACCTTAACGCGCGTAATTCCCTCAAAAGCAACCCCCCTGCGCCCCCCGCGTAAGCCTCCGACGATCACAACAACAAGAAGAAATACAACATTTAAACAAGAGAAAAGGCTTCGTTGCTCGCGAGCGCCCACTGTAACATGGCGCCGAGCAGACCGCGCTGCGTCTCCATTTCCCTGAGCCCAGAGAAAGGAAGGGCGGGTGGCGTGAGGGGAAGGGAGTTTAAAAAAAAATAATGAAATGAACGATGCGAAAGGGTACCTTCTTTTTCACAACCAGAGGAGACGTCCCGACGTTCGCGTCTACCCCCTGACACGGGTGGCGCGCGGTCTCACCTGTTGGTCACAGGGGCCGCAGCGCGTGCCGTGCCCTCGTTCAGGCCGCGCCCATCGCTTGCGCCGGCGGCCGCTGTTGCCGGGCATTGGGGGGTTGGGCGAACGCATAGAGAGGAGGAGGAGGCAGTGGCAGCGGCGGTGGCAGCCGTCACGCCAAAATCCACGGTGGGTTTTTTTCTTTACCAGAATTTTCCGAGATGTGTTGGTTTTTTGAGAAATTTTTCGCCGGATTCCCATCCCATTTTTGAGCGCGCGAGTTTTGCACCGTGCCGTTTTTTTTGTTTTGGGGATGTTTGTTACGGTGTTTGCAAGTAAACTGAAACTCTTCTTGTTCCGCGGGAAATGTTAGGGTGGGGAGGGGGCACCAATATTGCATTGGCAGCGACTGATAGCGAACATACTCTTAGGTTTTTTTGGTAAAGTCACGTAGGGAAAAAATAAATTATAAAATTAATAATAACAATACATAATAAAAATACATAATTGTTTTTTGATAGCGAACATACTCTTAGGTTTTTTCGGTAAAGTCACGTAGGTAAAAAATAAAATAAATAATAAATTTTCATAATAAAAATACATAATTGTTTTTTGATAGCGAACAGGCAGGGAGCGTGGGAAGGAGCGGGCATCAGTCCCAGGGCAGAATGTGGAGGAAGTAGCAACAGGAATCTTTACAAATCAAGTTTTAACAAGAATCAGTTCTGCAATTAACTTTTGGGAGAAAAAATATTATCGTGGATACATACTCTTTCGGTAAAGTCACGTAGGTAAAAAATAAAAAAATACAAAAAATGAAATCATGTTTCGGGCGCAACACAACCGTCCGTCATCAGGTGGTGACAACCACAGCAAGAAACAATTGGTGAAGTAGGCAAAAGAGCTGATTGTGACAAGGGATTACTGGAAATAGCTGAGGAAGGGGGGGTGGGGCAAGGGGGCTGGGCATGGGTCAGAGGAGAGTGGCAAACAACACGATCCAAATGAGGGTGGGGGGAAATGTGTCTGTGGAAAGCTGCAGGCTCGAAACAATGCACGGCAAATTTCCAAGTGATGGGAGTGAGCAGGGCTGGGAGGAAGAAACTGGAGATGCGGATATGAAAGTCAACTACAAAGCAGCTAAGGTTTAACTTGGTTAATAACATCCTTCCAATGATTGCTCAATTTGTATCCATTTTCTCGGTTGAAGTTATGTCAATGTTTGTATATCTGGATGGCTTCGTGAACAAATCTTTGATGGTAGCCCTCTCACCCTGCCCAGTATAAACCCCTTGACTCCGGCTTCTCTCCCACTTCAGTAAAAATGTCTTGCTGTGGTTGTCACACCTGATGATGATTGCTTGTGTTGCAATCGAAACGTCGTGATTTAATTTAGTTACTTCTATTTTTTTTATTTCTTCACCTACGTGACTTTACCGAAAGAACCAAAGAGTATGGATCCTTGCAGTCACGAAAACTTCAAATCTAGAACAATCTCATCTACTTCAAATAGGAAACTCGATTAAAAATACAGAGCCATGAATGATAATACTGTAAGAACGATACTTTGTAACTAAGACAACTGAAAGGAGTTGTTTTGCACAATACAGGACACAGGCACGGGTAAAAGAGTTTGGCATGGAGTAGATTATTGGACTTTTATTCAAGAGCATAACTTCTGAACCTATTTTGCATCGCATCACATTCATGACCAAAGGTCATATTCCGCACCCTGCAACACATATCACCACCTCACTTTACCATGGCACTCAAGTAGAGCGAAAACCATTTCACCCTTGCACCACAACCACCACTGATGCCTGATATTTTACAATACAGAACAGCATAGGCAATTCATTTTTTAAGTTGTGTACACATACGTTTTAAAAAGCGAAAACACTTGTAACATGTGAAATTCCAAGCAATGCATATGCTCAAGTGATGTATTAAAATTATAGCTCATGCAATTACCCGAAGACACTGTACAGTATTGTATTTCCTGTCGGAGGTGTTGAGTAAAAAATATGCCAACTTTCAAGTAATGTTTTCCCTTCCACGATCTACTACTGCATTAGGGTTTCCACGATACAGCAAAACAATACTACGTAACACGGTCCACGCTAATTGTACGTTTTTAATAAATACTGCTATATCGTTTCTCATGTTAGTTTCTTCATATCTTACTTCCCGAAGAAACAGTAAAATAAACACAATTAGTTATTGACGAATCACTGTTATCCATTACACTGCTGGTTTTCTGTATCACAACATAAAAGCCGAGACCATTGCGGTAATTTAGAATGTTTGCTGCACTATACTCTTTGGTTTTTTCGGTAAAGTCACGTAGGTAAAAAATAAATAATAAAAATAATGGAAATAATACCTACGTGACTTTACCGAAAAAACCTAAGAGTATGAATCCTTGCAGTCACGAAAGCTTGAAATCTAGAATTAGTTTGCCGTACTGTGTAACTGATACCTACGTGACTTTACCGAAAAAACCTAAGAGCATGAATCCTTGCAGTCACGAAAGCTTCAAATCTAGAATTAGTTTGCCGTACTGTGTAACTGACTCAAGTATGAGGGCCTCCCCACGCATTGCGGGTCGCGGGAGTTTATTTGACCATACTTCACTCACGTTGGTCATTGCGGTTGATGCAGGCAGAGAGAAGTGACCTGCAAGCACAATGGATTTTGCTGCACTGCCCTCTGCTGACCACTTGCGTAGCACAACCCCGCAGGAGGTAATTATACAACCTCGAAAGTACATACACTGTTCTTGAATTACCAGGCAATTCCAGAGCAAAGAATCGGCATTGTATCTCGTTTATTAACATCGCTGGACATGCAAAAGGCTTCTCGAACAACAGGTATTTAGGCCACAGCAGGTTCAGCTTTTCAAATCGACAGATCTTAACTTGTTTGACAATACGATGACGAGACTCATAAGTTAGAGAACCCAGACGGGACCTAAAAACTGGACCACAATAAATGTGCCAATGGTAAAATATCTATATAATTTCAAGTGTTTTGTAATATTCCATAGCACTAGAACATTGGATGATAAATGTGTTTACATTTTCAAAGCTATATGGTGTAGCGAAAGCTGTGATTTAATTATTATACAGCCCTGTATGTCAGTCAAATTTGAACCCAGATTCCAATCATATGAATATGAAATTATAAAGGATGTACCTAACTACACCCTATAAGGCAGCATAGCTTCAGGTTTGGTACACAAGCTCAAAAACTATACGAGGTAAAATGATAAACTAAATCTATGTGAAGTATACCATAAATTTAACATCCACAAAATGTCCCTGCTACATTTCCTCAGCTTTTTCTTTAAAGAAGACATTTTTTTTACGCAAGACACCACAACTTAACCCCTATGAAAGAATAATTTACATTCTGGCTTTAATAGTTACTTTGGCAGATTCATAATTATTTAAACTTCAGAATCTGTTGCATCCATGTCACACATGCAAAACCATTTACCACCATAGAAATAGGATGAATTCGAGATGCCCATATAGTTTTAAAGACAAGTCCACTGAAATCATTTCATTTATTCAATGAATTTGTGTACCCCACACTGAAACAGGGTCAGCCAACTGAATGCGGATGGATCACACATTCCGTGTGATCTTGCCCGTGTTGGCCATGCACAATTTATTTCATTGATCAAAAATCATTTGAAACAACTTATACTTCATATATAGCATATGAGTAACATTGAAACAGAGGAAACTTTTTTTTTTATAAAAAGAGCCCAATGTAAAGTTTCCGTGTTCCCCCTCCCCCCCAATGCCAGAGTAGTCCTCATATTCGCCGCCTGTGTCTTGACGATTCACATGTTTGCATGCTCGTGCTGTAGCCTCGTTCCGTATGCCCGGGACACCGTGTTCCACGCGTCCATGTAGCGATCCATGCACATCGCTACGCACTTCTGCAATGACAGCAGCAGTCGCACACAGTCAGTCACTCCGCTCGAAATATCCAAACGCGGTTTCAATACGTGTAATGTGAGCATGTAACTCCGTCGTGGGCAGTTGAGGGCAATGTAGCTAAATCTTTTGTTGTACTGTTCAATGCACCCACTTCTATGCTTCCTGTTTTCACCAACCTGCACTGAACAATGTAACCACCTGTGGTTAAATAACTCCTATGGCCTGCACGGCGTAGCAAGGCCCTCATGCAGCGGTCCATAGAACATAGGGCCGTACATGTTAATGTGTACATGAAACCCTAATTCAAAACCGTTGTACAAGACAACCAGGGGAAAAAAGATATGGGCCTGGGAGAGCCTGTAGAATTGAGAAATACAGACAACAAAAGCTGGAGAATATTGAGAGTCTAAGGTTACAGATGACGTTTGCCAGCGTGATTTGGTGTTGTGGACGTGCAACGCTCCAGCTGGAGTCCTTATTGAAAAAAGGGATTGTTTGTCAATGAGAAGGATTTTGGTGTTAAGTTTGTAACATATGAGAAAGGTTGAACTAATTTAAGGTTGAGACTGCATCAAGGCAGGAGGTGGGACTCAAAGCACCAGTCAGCTGTGATGCAGTCTTGTGGTTTTTGCATGGCATTGGGTCAAACCTGTTCAGAATTGTCGAGGGACGTCCCGGGTTTGCTGATGCACTTCTTAAAGCATTTGTCTGTCATCCTCTGTAAATAGACACGAGATCAGTAATTAAAAAACAATTCAGTTTAACACGTAGGCTTTCGCGACCAATATCATTCATAATAAATGTTTTTGGGTTTAGATCGCGTTATTTATAAATGTGTCGTAACCCTCCACCACCCGACACGGCCAATCAGCAAAAAAGTGTCACGTTGACAAAAGACAAATAGTTCACTACCGGTGTGTTGAAGCGTGAAACCACAACATTTACAATATTTGAGTACGACGTTTCGCTGGTAATTGCATCCAGCATCATCGGGCAATTCGCCAACACACTATTTGTATTTTGTCAACGTGACACTTTTTTGCTGATTGGCCGTGTCGGGTGGTGGAGGGTTACGACACATTTAGAAATAACGCGATCTAACCAAAAAACGTTATGAATAAAAACCAATTACATGCGGGTTGTCTTTTCATTGGTCTCAAAGCACCTGACGTCAGTTACGTAATAACATTTCTTATATCCAAGACGTACACCCTGTAGCTGATAATTTGGGTGAACAGAAAAGCCATTTGAATTGTTTCCTAACATCCATTTAGGTTTGAGCAAGACCAGTTCCAGTGTTTTTCCTTTCACTCAGAAGGTAGGATAGTCCCAAGACATTTCGGGCATTAGAAATTATCAATTAGATTATACAACGAATTTGGTAAGCCACCAGCAGCCAATGTAGTTCACGAAAAACTGATGCAACTGGTTCTCGGCAATAAATACCCCCATAGCAGTGAGGTACTGCATTCTGAACGAGCTGAAGTGTATAAGAGATAAAGGCAATCCTAGGGAGGAGTGAGCTTTAGGAGTCTAGTTTGGATTAAACAAGTGCACGAATGACTATGTCAAGGTCTTCTGAGAAAAATATGTACTTTGTGGATTAGCGCCGAAATTAAAAACGACTGCTCCAGACAACCACATCTCTCCAATTAATACTTTGAAGGTAGCTCTCTAGGAATAAACCCTCATCCGTCACACCCCAACTCCTTGCAATACTCTTGCAGTACGACATCAACGGCCAATACCTCTACTTTGTCCGTGTTGAATCTCAGCCAGACTCTTCACGAGCAAGAAGAGACATCAGTTATTTTCCCACTGCCCTTTAATAATGCCCCTGTGATGCCTGAAAAGGCCATCATGAGCTGTGTTGTCATTTGTACGTTGCTGAAGATGTTGCCTATGCTTCCTCATGACCTCCCCAGCGGCTTCATGTATTTACATTAAACAAGAGTGGTACATACCGTTTGGTTCTTTCGGTAAAAGTCACGTAGGTAGAAAAAATAATAGATCAAATTTTAAAATGCTGTTGATTCTCTCTTCAGCACACCGGTGGGCTAAAGAAGTGAATTATTTTGTCCTTTGAAAAACGTGACACATTTTTTACTGTTTGGCCGTGTCGGGTGGTGGAGGGTTATGACACATTTATAAATAACGTGATCTGACCCAAAAACCTAGATTATGAATAATATTGGTCGCGAAAGCCTACGTGTTAAATTGACGTTTCGATGGCAACACAAGCGACCGTCATCAGGTGTCAAACCCACGTGACTTCACCGAAAGAACCAAAGAGTATGGATTCCCGCAGTCACAAAAGCTTCCAAATGAAGAGTGGTACCGTAACACCCCTGTTTAAGACGGAGATGCGTTCCTGAAAGGTGCGACAATGAACATCGAAACGACGTAACAGGGTAGGTGGAGGAGGTGAAGGCTGAGAGGCGACGGATGATGCAGTCAGCGACACGGGTGTGGGCTTGAGGCGAAGCAAATCAAATAGCGAAATTAATAAAGTGACAACGTATTTGCAAGATGACGTAAAAGGGGGAGGCGTAAATCTGGGTATTACAGTACTACAACAGAGCCCTGCAGAACACTTCAACAATTAGGGAAAACTGAACTTAATGAAAATCAACAGCTACATGGTGATGATCAAAGCAGGAAATGGTTCTGCTGAATATGGCAACAACGACTACGGATTTCGATTTAAAGCTTTCGTGACTGCAGGGATTCATCTTCTTGGTTCTTTCGGTAAAGTCACGTAGAATGGAAATAATAAAATAATAAAAATAAAACATAATAAAATAATTCTCACGACGTTTCGGCCACAACGCAAGCAGCCGTCCTCAGGTGAAGAACAGGTCTGCCGAAACGTCGTGAGAATTATTTTAATATGTTTTTTTATAATTATTTTATTATTTCCATTCTACGTGACTTTACCGAAAGAACCAAGAAGACTACGGATTTCTCACCAAATGGTGCAACTCCAGTCGGACTCACCGAAGAGACAACAGTAATATTATGATAATGACGATGATGATGATGCTGATGGAATATGTGGACCTTGACCAGTATTTAAAACCTCACAATCTCACAAGCAGGACAAGCCCTGTAAATCCGTGGCCATCATAATGGACTGCAGTGGCACAAGATGACATCTAGTGATGGGAGGAAGTACTTAGGCAAAAGCTACTCCAACTGCAGCCGTCCAGCCATTGATTTACAGCACACCCAGTGAGTGATGTAATGATTAACAGATCGATATCGCCATTGGAACCTCCTTTGCCAGTAGCAAAATATGATGATTGTTTTTTTACCTTTTTATCTGGCAACAAAACTGACACCTTTTTTACAAGGAGTCATGTTTGCATTGACCACAATAACTGCGGTCGGAATGCAAACAAAAAACACAACTCTGATAATGTATGCACTGTCCTTGAAATTGATTGGTCCACACCCGAGACAGCTTTCCTGACCACTGAATTGTGCCATTTAATCGAATCGTATCGCGAGACGGACCGTGAAGAGTGAATAATTACGAGACATCTGTGAAAACGAGCTTTGTAACTCATCGGATTTCCCCAGCATAAAGATTCTGATACTTCTCGCCGACAATATAACATCCGCTTTAGATAGTACAATAGATAGCGTGCAACAATACCGTACACGCAGTACAGAAGCGGCAGTACGCACAGTGCAAACGATGTAGGGTAGCCACGAATATCAACGTTGCAGGCAAATAGTCTGTCACTCATTTCCATGAGCCGAGTGATGACATTCGTAGGCAATGGGGCAGTCCTCGTGGCAGATGACCGCACGCACAGAATCAGGACCTTCTTTAGATCGACACATCGTCCGTCGTGATCGCGCTATTCCATTTAAATCACCAAATGTCTCGGCCCGCATCTACTTTTTTTGGGTTAGTCCCACGTGGTAGTTGCAGCTTTATGCCAGAATGCATGTCATTGAACCCTCCACCACCCGACGAAATTGTCAAGTTCGCTAAGATTTGTTTTAAAAATACGCAAGTATTGATCACGTGAGAATAGGGTTTCCCCTTTTTCCTCCTATTGATCACATTCTGAACAAAAAAAACCCATCGCTTTAGACGTTTTACTTGAATTTAGGTCTACAATATTTTAATAGACTACCTTACATAACTTGGGTTGTCTTTAAATGGACAGCTAAAGGCACGAGCCGCAGTGCGATTATCGCCTTGCAAGCCAAACTACGGACCCCAGTCTGCGCTCATTCAACGGAGGAAAGGTAAACAACACTCCCTCTCACACGACGTCCTCCCGCCGTGGCGAGCAAGACCCTTTAACATTTGGTATTCAGCTCCAGAACATATCACTGCTGTCAACGCAAGGCTGGAACGTGCCGCGTACTGTCACGGTTTGCTACGTACGGTGCGAAAGAAGTTCAACACACATACGTGCAAACACACGCCATGCAGAAACATGGTGTGGGCCAGTTTCAAAGACAACGTATATTTGATCAGAAGCATGTGTGTTTGCATGTTCACCACACGCACTGTGTGTGTGTGTGGTCAATGCAGACTTGATTCCATGCGAAAGGTTTATAATTGGTGTTTGAACATCGTACCACCTGTTTAATTGCCAGAGGTCCCATGACATTACTGTACATACAAGTTCACACGTTCGAGGCTTGACAGGCCTAGGTTTTTTCGGTGAAGTCACGTAGGTAAAAAAATAAAATAAATTACTAAAAGTAATACTGTAATATAAATCTTTGCCTCACTTGATGAAGCAAATCTAGCTGTGACGGTCCCACCTGATGACGGAGACTTGTGTTGCCTCCGAAACGTCGTGATTTATTATTTTACTTCTATTATTACTTTGAGTAATTTTAATTTTTTTAAATTGAATTTTTCTACCTACGTGACTTTACCGAAAACAACCCAAGAGTATGAATCCTTGTGCAGTCACGAAAGCTTCAAATCTAGGCCTTCACCTGCAATAGTTCCTGAGCGTTCGCCAGAGCGATCTGCACTTTCACTTGCTCCATGAGCATGCCGGTGTCCACCTTGCCGCCTCCGGCACCGGCGACGTCGCCGAAATCGCCGGTGAAGTCCATGGCCGAGCAAGGAGCGAGGAGATCTCGGGTTGGAGTCCGGGTCGCTGGGCCGGGCAGCTTGAGCCGGGGACCAAGGGCACAGATCCACGTGCGTGCGAGGGGTCCTTGCGGGGTCCTTGCGGGGTGGGGTGGCCACGGGCCCAGTGCCTGCAGAAAGCGTGCGGCAAAGAGCCTCCGCAAAACGTTGTTTCTTCAGTTTATAAATATTTCAATGTCACGGCGACGTTGCGCGATAATAATTACTGGTCGCTGTTAAAGCATCGGGCCGTGGCAGGGTTGCCGATGTTATTATTGAAATGTTGAGCGGGCTACTACAAGGCGGACATCTTGGTAAGGGGTGCGTTTGAGAGGGGGGGGGGGCGATGGGGGGTCCTGCCTCACGCGATGACGTCACGGCGAGTCGGGTCAATGTGGTGACGTCATGACTCGCTTGACCCCTAAACTGTACAGGCTGGTCCAGATGTCTTGTGACCCCCCCCCCCATTCATCTCTCTCAATCCTTGAAGCTTTCTAATATATTTTCTAAAGTAAAGGTAATTTAAAGCAAAAATGAATAAGGAAAGGTACATAAAATGTGAGGGGGGGGGTCTATTAATTGGGGGTCACAGGACATCTGGATCACCCAGTACTGTACAGTATTATTGATCCCAATATCAGCAGCAAAAACAACAATTCAAAACACATTCATCAATAATATTGCGGCTTTAAAAGGCGACGTTTCGTGCCATAGCCCTTCTCGATGGCACATCAATCAACATGAAAAAGGGGTGGGGGGGGGGGTGGAATTTTCTCGAAACGTCGCTAATTCACACAGAGTTAGGACCGCACGCAGCGGCACCGACGAACGGCGATTGGCTTTTGTCTCGGGCCTCATTGTCCCCTTTGTGTTGCGTGTTGATGTCTCCTGTGGAGACGACTGTAGATCGTGGCACGACACCTCGCACGCTTAAAAGGGCCGTGCCACGTCAGTTTCATTTACTTGGTAGAGCCCTGTGAGCCATTCGGCTCTTGAATCGGGTGCAACCGCAAGAAAAAAACTAAAACATGAACAGGAAAACATCTTAAAGTGAATATGTGACTAAGTGCAGACAGAAAATCCAATAAAAGACGGCAAAATATTGCAGAAAAAGCACCGTACATCAACGATGTGTGCAAAAATCCCAGTGGGATGTAAGTCATTCTAGATTTGAAGCTTTCGTGACTGCAAGGATTCATATTCTTAGGTTTTTTAGGTAAAGTCACGTAGGTAAAAATTTAAAATTAATAAAAGTAAAATAAAAATCACGACGTTTCAGAGGCAACACAAGCCTCCGTCTTCAGGTTAAACCGTCACAGCACGATAGCTGTATCAAGTGAGAGAAATTCCAAGAAAACAGTCCTTGTATATATACTGGTTGAGGGTGGGAGGAGCCAAGGATGTAAGTCAAACAAGAACAACCACAACCAACCTAACCACGATGCCACCGCTCCCCCAACACGAAGACATTTCACGCACAGATGCGTTGAGAGCCTTTTACTGCCCCCAAAATTAAAGATTTTAACCCTAAGGGGCCGTCCATAAATGACGTCACGCGATTTTGAAATATTTTGACCCCCCCCCCTTGTCACACAAAGCTCTGCCCCCCCCCCCAAAACCATATTTCCATTTTGAAAATAAAACATGCTTCAAATCGCTTTAAAGTATTGTCGTTGTAGTGCGTATTTAATGTGGCGCTGCACCCTGATGTTGTAGGAGAAAACGTTTATTAAAAAGTATATTTAATTAAGTTGTCTATATGTATTTAAAGTTGCGCATTTTGATGTGACGTCATATTTCTCAAACTCCCGCCCCCTCGTTACACATCGTCACAAATGTCTGACCCCCCCCCCCCTAGGTGCGTGACGTCATTTATGGACAGCCCCCAACCCCATCGAATGCACTCACCAGACATCTCGTTTTTTAGTAAATCTGGAGTTGCCTTGGGCCAAGAACCACGGTAATTCGTAAAACATTCTTTAACAAGCCTGACTGCTGATGAGATACACAAGTTCGAAACCGGGTTGCTCCCTTAAAACAAATGCTGCCGGATAGTATTTGTCTGGAAAGCAAAGTGTCCATAGTTGCACACTGGAGGAGAGTTTTAACATTTTCCATTTGTGCATCATCATCATCATCATTGTCAAGTATCTGCATCTGCCACGGTTTGTGTGTGGATGTGGAACGTAAAAGCCAGGAGGAGATCTTCTGCTTAGTCGGGTGTTGCACGAGGTGTTTCTTTGCGGCTTCTTGTATGTCATCATCACCATCATCATCACGATCCATTGGGCAGATAGCCCGTAGTAGGTGGTCCACAGCACATTTCGTCATTTGCACTTTCCTCTGTCTTGTGTCAATGTGCTCAAGTTAGGGGCCGTCCATAAATGACATCACGCACCTGGGGGGGGGGGGGGGGGGGGGCGGTCAGACATGTGTGACGATGTGTGACGAGGGGGGGGGGGGGTTTGAGAAATGTGACGTCACATAAAAATGTGCAACTTTAAATAAATATAGACAACACGTTCTACTTAATAAAATGTACTTTTTAATGTTTTCTCCTACAACATCAAAGTGCAGCGCCACATTAAATACGCACTACAATGACAATAGTTTAAAGCCATTTGAAGCATGTTTTATATTTGGGGGGGGGGGCAGAGCTTTGTGACGTCATATTTGAGGGCGGGTCTGACTTTTTGTGACACCATGTGACGAGGGGGGGTAAAAAATTGTCCAAAATCGCGTGACGTCATTTATGTACGGCCCCTTAGTGGCACATCTTTCTGGCGCCGATCTCTTATGTCGTCGTAAAGACATTTTTCCCGAACACACTGAATTTCCCTTTCATACATCCTACATGTGTCAGTAGTGTCAGTAGTTTTCTTCACTTGTATGCATGTATCGAGGGGTTCCCAGGAGACGGAGGTAAGGATATGGGCCTTTGCCAAAGGTTTATTACAGACTTTCACTTTACACAAGGGTACACAACTCCCAGGAGCTAGGGGTCCTGAGTCCTGCTCCCTGCCCGGCTAGCTCCGGTCTCTGTCTCCGTGTCGGATCGTGGACTCTGCCGACTCCACCGAGTGGAGAGAGAAGCACCTCTATTGGCTACCACCGGCGTCCTTCCAGACTCACGACTTCGTCCCTCCACACCCTGGTTCCCTCTCTGCCCTTCTCACTCTACTCGTTTCCACAGTGACCCCGCCTTCGTCACGGGGTCTCCCTTAAATACTCTAGGAGACGTGACGTCATCGAGCCGCCCAGCGCAAACGTGACGTCATCACACTGGACGGCACACAAGACGTCACTGTCCCCATTTTACTCCTCTACACATGTTAACCTTTTTCGCACCGTACGTAGCCAACCATGCTAATCGGAGGTGCCTGGGAAGGACAACACTTGCTTTCCAATCTAGATTTGCAGGAATCCACACTCTTTGGTTCTTTTGGTAAAGTAACGTTGGTACAATATAAATTAAATCTCGACGTTTTTTCGCAATTGTTTATTGCTGTGGTTGTTTCCACCTGGTGATGGGCACTTGTGTTGCGCCCGAAACGTCGTGATTTAATTTATTTTTTTACCTACGTGACTTTACTTGCTTTCCAATCATCCGTCTATTCTTGTGAACTCCATTTGGCTTTCCAATCATCGACCTTACTCGTGATCAGTTCCAAGACAACACACGACTCGGATTAGCCATTTCAATACATTTATTGTTAATTTCACATCAACGATGAACGTGTTCCGCACCACGTACGGACATCCCCCCTTGCTGATGAACCAGCGTGCAAGGGTGATTTTTTTAAGTTACGGTGGGAAACATCAAGAACGATCGACAGCGGACTTTGTCAAAATGTGTGCTGGTGCCAGCGTGCGAGACGAATATCTTGGCAAGGTCTGATGTTGCCCCGTCAATATGAAATGTCACCGTGAACTTGCAAGTAAACCACGTATTGTTTAGCCTAAATCAACTTACAGTCCATTGGTAGAAATGATGGAAGACACATCCAAATTGCATACAGGGCCTATCAATAACACTTTCACTTATGCACCCGACTCAAAAGGATATTTACGGGTTTGCTTTTGAGTGTATGCAGACTGCAATGAAATGGTGGACCGCTTTGAGTTTACAGTATTTCAGTCATTCCACATTCTGCATCTTGAACCATTATTATTTTGACTTTCACTCTTCAAGTTGCCCCAGTAAAAGCCATTTTGCACTCTGCACACCGTCAAGCGGAGATGAAAACGCCTTAATTCTGTGCAAGTCAGCTTCACTCGTTTCCACTTGCCTCTGCAGCAATGCCACCTTCTACAGCAGTATGTATGTATGTATGCTGAACTTCTTTCACGCCGTATGTAGCCAACCGTGATAATCGAAGGTGCAGGAGAAAGACAACTAAACACAAGAAGCAGTTTTAAAGACATTGCTTTTCAATCTAGATTTAAAAGTGCATAGCTCCAGATGCTTCCTAATATCGGAAGAACGTTCCAGACGGCCACGGAAGCGCATCCCAAATCGCGCGATGCGGTGACCGACTTTGTTCAATGGCTAACCTTGACGAGATCAGCAAGGTATTATGGTTCATTTGTGGAAAGCACTTTGTGTAAGGAGTGTAGTAAATTTTCAGTGCCAACAAAAGATCCTGCCCTCCTTAATTGCATTTTGTGACAGGGCATCTGCTTTGCACAATGTCACCAACAAGAATGACACCGCACAGACATCCCTGCGTACCCTCTTCTTTACTGCCCTTGCTCTTGTACTCCGACACTTTCACAACCGTTATGGACCTGATTTATAGTCTTTAAAACGTAGTCATACCTCGGTATACGACCGCTTTGGAATACGTCGAATTTGGTATACGTCGTGTTTTTACGAGAGAAAAAGTCTTGGGATACGACGTCTTGCTTGGGATACGACGCGCTTGCTAGAACTTGTATGGGTCGGGATGAGTCACCACGTACCCCGTTCACACCTCCTCCTCTTCCTCACCACCATCCTCGTAGGCTATCAACTCCTCTTAGCAAGGTAAAGTGATGTTACATTTCATTAAAATTTATTTTAATTTATTTATGCATTTATTTTAATGTATGTATGCATTTTAGTAATTAGTAGTGTCTAAATTATTTTATACAACCCCATTAATTTATAATATGCCATGTAAAATATCATTTCTTATACTCTGCAACGGATATTTCCTTTCACTTTATTTCTTATGGGAAAAATTCGTTTGGTACTTACGTCATTTTCGGTATAAGTCCTACCTTCCTGGAACGAATTAACGACGTATACCGAGGTACCACTGTACATACATTTTTCTAAACAAGTAAACCATTATCAGTGTGTGTGTGAACTGAAGAACAAGTCAGGCTGGATTGCAAAAGGTTTCGAGTTCAATACCCACGAACCTCACAAAGATAATTCATCATCAGCTCCACAGCGATTCACGTTACTTATTGTTTTGCGGTCCTGTGAACGGTCGATGGCCTAAGCAAAACATCTATTGGAGTGTATTGCCGCAGGCCATCGGCACTATTCACTTTGGCTGCCATACAATCAGGGATGTATCGATTTAGGACTTTGCATCATGCCAACCCCTGCAAGGATTAAATGGACATTCATCTTATTTGCGCAGCATTTCAAGGCAACGGAGCAAAGTACTATTTGTGAGAGTTAAATGTTAACGTTATAACAGTGTACCTCCTCATATTGAATACATCAATGTTTTCTGGTGAGCTCAATACACCAGCTGTGTGAATGAGTGAATCAGTGTTTGACTCACACATACATACACAATACGAATCTGCAGCTCCACGTTTGATGGAAAACAGCGCTAGGAATTGAAACGCTAATACGTGAAGAAAAGTAGCTACAAATAAATCACATTTTAAATATTATTGACAATCTTGATTTTAAGCTTTCGTGAATGCAGGAATCCATACTCTCTGTGATTCTTTCGGCCGTCTTCAGGTGACAAAAATAATCTCCCTCTCGTGCCTATATAAAGCCACAACAGCAGATAATTTTTCTCACCTGAAGACGGCCGCTTGTGTTGCGACCGAAACGTCGTGTTTTCTTTTATTATTTTTTCTATCTACGTGACTTTACCGAAAGAACCAGAGAGTATTATTGACAATGTCAAAATAACCCTGTTTTGAAACCACCACCTGTTAACTTTTAACTCCACAAACTTGGTGCTTAGGCCACAAGTGGATGTGTTTTCGTTTTCATTCTCAACTGAGTTAACGACAACGTTGGCGTCAGTGCATGATATTTGCAACATAAACGAGTGCACGATACAGTTTAGCTACAATGTCGTGTAATCAAGCTCTACAGGCGCACAAATATGCCGTTACAGATTCCCACTGTGGCTTCCTTTGATCGTACTGTGGATATATATTATGGAAATGCCCAGTCGCAGATTACCCGAACCATTTTGATAGAATCAAGCACGTTCTTAAGGGAGAATGATGGCATTTTTCATGAAATTTTAGCACAAGACGATGCAAACTTAATGTGGAGCTTTCGTGACTGCAGGAAATTACTCTTTGGTTCTTTCGGTAAAGTGACGTATAAAGAGAAAATAATAAATTAAATACTAGCATACGACGTTTCGATTGCAACACAAGCAATCATCATCAGGTATAAATGAAATAGAAACACAAATCTAGTATACTTAGAAATGTAATGTAATACAACAGAGAGTCGGATAACATAAGGGTGCTGACTGTTATGTTATCCGACTCTCTGTTGTATTACATTACATTTCTAAGTATATTAGATTTGTGTTTCTATTTAATTTATACCTGATGATGATTGCTTGTGTTGCAATCGAAATGTCGTATGCTAGTATTTAATTTATTATTTTCTCTTTAAAACGTGACTTCACCGAAAGAACCAAAGAGTAAGACGATGCAACCCTAAGAATAACAAAACCTCAAAAAATAATCAACAACACTGCCCTGAAAGAAGAACAATATCATGGGGGACATTTCTGGAAATGGCCCATCTTTTGCGATGAAAAAAATGCAATTGCCTAAAACGTCACCAAAATGTTGTCTCTTTTCTTCCACCGCGATGAATGGCCACAGCCAGAAGACACGTTATCTATTATATATATTCGTACCTTTTAGGGAAGAAGTGTTATTGACGAATGTTTGAAGTTTTCGTGACTGCAAGGATCCATACGCTTTGGTTCTTTCGGTAAAGTCACGTAGGAAAAAAAAATTTAAAATGATGACAGACGCTTGTGTTGCATCCGAAACGTCGTGATTTAATTCATTTTTATTTTTACCTACGTGACTTTACCGAAAGAACCAAAGAGTATTGACGAATGTATTGACTTTTTGTTATTTGTGCTTGTCTACCACTGCCAATGCAGTACCGCACCAAAATGTGTTCAACCTCCGATAACAATCCTGTTTTACACCAATTCAAAATACGTAGTTCCGCATAGCTACCAGCAGAAGATTGAATTGAGAAAAAAAATCCTACAACTGTCCGACACAATGAACGCAACAGCAGCAATATCCATGAGTTTGCGAATGTTGGTTTCTTACACTAGACAAAGTTTAGCAACGGACAACACCAAAAGGCATTTCCCCTGGGTCGGGGGTCAAAACTATCGGCGAAGCGAGACGTAGGCCAAGGGGAGGGGGGGGGGCGGGGCTGGTGGAGTGCACCGCGTGCGGGGTCGTGTTCTCGCGCCTGTCGCCGTGGCGCGTGCCGGCTAAGTGATGACGGTCGGGCCGGTGCGACCCGTGCGCCCGTGGAGATCGGAGAGCTTCTGGGAGATGGCCACCAGAGGAGCCAGCATCACCTGCGCAAAAAGGAAAAGGGGGCGCGCGCGATTTGTCACGATTGTTTTCATGCCACTGCCACGATCGTCGTCAAACTTCTTGGTTCTTTCGGTAAAGTCACGTAGAATGGAAAAAATAAAAATAAAACATAATAAAATAATTCTCACGACGTTTCGGCCACAACGCAAACAGGTCTGTTGGGAAGTCAGCGTCTGAAATCAGACGCTGTCTTCCCGACAGACCTGTTCTTCACCAGAGGACGGCTGTTTGCGTTGTGGCCGAAACGTCGTGAGAATTATTTTATTATGTTTTATTTTTATTATTTTACTATTTCCATTCTACGTGACTTTACCGAAAGAACCAAGAAGATGAATCCCTGCAGTCACGAAAGCTTTAAATCGAAATGGATGTCAAACGTTAAACATTTCCATGCGACGGAAGCCATCGCACTTGAAAGACGCGCCGACGGACAGAGAAGTTGAAGGGACCACTGCAAGGAGGTATCTGTGAAGGAAACAGTCATGCCCCAAGGGACTAGAGAATGACCACCGCAGCCATCATTGCCTGTGATCAAATGATGAAGCTGTCGCATGGCTAGGCGCAAACTCACACGCTAAATAAATAAATTATTCCACTGCAGGGTAAAGACCTCCCCAAGCGGTTGCCAACTCTCACAGTCCTGCGATGTACTAATCCACCTACTCATGAATGGCTTTCATCGCTCCATCTCCACGGTGGACGTATTTCGGAAATGTTTCCACCTTTGGCTGCCACTCCATGGTTAGTGTCGACCACTGGGGCCATCAACACGGCCCGCAATGTGTCCTGCCCAAGCCCACGTGATTGTTCTGTTACCACTGTCACCCAAACAAAGGAATAAATAAGTCACTCGACATTTCTCCGTGATTGAGAAATGCCACTCCAAATGAACATTTCTGCTCAAGAATGCCTCCCGCCCACATGCGTTTGAACATTGCATCGTCGCGTGCGTTAAGTGCCGTAGGATTACAAACTCTTTATTAAGTCAGTGCTCTTTGTGTTTAGTTTGTTGTCCTTCCCCCGCACCTCTGATTAGCACGGTTGGCTACTCATGGTACACGAAAGAAGTTACACGTGTATAGGGCAATTGGCAACACGTGACAATGTTTTATCCGCAAAATTATGTAAAAACACGAATAGGCAAAGAAATGCTGTTATAGCCTCAGTTACTGTTAGTTACGCAACATTCCGTAAAGAACCTGTACTCGTTCTATGCGACATTGATGTTTCTGTCTTTGTGTAGTTGTTGCTAATGTGCTCACACACCACGCATCTCCCTTGTAAAACAGTCGAGCACGTGGTCAAACGGGACCATCACTCGTCTAACAAATCAAATAAACATAAAAGAAAGCGGAATTCTATTAATTAACCACGCTTTAATGAAACGTACCCTACTCGTAATGGCAGAACTCCACGACTCCAGGAAGTGGCCGCAAAGCTTGCAATAACGTAAGGGGCCGTGGTGATTTACAGCCAACATAACATATACAAATTAATGTAAAAAAATACTTTTATTTCTTTATTTTTAAAAGAATATTGTATTGTCATCAGTATGACATAAGTATACCAAGTTTGCAGTCGATACCACATTGAAGTGGGTTACAATTTAGTTACAATATTTGAGATACGACAACAACAGACAGAGTGAGTTAAATAAAAACGTGTAAAAAGATCGTTCAATTTATGTATTTATTTTTTATGATAGAATATAGTATTGTCATCAGTATGACATAAGTATACCAAGTTTGCAGTCGATACCACATTGGGAAGTGGGTTAAAATTAAGTTACAAGATTTGAGGATACGACAACAACAACAGAGTGAGTTAAATAAAAACGAGTAGAAACACTTCCTCGCTTGCGCGCACCTGAGGATCTTGGTAGATCTTGGCAGGGTCCTTCTCATAGCTGTCGATGTAGAGTCGGATAGTTGCCCCGGCACTGCCCGTTCCGCTCAACCGGAAAATGATGCGCGAGCCATCGGTGAAGATGAGGCGTAGACCCTGGGGAAAAAAACAGAGATGGAGTGTACATTCTGTACTCCTTACAAACAGCAAATATCTCTTGACGTAAAACAAGGGAGCAAAACCGCTCACGAGCCAAGCTCGTACAGTAAAGCCATTCACGGATAATTTCTAACTGGGGGCGCTTTGGGTTTAATTGAGACGAATGACGTTGCGGTATTAGCCATATCGATTACTGTCAAAATAGCTTCACAAATACAACGATGCGACATGGTAAGAGTCATTACGACTCCGATGTGTGTAAAAATACTTGGCCTCGCGAAAGGCCAGCCTGCTAATTTCACCCAAGCAGAGTGAGGAAACACTGCTCGCTCCAAGGGTGTGTGGCCCACCCACTGCATGAATGACCCTGCTGCCAAATTATCCACTTGAAAAAATGAAAATAAAACCCCATTTAACTTTGCAAAAGTCTTTACTATGAGCGACACGACTAGCCAAGAAGCAGGTTTCATTAATGCATTGGGCAAAATCGTAACGGACGATCGTCACAAGGGCCCCGTGCGTCCCGGGATATGCTGCGCACATACATTTGGGAAGCTTGCAAAAAAACATAACCGCAATGTAGACCCCCCCTATCACTTCGGCTACCATTTAACCCTTTCGCCGTATAAGGGGCCTGCAGCTCCCACCGTCGCTAATCTGTATACGTCGGCGCAAGATGACACCCGGAATATTCGCACCGAAATCCGATCAGCCCCACGACTGTCCCCGCCATGCAGCCGCGTCGGTGACTGCAACCGCCGCCCGAAGACAAAGATCCCCTGCATAGCCTGTAACAAGCTGTTGGGGCAAGTGCTGAAAGCGAGGAGAACCTATGAAGGCTTGCAAGCGCACGTGAGGGGGTGGGTGGCCAGCACCACGCCCGGCCACCTTTGTTTCCCCAGTGCTGATGTTTACACACCGCACCGGGTGCTCAATTGAGACCGAGTCGGCCTAGGGGAGGCCCAGGACCGGTTCAGATAACCATCACTGGTGTTGGCCATAAGCGGGAATTGAACTCGGGTCGCCGGGTTCGTTGCGCAGCGCGCTAACCGCTACATCACGGCTCACCACCTGCACTGCTGCCTGCACACACAAGATCGATTTAAACTAAAACTATTTTAATTTTACAAGGTAAGGCCCATTGAGCCATATAGCTGTTTCTCAGAAGCGACCTGGCCACAAATGATAGCTCAACGAAGTGGCTTATCGTGTGGAAATTTATAGCAGCCAAATACTTTAAACGCCTTATTTTGACTATAAATGTGGAGGGAAAAACCGGAGGAACTGGAGAAAAATCCACACGACCATGGAAAGAGAGAGAACATGCAAACTCCAAATATACAATAGGTGTCAGGGTCGGGATCGAACCCACGACCTCCTGCATACCAGGTGAGGGAGTTAACATCTCACCGCCGTGGCGCCCAAAGGTTCTTCCGACGTCAACTCCAGCGCTCGCAATGCGTGCGGTCGAATCGCGCGATCATTGAGAATTCAGGTAACATCCGGCCTGTCACCGAGTCTCACGCGTTCTCGTGCTGCCACCACGCCCCGCATCTCACGCAGTGCCAAACGGCAGTGCGGCACAAACCTGGTTCTTGGAGACGCTGCCGTCCACGGGGTCGGTGTAGGAGAAGTTGTCCGACTTGGCGACCGTGAAGGTCTTGTCCCCCTCGGTGAAGGCCTTGCCCACGAAGGCCGGGTCGAACAGCTTCTTCTCCAGGTCGGACATCATCGTGTTGGCCGCGCCCGAGTCCACCTCTTCGTAGTCGTAGCTGATGGAGGAGGACGTGTCCGCTTTTAGATTTCGTCGTTTTTTTAAAAAAACGTTATTAGAATTGCGAACGAATACAATGGTTGAGGCCGTCATGTAATGGGTTTGCAAACTTCACTTGCAAACCATAGGCCCATAGGAAAACCATAAGTCGGTCACGTGTGGTGGGGTAAAGTGTGGGTACTTCCACCTAATTCCCAGATGACTGGCTAGCGTGGTAGCATAGGCCAAATATTTTATAGACGGGGAGCTCTTGAGCTACCATCTAGAGCAGGCCCCTTCTGTCAGCAGTGGAATGAGCAAGTAATTGCAGGGCTGCACCTTTTCCTTTCCTCCATAACAAATGGAAGATTTGTATCTGTGCCTATCGGTGTATGCGTGTGGGGAGCAGCAGTGTAGGAGTAAGCGCGCTCCACTATGAACCCAGCGGCCCAAGTTCAATTCCCGCTCACGGCCAACACCAGTGACAATTATCTGAACCGGTCCTGGGCCTCCCCTTGGTCGACTCAGTCTCAAATGAGTACCTGGTGCGGTGTGTAAACATCACCACTGGGGGAGACAAAGGCGGCCAGGCGTGGCACTGGTTACCCACTCCCTCGTGTGCCATGCCAGCCCTTTATAGGTGCTCGCTCACAGCACCTGCCCCGAAAAGTCCGTTACAGGCCCGACGGGCGACCTTCTGCCTTTGCCTTGTGCGTGCGTGTCCATTTACCGGGTGAAGAAGTTGCGTCCGTATTTGGCCCAGTGCGCCTTCATGATCTGTTCGATGCTCTCCTTGCGGAAGGCGAGGATGGACAGCCACGCCAGCAGGGCCCACATCCCGTCTTTCTCTCGGATGTGGTCGGAGCCTTGGGTTCATTGTGAAACAAGGACACGAGCTTTTGCATGCGCATTCTTCTTCGTCTAATGAATGGAGAAGTATCGATGGTGTTTCATGTACGAATGGGGGAAGAGAGGAAGCAAGAAGATCTGCGATTCGGCGGCGAGTTTAAGAAGGCATTCTTTTTGCATCGCGCTGACGTCCTGAAACGCGCCGAGCGTCTCTTGATTCCGTGGTCTGCGCAAGACGCATCTATTCAGTCTCGCCTTATTATTGGTTTAATTAACATTTTCTAATTTAATTTACTATTGGCACTCCACCGCCCCTCCTGTACGTGTTTTCTGGCTTGGTTAGGAAGTTGGGATTGTGGTCTGGGATGTGTAGTAGTAGACCTCATGGACTCATTGTTGTTTGTGCTTTTGGGCTTGGTGCCATTTCATAATTTGTTTATTCATTTTTAATTTTGCTTGGCACTTTAGTCGGGTCTTCATTTGCTTGGTAGTTGTGGTATATGTGATGTGGTTCTTATATATACAGTTAATGTGCAGTGTTATGGGATGCTGTTAGCATGAATGACGCTAGATTAAAGAAAATAATTATTATTATTTTTCTCGTTGTGAATGAATATATTGAGCACGGTGGTGATTTACTCTGCTCAAGTCAGCGTTCGCCACTGAGATCGTGATGGGTTTCTTTCTTCATTCCTGTTTAAGTCGGTGTTAGCCGCGAAGGTCGTGACGGGTTTCTATCTTCATTCTTGTTTCTCCGTGCCTCCTGTAACCATTCCCGTTCCGCCATAGTGTGCACCGATGCCCACTTTATTGAGGGCGATATCGGCACGTAAAATAAACATTCATTGTTGATGCGAGTTTCAAGATACGGTGACGGGGGGGGGCGGGGTCTTGTTTGTGATGTTTCACCAGTTCCTTAATGAGTACTTAGTATGCGATTCAAAGAGAGAACTGTTAACAATATTGGGTCAGCAACCAACTGTATAAACCCACGGCATGGGAGTCACATACGTATAAAAAGCGTTGCCTGATACACAAACCCTGCCTATAAAGTGCTGGACTGCAGGCCTACGCCACCAGTCTGCTGGGTTATTATTGCAAACACAACGTGCACACTCCCTCGCGCGTTTGCGTTGCTTGTTTAGGATACGTACCCGTGCCGAAGCTCTCCTCTCCGCACAGCGACAGCTTTCCCGCGTCCATCAGGTTCCCGAAGAACTTCCATCCCGTGGGCACCTCGAACAAGGCCACCTTCTCCACCTCCGCCACCCTGCAGACGAATCACACGATCGTCCCTGATCCAGGGCCCACAACTCTGGAGGACCCAGGGCCCATAAACTGTGGAGGTCCCAGAGCCCACAACTGCCGTTATGCGACACGAGAGTATTTTTCGATTTAAAGCTTCCGTGACTGCAGGGATTCATATTCTCGGATCTTTCGGTAAAGTCACGTAGAAGGGAAATAATAAAATAATAAAAATTAAACGTAATAAAATTCTCACGACGTTTCGACCACAACACAAGCAGCCGTCCTCAGGTGAAGAACAGAGATGTCGGAAAGACGTGACTTTACCGAAAGATCCAAGAATACGAGAGTATTTGTTTCAGTTTTGTCATTTTGCCAATCTCATCTCGGATGTGCCAGAATAATCCCGTAGGACTGCTCACTCTTCGTGTTCGAGAATGGTCCGCGGAGGTGGATACCACAGAGTTACCTCCAAGAACCCGTCACGTGACCCTGTTTGACACGGGCAGCACTCTCGTATGCCCGTGATGTGAGACAGAGCAGGATGGCTGGGAAGGTGGGGCGGTTTGCGTCTGAGTTAAGAGCCAGCGGTGATTAAACCAAGCCATCAAGCACTTCGAGTTGAACTTTAATGCTCAACTGTGATACTGAACTAAAAGGTTAAACAAATTCGAAAAGAATCCGTGAGACGTTTATGGTACACGGAATTTTGATTTACGTTTAATTGTCCAAAAAATATATATTTTTAGTGGGTCGTAAAACAGTGCAGCCTAAGTGGAAATGTCACATTTTAAATGGCGCTGTAGAGCTCATCCTGCGCGCCCTTCTGCGTTGTTTATCACGCGATGTCCACTCGGCAGCGCGAGTTACATTTTTATTTAGTGTTCCTAAAAAGTGCTCTAAAGGGACTACATTCGATTCAAAACTCAGCTGCCCGGGTTTTGAACCGGGTCTGCATTGGCTCCCTGTAAAGTACAGAATCGACTTTTAATATTATTTTCTTATCATGTTTAAGGCCTCGAATGAGTTGGCTCCTAAATATCGCACCACCTATCTGCTTTAGTTTTATATTCCACTGCTCATTATGATTCCAAAGACCAGACTTTGTTCTATGGGAGACGGAGGCTTTTTGCAGCCAGGCTCCGCGACTGTGGAATTCCCTTCCTCCTCGTTCCATGAGGGAGTCTGAGTCCATTACACTTTTTAAATTGCGTCTTAAAACTCGCCTGTTTTTAAAACGGCCTTTCTCCGTAACTTAAACCGCTTTATATAAAGCACTTTGAGGCCTTGTGTGAATTGCGCTATTATAGAAAACCGAGTTTATTATTTTTATTGTTGTCGTTGTCGTTATCTGCGAGACAGGGCGCATGCAACACACACATAGCGTAACGTTGCCAAGCGCTTGGCTCCAGTAACCCCACGGCTGGCCATTGCGTGAAAACAAAACACCACCAACACGGAGCGCGGCGTGTTTCGTATTCGCCAATTAACTCTCCCGATGGGCAACGCGTGGGGGCCAACGAATGAATGGTTGGTTGGTTGAATGAGCGCTCTGTTCACGTGCCACGAACATATCGGTCGTCCGCCACCGCGGCGCTAACAGGACTTGTTGTCTCAACACAGCTGCCCCCATTGTGCTCCTAACGCAGACCACATGGTACGCAGCGTAGATTTCATAGAGAGGCCGGCCTGTGTTCATGCTCAGAGGCACGTTGCGTTATGCAGACGCTGACATTAGCTCTCCAATCAATATTGTTATTTAATGACTGTTGCTTTAAATAGGCTTGCTTAAAGGAAGATGTAACCCAAAAACACAAATGGCTTGGATATCTTATAGATACATAATCACCAACACATGTCCATGCGGCCACCTCATCTTTTGAATAACCTGTGTTTTTCTCGATTGGCATCGGCTCTCAGTCAGATATTTTTGGGTGGAATAAAGTGTTCTGCCGTGGGGGAAATGTTGATGAACGATGCCAGCACCCAAAGGATTCCCTGGAACTCGTTTGTCGCTGCCCCTGGCTGACCCTGGCTGCCCCTGGAGCTCTCGGTTCCTTTTGCTGCTGTCGCTGTTGCTGCTATTGGTGATGTTGGTGCAGTGGCGCAGCGGGTAGCGCGCTGCGCCACGAACCCAGTGTCCCGAGTCCGATTCCCGCTCACGGCCAACACCAGTGACAATTATCTGAAACGGTCCTGTGCATCCCCTAGGTCGACTCAGCCTCAAATGAGTACCTGGTGCGGTGTGTAGTAAACATCGCCACTGGGGAGACATAGGCGGTCGGGCGTGGTGCTGGCCACCCACCCCCTCGTGTACCGTTGCGGCTTCCATAGGTGCTCGCTAACAGCACTTGCCCCAACAGTCTGTTAAGGCTACACGGGGGATCTACGTCTTTGCTGTCGGTGCTGGGCCACGGTTGCTCTGGCCCTGGCTCTGCCGCGGTGTTCCGTTGCTCCCTGAACTTCCCGAACTTCGAGCCAAAATCTTTTTGTTCAATTTACAAATGGCCCTTCAGATGCGATTGCAATTAGACGCGACGTAAATTGTAATCGTTGTTGTCGTCGTCAGTTTAACTCGTAGGCTTTCGCGACCAATATCATGGGTTAGAGCGCGTGAATATAAATGTGTCGTTAAACCCGCCACCACTCGACACGAAACAGGAGGATTTCTCCACAAATCTGGCTGTCGCCCGATGAAGCTGGTTGTAATTACTGGCAAAAACGTCGTACTCGGACTGTAAATGTTGTGGATTTGCTCTCCAACACACCGGTGTGCTGTACGAGTAACGAATTGGTCACGTTCTGTTCACGTGACAAACCTTACTTGTTGGCTGTGTCGGGTGGTGGCGGGTTTAACGACACATTTATATTCATGCGATCTAACCCAAACAACTGATTTTGTGGATATTGTTGTCGTCACTCTGCTCTGAACAGATGAGCGGGCGAGTAATTGAGCAGCGCCAGGACAGTAACACGACAATTTACGTGTCCCGCTTGTACGTCGTTTCGCAACATACGTCGTCACTTTATTATTAACACCGCTGCCCGATTCGTGTCGCCTCGACCTACACACTTCACGTCGCCGACAGCATCATCGTCCGTCCTTCCTCCTCGTTATCTGTCGACTCTCAGCCTCCGCCTACACCACCTACCACCGTGTAAGTCGCTTCTACGGTTCACCTCGTTTCGATATTCGTCGTCCCACCTTTCAGGAACGCACCCCGCCCCCCCGCCCTCCAACATAACCGGGGGCGACTGCCGTACCAGCGAAGAAAGCCGGGCGGTGCGCTGCAAACCATCTCACGGCGCGATCGCGTTACAGTCGCAACGCAAGACGGCCTCGTTTGTAACCGGCTCTGCTTGGCGCGCGCACGTATGCACAGTCTGTTCTCCTATGGCGCGTGTTGTTTTCATGACGCGAATTGGATATAACGCGATGAACGTTTTTAGGGAACGCATTTTTTATCGCATGGATGCGAATTGGATACAATTTCGACCGAATGAACGGAACTACGTCGCGCGAGTAGGAAACACGTTCCTTTGGAGTGGGCAGGTAGGAACCTGGTTGGACGGCGCATTCGTGCAATCCGTGTCACGCGGCGCAAGCTGCGTGGGGCGGCGCATCACGTGGTGCTGAGCCCGCCCGAAGCGCTCTATGAAATACAAATCGAGGGCGTGGCTATGCACGACAGACAGACAAATAATCCCTGGTGGGCAGTGTGGAACTGTTGTTCCTACCTGTGTAAGCGGTTGTACGGCTGCCTCGGTGGAGCATCGCGCAAATGGCGGGATGCTGCCGGATGCTTCTAGATGCTACCCAAGCACCTCGGTCTTTTTTCGGCCGCATCTCACGTGTTATCGTGGACTGCGATTACCCCTGAATTGTATTTCATTTATTACAATGCGCTTTGTCCGTTACGCGGCGATCTTCAGGAACGCAACTACCACCGCGTTATGGGCGGACAGACTTTACGTCCGTCCGTCCGTCCTTCCGAAGGTACGTACCGGTCGATGGCGCCGCTGGTGGGCATGCTACGCGCGAAGCCCTTGACGCCCGTGCGCTGGAAGAACGGGATGCACGAGATGTTGGCGGCGATGACGGCCACCGAGTCGGAGGGGTTCACGAAGAAGCCTTTGTGCCCCAGGATCATGTTGCGATCCTGCACAGGGGCCACGACGCGGCACGATCGCCCCACTGTTATCGATTTACCCGTTGATGTAAGTCGTTACCAATTTACCCATGGTTCATACTCTTAGTTCTTTCGGTAAAGTCACGTGGGTAAAAATTTTAATTAACTGTCACAGCAAAAAATCGGTATCACTTGATACAGATTTTTTGCTGTGACAGTTTCACCGGAAGACGGAAGCTTGTGCTGCCTCCGAAACGTCGTGATTTTATAAATTTTTTTTTTAATTAATTTTAATTTAATTTTTTACCTACGTGACTTTACTGAAAGAACTAAGAGTATGAATCCTTGCAGTCACGAAAGCTTCAAATCTAGAATTACCCATGGTTGTCGACTGTTATCGATTTAGACATTTTCATTGACTATTATGAATGTTATCAATGTACCCGTTCTTATCGACTGTTAATCAATTTACCTATTGAGGGTTCCGCGGTGGAGAGATGTTAACTACCTCGCCTGGTAGGCAGGAGGTCGTGGGTTCGATCCTGATTCTTGACGCCTGCTCTATATTTAGATTTCGAATGTTCTCCCTGTCTCTGCCCCTGTGGTCATGTGGATTTTTCTCCGGGTCCTCCGGTTTTTTTTCTCTCCACATTTTGAAACATGTGTTTAGAGTATTTGGCTGCTATACATTTCCGCGTGATAAGTCACTTTGTTGAGCTATCATTGGTGATAGCCAGGTTGCTTCTGAAAAAGAGCAATATAGCTCAGTGTGCCTTACCCGGTAAAATAAAAAATAGTTTAGTTTTATTTTTCGATTTAAAGCTTTCGTGACTGCAGGGATTCATCTTCTTGGTGCTTTCGGTAAAGTCACGTAGAAGGGAAATAATAAAATAATAAAAAGAAAACATTATAAAATACAATTCTCACGACGTTTCGGCCACAACTGTCGGAAAAACAGGGCTGTCGGAAAGACGCTGTCTTTCCGACAGCCCTGTTTTTCACCTGAGGACGGCTGCTTGCATTGTGGCCGAAACGTCGTGAGAATTGTATTTTATTATGTTTTATTTTTATTACTTTATCATTTCCCTTCTACGTGACTTTACCGAAAGAACCAAGAAGATGAGTTTAGTTTTAGCTCATTGTTATCAATGGTTATCAATCTACCCATTGCCATCGACGATTACCAATCTACGCATCGCTATCGACCACTTGCGAATTGCGTGCGTCGCCCCGCCCTGGCGCCAGCGGCGGGCGGACTCGCTCACCCCGTCGCCGTCGAAGGCAGCGCCGACCCCGAACTCGCCGGACTTCATCGCCGTCACGAGCTCGGCCGCGTACGTGAGGTTGGGGTCCGGGTGGTGACCTCCAAAGTCCTCGAGGGGCTCACAGCTGACGGCCGAATCCGCGGGCGCGCCCAGCTCCTGCACCAGCACGCGGCGCACGTACGGCCCCATCACTGCGGGGTGACGCACGCACACACGCACGCACGCACACACACGCGGGACAAAGACAAAGATCCCCAACGTAGCCTTTAAGCAGACTTGTGGGGCGAGTGTTGTTAGCGAGCAGCAGCACCGATGACGGCACGGCGCACGAGGGGGTGGGTTGGCCATCACCACAGCCCGGCCATATTCGTCTCCCGAGTGGCGACGTTTACACACCGCACAGGGTACTCGTGTGAGGCTGAGTCGCCATAGGAGAGGCCCTGGACCGATTCAGATAATTGACAATGGTGTTGGCCGTGAGCGGGAATCGAACTCGGGAGGCTGGGTTCATAGCGCAGTGCGTTAACAGCTACACACACGCCCGAACACAAACACACGTAACAACAACGGTCATCATTGGCCACCCAGGGACGGTGATGTCAGTGCCATGTTGTTCACAAGTTGTCCAGCCATCCAATTTGGCCATCTGCTACTCTAGTCAGAATAAATGTTCCCCATACTCTTTGTTTTTTTTCGTAAAGTCATGTAGGTAAAAAATAAAATAAAATAAATGAAAACAACTAAATTAAATCACGACGTTTCGGGCGCAACACAAGCGTCCGTCATCAGGTGGGAAAGCATGTCCTACTGCTGATGCAGACTGTTTTAAAGGTTTGAAATGGGTGTAGCCTAAGGGTTATAAATGAGTGGCTGGGTCTAGTGATGTTAATGTGAGAAATTAGCATGTAATTGGGTACGGAAGTGGCTATGTTAATGTAAGAGATTAGCATGATGTTAAAGTGAGAAATTAGCATGTAACATGCTAATTTCTCACATTAACATTACTAGACCCAGCCACTCCTTTATAACCCTTGGGCTACACCCATTTCAAACCTTTAAAACAGTCTGCATCAGCAGTAGGACATGCTTTCCCACCTGTGTTGCGCCCGAAACGTCGTGATTTTATTTAGTTGTAGCCATTTAATTAATTATTTTTCATACGTAACTTTACCGAAAAAAACCAAAGAGTATGAATCCTTGCAGGCACTAAAGCTTCAAATCTAGAATTATATGTTCCCCGGCCGCGGCTTTAGTCATGTTTTCATCGTTTTAGAGTATTTGGCTGCTATCCATTTCCACGTGATGACAAGCTACTTCGTCGAGCCATTATCTGTGCAGACAGCTTGCTTCTAATAAAAAAAAAAAACTGTAGAGCTCAGTGGGCCTTACCTGGTAAAATAAAAAATGTGTTTTCATTTAAACAGTTTGTGTTTGTCTTAGCCGTGTTTCTGCCCACCCTCGACCCCTTCCATCCAACGTCTATTTTCCCCGCACGTGTCCGTCCAACTGTCCCCTGTCCATCAGCAAGTAATTCCGTCGAGAATGTGTCCGACCTGCCAGGCCCCCGGCCCTCACCTCCGTGCATGGCGTCCACGCGGAGCTTCAGCGCTTTGGGGCCGGTGAGGAGCGACTTGATGGCGGGCAGGTCGAAGATGTCCTTGAGCATGACGAGGTAGTCCTCCACCGAGTCGATGATCTCCACTGCGGGCAAAACAAAACCACGCACACAGCCACCGCTCCGGCATCGCCACGGCACCTTGACCTCCTCCCTGACGATGCCCTGGCTGACCCCCCCGTCTGACCCCCCTCCCCGTGTCTCCCTCCAGTGGTGGACGCGTGGATTTTTCTCCGGGTCCTGTGTTTTTTTCCCCCTCCACATTTAAAATCTACGTGCGTTTAGTGATACGGGTAGTGATAGGGGTGGTGATAGGGTTAGGGTTAGAGATGGGGGTAGTAACAGAGGTAGTGATAGGAGTTGGGGTAGTGATAGGGGTGGTAATCGGGGTAGTGATAGGGGTAGATAGGGGTAGAGGTAGGGGTAGTGATAGGGGTAGTGATAGGGGTAGTGATAGTGGTAGTGATAGGTGTAGTGATAGGGGTAGTGATAGGGGTAGTGATAGGGGTAGTGGTAGGGGTAGTGATAGGGGTAGTGGTAGGGGTAGTGATAGGGGTAGTGATAGGGGTAGTGATAGGGGTAGTGATAGGGGTGGTGATAGGGGTAGAGGTAGGGTAGTGGTAGGGGTAGTGATAGAGGTAGTGGTAGGGGTAGTGGTAGGAGTAGTGGTAGGGGTAGTGATGTGGACAGAGATAGGGGTTGGCCTGGCCATAGCCTGGGTGGCGGGGGCAGGGAGTAGCAGTAGCAGCAGGGTGGGCTAAGGGATGGGGATTGTTTTAAGGGAGGAATGGAAGCTGCAGGTTGTTATCGTGAAGATAAATATTTTATGTGCTGCAGGGGGATTTGGTTCTAGCCACGAAGGGGAGCGAGAAGGGAACAGGAACGAGAGCGCGAAGACTGGGCACAGGGCGAGGGAGGCACAGAGAGGCATGGCAGAGACTGGGAGCATAGAGGATGGGATGCGTTAAAGAATTAAGATGTGATAGTCTTTGGGTCTTGATCTGGCTTCTTCTTGGACAGGAGGTTGAACTTGAACTAGACAATTTAGACAAGACTCTCTTGCAATCACACTTAACATTGACAGAAAAAATGTCTACATCTGATTGGGAACATGTAGATAACATGACAGCCTCGTCAGCCGCCTCAATGTCAGCTAAATGCAAAGATAACCTGATTGCAAAGATCAACCTCCTGTCCAAGAAGAAGCCAGATCCACACATTAAAACGTTAGACGATGGCAAGATTGTTATCAATCAGAGTAACAGTCAGAGGTCGCAAACGGGTTTTGGTTCCTTACCCGTACCCGTACCCGGCCGCACCAGGGTCGCAAACGGGTACCTGTACCCGGCCGGGTACGGGTTACCCGTACCCTACCCGATACCCGGCCGGGTACGGGTAGCCGGGTATCGGGTAGGGTACGGGTATCGGGTACCCGATTGCGACCTCTGGGATGAAGCCATGTTGCAGGCGCGGGTGGATTGATTCTAGGAACTTGAATTGTGAGAAGAGACAAGACGTTGGGAAATGAGTGACAAACGGGGTGAGTCACATGCGGCTACCCATACCCGTACCCGGCCGCACCAGGGTCGCAAACGGGTACCCGTACCCGTACCCGTACCCGGCCGGGTACGGGTAGCCGGGTATCGGGTAGGGTACGGGTATCGGGTACCCGATTGCGACCTCTGGTAACAGCCCAATTTCCGACAGCCTAAAATCGGTTCTAGCTAAAGGGTTGAATTTGGCAGTCACTCCTAAACACATCCCAGTTGATGAGATCGTTGCCCAGGTCGACGTAGCCCTTTCAGGGTTTGGGCTTCACTAGCTCCGCCCCCTTCGCTTATGACCCCTGGGCTACACTCATCTCAAACCTTTATAACATCCTGCCTCAGCAGCTCTCTCGCTATCTTTTCACCTGATGACGATTGCTTGCGTTGCGATCGAAACGTCGCGATATTTTTATCATTTTTTCTATCTACGTGGCTTTACCGAAAGACCCAAAGAATAGGAATTCCTGCAGTCACGAAAGCTTTAAGTCAAGATTTAATTAAGATATGAGTGAAGCTAGATAGGGTGGGGCAAGACCTTGGATCAGATCAAATCAAATTACTGCTCTTGCTGTCGTCGTCGTCGTTGTTGTTGTTGTTGTCAGAGTCAGTGGTGAATAGTAAATAGCCGGAGAGAGCGAGCGATGGGAGTGTGACGCGTACCGGTGAAGGGCTGGGCACTGCCCTCGACGTTGAAGGTCTGCGTGCCAATCTTCGTCAGATCCACGTTGATGTCCGGGCAGGTGAGGAACTCCTTCAGCGTTTTGCTCAACTCGAAGATCTTTGCCGTCACTCCCTCGGGCGCAGGCCCTGCCACGCGCGCGGTTCAGTCCCAACGGCGGCGAAAGAGAAAAGTAGATAAAGGTTCCACGTGGATGAGCGCCATCTCCGCATGACATTTGAACAAAACAGTCGCTACGACCTTAACAAGCTATTTAAATTTTACCAGGTAAGGCCCATTGAGCTATATAGCCCAATGAAGTGGCTTATCACATGGACATTTATAGCAGCCAAATACACGAAGTGCATGTTGATTCTAAATATGGAGGGAGAAACCGGAGGAGCCAGACGAAAATCCGCACAACTACTGGGAGAGAGACATGAAAACTCCAAATATACAGGTATCAGGGTCGGGATTGAACCCACGACCTCCTGCATACCAGGCGAGGTAGTAAACATCTCCTAGTCACCGTGATGATGATGATGAGAGAGACACACAAACTCCAAATATACAGGTGTCAGGGTCGGGATTGAACCCACGACCTTCTGCATACCAGGCGAGGTAGTAAACATCTCCTAGTCACCGTGATGATGATGATGAGAGAGACCCAACAAACTCCAAATATACAGGTATCAGGGTCGTGATTAACCCACGACCTCCTGCATACCAGGCGAGGTAGTTAACATCTCCTAGCCACCGTGACTTTGACTGGGAGCCACCGTACAAGAAACGGCAGCGCGGTCAAGTAAAGTCAATTTGTAATTCTGTTTAAACACGTGGCGCCTATCCGACGCATATTGCCACCCGGACGGCACGGGGAAGGTAGCGACCTCCATTGGCCGTGTTGAACTTAATGCCGAAGTCTCCGTTGGGGCCGCCGGGGTTGTGGCTCGCCGTCAGGATGATCCCTCCGACCGCCTTGCGCTTGCGGATGAGGTTGGACACGGCCGGGGTGGAGAAGATGCCTTTTTGTCCGATCACCAGCCGCCCAATCTGCGGTAAATCACCATCATCACCATTACCACCATCGCCATCATCAAGAGATCACCGTTACTGAGATGAAGAGGTCATCGCGGCCGATTCCGATGGCGTTAACAACGCTAAGCTCCATGGGAACGGATGACAGCACAGACGAGACGCATGGTACAAATGATGCAATACATACCGATGACAAACGGGGTTAGTAGTAAATACAAATCTAAATAAATTCTAGAATCAAATCGTTAGCCCGAGCCATGGTGGGGTGTGGGTGGGGTGAGAACCGCACCCGCACGACGCATTCTATAAGCGGCGCGTTAAATCAGGGAGTAGTGCGGAACCCCCGTTTTGCAGAGCACCCACACGGTAATTTTAGCCACGTCACCGCGTCGGAAAGGTCAGTGCTATACACGTTCGCCGCGATTGCACGTCGTGCCAAGACCCCCCGCACGGATCTGGGAGAAATACATTTTGGGAGATACCATTTCATTGACAAGAGATTTTTTTGCCAGAGGGCACATTCTGTAAGCATTAGCAGCACGAACCTTTTTTATTTTTATTTCAGCAGGTAAGGCGTACGGTGATTTTACTGCAATATTTTGCTGTCTTTTCTTGGATTTTATGTTTGCACATAGTCACTTTAAGATGTTTTCTTGTTCATGTTTTTGTTTTTGTTTGTTGCGGTTGCACCCGATTCAAGAGCCGAATGGCTCACAGGACTATACCTAATAAATTAACTTGAAGTTGAACGAAGTAGCTTATCACGTAGAAGTTTATAGCTGCCAAATACTCTAAACGTATGTTGATTCTAAATGTAGAGGGAAAAACCGGAGGACCCGGAGAAAAATCCACGTGACCAACGGGGGAAAAGACAGAGGGAGAACATGCACACTCTAAATATACAGCAGGCGACGGTCAGGATTGAAACCACGACCTCCTGCATACCAGGCGAGGTAGTTAACATCTCGCCACTGGGGTGGACGCTGGCTTCATACCGCGAACATCCGCCACACCAAAGTGGCCGAACGCGATACGGCCCAGCCAGCCGGTCGGGCCGTAGCGCGTCCGTCTCTGGCCTGCGAGGAGCAGACGGTGGGCGGTGAGCACCGGGCACACCCTTGTGTTGTTGTTCCGGAGACCGGGAGATCAACGATCGATGTTCGGTCGCCGCGTTGTCGGCATTCGTCGTGATTTCTGACTTAACAGAGTGGGCCGCGTGAAGGCTGTCATCTTCCACCTCCACTCCAAAAACGACGCAATGCCCGATCCGCAAACTGCTCTTGACGCGGTTATCTGGCTCGACTTACTGAACGTGAAATTATAATTTGCTGCTTTGCATCTACATCAGCCGTACAAAAGAAGAAGAAGACCGGACACGCACGCGCACACACGCACGGCACGTACTCCGTTTGCCGCCGAGATGCGTGCGATGAGGGCAATGGCGTGGTGCATGTAGAAGCGGCCGTCCCCGCCGCATAGCAGGGTGGCCCCGGTTCGCTCGGCGGGCTCCAGGGAGCCCAGCACGGCCTGCACGAAATTCTCCGCATAGTGCTCCTTGCTCTGGAAGACGGAGACGCGCTTGCGCAGGCCGCTGGTGCCGGGCTTCTGGTCATCGTACGGCTTGGTCGGTACCCGCACCACCTTGTGAGCTGCCATGGTTGACCGGCGACCTGCGGAGAGGGTGCAGGGGTAAGACGTTGACCGGTCGATTTTGTGTGTGTCCGTGTGTGTGTGTACGTCAAACCCGGCGACATGAGTTGGATTCCCGCTCACGGCTACCAACACCAGTGACGATGATCTGAACCAGTCGTAGGCATTCCCCCCTAAAATGAGTACCTGGTGCGGTGTGTAAACATCACTACTGGGGAGACAAAGGCGGTGGGGAATGGTGCTGGCCACCCACCCCCTCGTGTACCATTCCGGCCTTCATAGATGCTCATAAAACAGCACTTGCCTCAACAATCTGTTGAAGCTATATGGGGGATCTTTGTCTTTATATGTCCAAGCGGTAACACAGCGGTGAGCAAACTGCGCTGCAAACCCACCGACACAAATTCGATTCCCGCTCACGGCTACCAACACCAGTGACGATGATCCAAACGGGTTCTGGGCATTCCCCCAGGGTTGAACATATTGCTGCCATACATAAGCGTAGAGTGTACCTCCCATTATCACCAGTGGATGTATGTTGAAGTTATTTAGCACTGTACGTAGCCAACCGTGCCAATCGACTCCTGTGCCTGTATATAAAGTAGGTATCAGTCTTACACATGTAGTATATCAATTATACAAGTAATGTACAATTTCTGAAAGCACTATGCAGTACACCCTATTAGTCCACTCCTTGTATGCACATTCTAAATCAGGCTTTTGTTTACTGTAACGTGTATTTCGGACATTGTAGAAATGTAGAAACCTTATATGTGTATATGTCCGTGTGGATATCAAGACGCAGACGTTTTAAAAAATGTATTTTGGATGATAAGTCCCATGCATTGAGATCATCAGCTGTTTTACGACCAGATTTACCACCAATACGTGGGCTGCATTAAATGTACTGTACATACTATACTCAATGTGGCATCACACTTAAACTCACATGCAAAGTCCCTTATTGCCTGTCCACAGTCCTAAAGCCAGTGATGGCAATTCCACGTTCTTATGGCAAGGATGAGTCGGCCCAGAGGAAAACCACTGCTGTCGATTTCCCACAAAGTGGTACTCGAATTATACACCCCAGTGGGATGATGGGCTGACACGACCCCAATTTACTGACAACGCATGGATATATTGAGTACATTGCCACAGCATGTGCAGTGGTATGCATTACGCAGGAGATCCATGTGCAGTTGAGTAAGAGGGAGGTTACTGCATAGGAAGTGACGGTTTAATGTCAAAGCCTCTCACCAATTCCAATCGAAAGAGTTTAACTATCCTCGTCCAAGATGCAGAGCCATCACGTTCACAACACCCAACAATGTACGGAAAAGGAAGGTTAAAAGGTCACGAGCTATCAGTCGGATATCTATACACGGATCACAACTTCATGTACATAAGTACCCTTCTTACTAGTATTCTGATCACGTTCCTAACATGCATTTTGCACACCGCAGTCACAACCCCGAAGAACACGCAACACGCGGACACGCAAACAAACATTTGCCTGTGATGCGAACAGTGGCTCTCAAAAAATACTAGCCGGTAACCTCTCTCAGTGTGAACACGAAGTCCTGAATTACAGTGCCGATTGGCTGACACTAAACCACCTCTGTATCACAATTGCCCAGAATCAGAATATATATTTCTCCTGGAGGAATCCGATGAGCGAAAAAGCTATAAAGATGTCCAGTGAAATGTACATCCGAAATCGTGAAATACAAGTACAACCACGGATCTTGATGATGACGACGACGATAACAACAACGATAATTACATTGCTTGCCTGAGTTCAATGAGTCTTGTCTTGCAAACTCCTGCACCCACAGTGGCAACTGAGGACTCTGCACCGACTTTCTGTGCATATATAGTGCACACACATACTGCACTGGTTGCTAAATATAAAGTCAGCCTGTGTCTGCAACGATGACATTTGACTCGACGAATGTATCCCTAGACCCACACACCCTCGCCCAACCCCCTACTACCAACCACTGTCATCACCAGCCTCGGCCGTGGTCAATCCACTGCTGAATGAAGATCCCCAACCTGGTGATCACAGCTGAGATGCAAAAAATAATTATTATCCGTGCAGGCACCACGATGCTTGCACGCAAGAACTGACCGCGATCGCTCCATCTCACTTCGCGGACGTGCTCCGTGCTCCGTCCTTTGGCTGCAGCTAGGGAACTACTCTTCACCATCGGACACGTCTTCCCGTCTAGCGGGCGTGCCCTTTGCAATGAGACCACTCTTCTTAGAGGATTCAATGACAGGTCACTCAAATCCACCGTGTTCTTCTTTCCCGTCTCTCAACGTGACAGCGATTTCACCAAGCACACGCCGACTCTGAAACTTTTTACCAATTCAACGTGGAATGTTCTATATTATTGGAAGATATTTTCTGTAGAAAGATATATTCCAGCTCAATTGCCCCTCAATTATGTAAGCTAGCCTTGCCTGGTATGCTGGAGGTCGTGGGTTTGATCCCGACCCCTGACGCCTGCTGTATATTTGGAGTTTGCGGTGTCTCTCTCATCATCATCATCACGGTGGCTAGGAGATGTTAACTACCTCGCCTGGTCTACAGGAGGTCGTGGGTTCGATCCCGACCCCTGATGCCTGCTGTATATTTGGAGTTTGCGGTGTCTCTCTCATATCATCATCACGGTGGCTAGGAGATGTTAACTACCTCGCCTGGTATACAGGAGGTCGTGGGTTCGATCCCGACCCGTGACGCCTGCTGTATATTTGGAGTTTGCGTGTCTCTCTCTCTCTCCCCGTGGTCGCGTGGATTTTTCTCCGGGTCCTCCGGTTTTTCCCTCCACGTTGATAATCAACATCACCACGCGTTTCGAATAATATTTGGCCGCTGTACATTTCCACACGATTGGCCACTTTGTTGAGCTATCATTTGTGGCTAGGTCGCTTCTGAAAAATAAGGTAATAGCTCAGTAGGCTTGACATAGTAGCGATTTTCTTACCTTTCCTATACATTTGCAGTGCTATCGAGTTTTTGTATTGTTTGTTCGAACGTTCTGACCCCGTGCCCCTACCGGACATCTGTGAAAAAGATCTTTATAGCTCGTCGGATTCCTCCAGTACAAATGCATACAATATTCTGATTCCGATAACAATTGTGTCACATATTCTGGGTCTTTCGGTAAAGTCACGTAGATAGGTTCAAAGAAAGACCCAAGAATATGAATTCCTGCAGTCACGAAAGCTTTAAGTCAAGATTTAATTGTGTCACACTTACCTACGCGTAAAGCACTTGACCACCTCGATGCAATTGAAACACACCGCGTAATCAGGGAGTTGACAATGCCCTTCAAGAGACTATCCACTGCTAGCCTGTTTCACACGTGCGCTAGGTGTACCGTACACAAACACACAGGACACACACACACACAGGGCACACACACACAGGACACACACACACAGGACACACACACACACGAGACACGCACACAGGACACACAGACGACAGAGAGACAGAGGCACTCTCACCGCTGTGACAACACCACACACACCACCACACTCACCACTCACCACACTCACCGTTGTGACACCACACACACACATTACACACACCACACACACACACACCTCCACACTCACCACCACACCACACACCACCACCACACACACCACACACACACCACACACACACCACACACACCACCACACCACACACACACCACACCACACACTACACACACCACCACACCACACACACACCACACCACACACTACACACACACCACCATACCACACACACACCACACACACACCACACACACACCACCACACACACCACACACACCACCACACACCACCACACACACCACCACACACGACACTCACACCACACACACACCACACACTACCGCACATACCACACCACAAACACACCACACACACACCACACACACACACACCACCACACACACCACCACACACACACCACCACACCACACACACACACACCACACACACACACCACCACACACCACACACACACCACCACACACACACAGCACCATACCACAACACCACACACACACCACACACACACACCACACTCACACCACACACACACACACCACACACCACACACACCACACACACACACACACCACCACACCACACACTACACACCACACCACACACTACACACACACCACCATACCACACACACACCACACACACACCACCACACACACCACCACACACACACCACACACCACCACACACACCACACACACCACCACACACACCACACACACCACCACACACCACCACACACACACCACACACACACCACACACACCACCACACACCACCACACACACCACCACACACGACACTCACACCACACACACACCACACACTACCGCACATACCACACCACAAACACACCACACACACACCACCACACACACACACCACCACACACCACCACACACACACACCACCACACCACTACACACCATACACACACATCACTACACCACACACACACCACCACACACACACAGCACCATACCACACACCACACACACACCACACACACACCACACTCACACCACACACACACACCACACACCACACACACCACACACACACCACACACACACACACCACACACCCACACACACACCACACACACACACACCACACACACACCACACACACACACACACACCACACCACACACACACCACACCACACACCACACACACACCACACACACACCACACACACACCCCACACACACACTCACTACACACACACCCCACACACTACACACAAACCACACACACACACCACACACACACCACATCACCACACACACCACACACACACCACACACACCACACACACACCACACACACCACTACACACCACACACACACACCACACACACCACACACACCACTACACACACACCACACACACCACCACACCACACACCACCACACCACACACTACACACACACCACCATACCACACACACACCACACACACACCACCACACACACACCACACACACACCACCACACACACACACACACACCACACACACACCACCACACACACCACACACACCACCACACACACCACACACACCACCACACACCACCACACACCCACCACACGACACTCACACCACACACACACCACACACTACCGCACATACCACACCACAAACACACCACACACACACCACCACACACACACCACCACACCACACACACCACACACACACACCACACACACCACCACACACCACCACACACACACACACAGCACCATACCACACACCACACACACACTACACACACCACACTCACACCACACACACAGACACCACACACCACACACACCACAGACACACCACACACACACACACCACACACACCACACACACCCACACACACACACCCACACACACACACCACACACTCACACACACACACCACACCACACACCACACACACACCACACACACACCACACACACCACACACACCACACACACCACACACACCACACACACCACACACACACCACACACACTCACCACACACACTCACCACACACACACCCCACACACACACTCACCACACACACACCCCACACACTACACACAAACCACACACACACACCATACCACCACACACACCACACACACACCACACACACACCACACACACCACACACACAACACACCACACACACCACACACACACACCACACACACACACACCACACACACACACCACACACACACACTACACACACCACACACACACCACACACACACACCACACACACACCACACACACACCACACACATACACAACACACACACCACACACACACCACACACACACCACACACACACACCACACACACACACACACACCACACACACACTACACACACCACACACACACCACACACACCACACACACACCACACACACACACACACCACACACACACCACACACATACACAACACACACACCACACACACCATACACACACCACACACACACACACCACACACACACACCACACACACACCACACACACACACCACACACACACACACACCACACACACCACACACACCACACACACACACACACCACACACACCACACACACCACACACACCACACACACCACACACACCACACACACCACACACACCACCACACACACACCCACACACACTCACCACACACACACCCCACACACTACACACAACCACACACCACACACACTACCACCACACACACCACACACACACCACACACACACCACACACACAACACACACACACACCACACACACACACCACACACACACACACACACCACACACACACACCACACACACACACACACACACCACACACACACACACCACACACACACCACACACACACCACACACACACCACACACACACACACACACACACACACACCACACACACACCACACACACACCACACACACACACCACACCACACACACACCACCACACACACACCACACACACACACCACACACACACACACACCACACACACACACTACACACACCACACACACACACACACACCACACACACACCACACACACACACACCACACACACACCACACACATACACAACACACACACCACACACACCATACACACACCACACACACCACACACACACCACACACACACACACACACACCACACACACACCACACACACACCACACACACACCACACACACCACACACACATCACCACACACACACCACACACACACCACACACACCACACACACACACCACACACACCACTCACCTTGGCGATGTCGGCAGCGTCTCACTGCAGGACGCGGTGCGGCTGTGGGAGTGACGTCACGGGTGGGGGAGTGACGTCACGGGCGGACTGTTCCTTCTCGCCATGTGGCGGGCAAGGTGGGGGGGGGGGGGGGCTTTTGGCGTTGAGGTTGTTTTGGTTTAATTCGGATGGGGTGGGGGTGGGGGAGATAATTACTAATATGTTAATTAGCTCAGACTCACACACACACACACGTGTTGTTGCTGCTGTTGTTGTTCTACGTCGTGAGTTAGATGCGCTTCCTGGGTTTAAATGGGGATGTACCATTAGCATCGATGGGTGGGGGGAATAGGGGGTGGGGTAGGGGGTTAGAGGGGGGTCTGTGTGGGGGGGTTAGCGTGAGTGGGTGGGGGGGTGATACGGGGGGTGAGGGGGGTGGGGGGGGTGAGGGGGGTGATAGGGGGGTGAGGGGGGTGATAGGGGGGTGAGGGGGGTGGGGGGGGTGAGGGGGGTGGGGGGATGTGGGGGGTAGGGGGTGGGGGGATGTGGGGGTGGATAGGGGGGGGATAGGGGGGGGGATAGGGGGGTGGGTGGGGGAGATCGGGGGGAGCAGGTGGGGGGAATAGGGGGTGTGGTAGGGGGTTAGGGGTGTGTGGGGGGGTGATAGGGGGGTGAGGGGGGTAGCTGGGGTGGGTGGGGGCCATAGGGGGGGTGTGGGGGGGGTGATAGGGGGGTGAGGGGGGTAGCTGGGGTGGGTGGGGGCCATAGGGTGTGGGGGGGGCGAGGGGTGAGAGTTTTTCAATGACCTTGCATTGCTGCAGTGGTGACCGCGAGCGAGTTTGTATGTCACGTGCGCCTGCGTCGTGCAGGGCTTTGTGCACTTGGGGGCCGTCCATAAATGACGTCACGCACCTAGGGGGGGGGTCAGACATTTGTGACGATGTGTGACGAGGGGGGGCGGGGGTTTGAGAAATGTGACGTCACGTAAAAATGCGCAACTTTAAATAAATATAGACAACACGTTCTACTTAATTAAATTGTTTTATCTTACAACATCAGAATGCAGCGGCACATTAAATACGCACTACAATGACAATAGTGTAAAGCGATATGAAGCATTTTTAAAAAAATGTTTGGGGGGGGGCAGAGCTTTGTGACGTCATATTTGAGGGGGGGGGTCTGGCTTTTTGTTACGCCGTGTGACGATGGGGGGGGGGGGGTCAAAAATCGTCAAAAATCGCGTGACGTCATTTATGGACGGCCCTTGCCACTACAGTCTGTTCGAGGCTGTAAGGAGGATCTTTAAGTGTCGGGGGGGGGGGGGGCGGTCTAGGAACCCTCCCCTAGATCGACTCAGCCTCAAACGGGTACCCGGTGCGGTGTGTATCAAACATCGCCGGCTGGGGAGACAAAGGCGGCCGGGCGTACCGCCGACAGCACTTGCCCCGACAGTCTGTTGATGGCCACACACGGGGGGAGGGTGGGGGTGGGATCTTTGGTGCGTGGTGCTGCGTGTCTGCAGTAGCTGCACCCTACCTCGTGACCAGCCACACCCCCCCCCATACTCAAGGGGGGTTGGTGGGGCACGTTCGGAATACGTCAAGAAGTGACCTTGGAAAGCCCCTTGCTCAGCTATTCCGTGCACCAGTGTGACATTCTCCGTATTATTGTTATTTTCAGTTTTAATTAACCCGGTTTTCAATGTTGGCGAAGCAGCAACGCTAGCTTAGCTGTGAACGGCCGATGGTATAAACACCTTAAAGTCGAGGCTTGACTGCAGGGATTCATATTCTTGGGTCGTTCGGTAAAGTCACGTAGAAGGGAAATTATAATTATTATATTATTTTATTATTATATTTTATTATTTCCCTATCTACGTGACTTTACCGAAAGAACCAAGAAGATGAATCCCTGCAGTCACGAAAGCTTTAAATCGAAATCACGTAGATAGGTTCAAACAAAAAAACTAAATATAACAAAATAAAAAAAATTACAATAATTTTTGTTATTTTTTTTAACCTATCTAAGTGACTTTACCGAAAGACCCAAGAATACGCCTTCAAGTCTTGAAGGATACACTTACTGCATACCTGTGAACCCCTTATCAGTGCTATTACAGACCAATTCGGATCTTATTTGGTCACCCCGTGACCCTTATAAATATCAACGTTCGTCCGACAAAGTCCCAATCACAAGGGAGAAACACAAACAAATAGACAAAAAAATATGCGTTGCTCGCATTGAAACGGCTGTACACCGTGTGGACCTGAAAACTAAATTTCCTTGCACAAAAATACAGGGTAAATCGTCTGGGATGACACGGTGTGACTTCCTCTACTGTGTGTAATGGCTTGAGTACAGCATTATGCTGCTTCCCAAACGCGTGAGCGTTGGTGAACACCGGTGACCAGCGTGGTGAAGTATGGTCAAACGACCTCTGAGCAGTGGATTGACAAGATGTATGTTGAACTTCTTTCGCACCGTACCTAGCCAACCGTGATAATTGGAGGTGCAGTGAAGGACAACAAACTACGACACACAAAAGCAGTTCTAAAGAGATGAATTGTCAATTTGGTGTAGTATATAGTATAGTGTGTATTGCAGTGTTTATTGTTGTGTATGTATGTTGAACTTCTTTCACACCGTACGTAGCCAACCATGCCCATTGGAGGTGCGGGAAAGGACAAAAACGACAACACACAAAAGCAATTCTAAAGAGATATGTGCCAGAAAGGTGACACGTGTTTTAGCAAACATAACGTTGAATGGACTTGTACATGCTGTATGCAACCAGCTTAACAGGGGGGTAGGGTTAAGCTAAAATGACAATTCGGAGGCCATGTGAACAATCATTTCTAAATCCTTTATATTAAGTTCACTTGCTTGCTTGCTTGCGCGCTTACGACCGTGCAAATCTTTCGGTCGTTTTTTAACCCACTTCCCGTGATCCAATCGAGCTGACATTTTTCACACAGACTCGTTGTGCGTGACAATTAATTTTCGTTAAATTTTTTTTCCAAAATTTTACACTTTTTAGGAATTTTTTTTTTATATTTAATTACCAATTGCTTAATGGTGGCAGGCAATCATCTGACCCATAGGTGGCAGCCATCTCAAGCCAGAGGACGAGAGGACTCTAGCCGCCACGCATATAAAGGATTTATAGTGAAAAACTTTGTTTTTACGAGTTAAATTTTTACATCCTGTGATTAAATAACAGGCTATTTATGCCTGGGCAGTTTCTATGGGGAATGTATAAAACGAGTTTAATTACAAGCACAGGACCGGACGGTATTTACAGGGTACTTAAAACAAATGTTAACCCTTATATATAGGATGAGGCCGTAATAAGTATAATATATATTGTCCCCCACCCCAAATATATTGCTATGAAATAGATTTCTGTTTATATGATTGTGGTTATGGTTGTACTTTATTAATCCCTAATCTCTGCCATTACATACAATGAAACAAGAAAAGGCAAAAAAGAAAAAAACAGAGCAATTTAATACAATACACTATTAGACATTATTGTAAAAAAAATACATCCTATGTGTTAGAGAATTTGTTTAAATTTTAGGCAGGAAATGGCAGGAAATTCGTTTTCAAATTTAGATTTTTTTTCTGGGGGGGGGGGGGACCCCCACACCCCCTGGAAGATTTGGTCCCCCCCAATGTTGACTCCATTGCTACGGCCTTAATATAGGATGAACTTTTTAATGGAACAGGAACGGATAATTCACTGTAACATGAAAACAAATGTATGTTAATTACTTCAAAAAGTCTACACTTGTTCACCATCATAGTCAGCACGTGCCTGGAATTTTCTCCAGGTGGTCTCCAGAGCCCGGCGGCATATTTATTGTGGTATTGTTGCAAATTTCTCAGAAGTGTTGACATTTTTCTACAGTACGGTACTGCAATTCTCTTTCCCGTGGTCCCAATGATGCGCATTCCGCAATCTGGGATGGATACCGTGGGACTGACCTAGAGCCAAGCTCCTGAAACCAAATGTGTGTTGAACTTCTATCGCACCGTACGTAGCCCAACAGTGCTCATACATTACCCAGATGGTATTGGCAGGAGCACTCCGATATCAGCTACGGGGGTCCTGTTATGGAGCATTATACATATAATATTTATACTGGAGGAATCCGATGACCTATACATTTATTGTTCACAGATGTCCAGTCAGGGCGGATAAGAACGCTACAACAACAAACAATACCAACACATGAGAGCAGCGCAAAGTACAAGAAAGGTAAACAAATCACCCAAACACACAAATAAAACTAAACCATCTCCATCCTTACCAGGCAAAGCCCACTGAGATATGGACATCGAGGTGTTTGCCCAGCGTCGAAGAGCCCTGATACCCGGCCACCTCGACACTGCCTTCTAGTGAACTTTATAGCTCATCGGATTCCTCCAGTACAAATACATATCCTGATTCTGGTCTTAACGTGATCCCGTGAACCCTACACTCACTCGAGTAAGCCCTGGCCAGGTCATGGACTTGCCAGAGGGCAGCAGAGTCCATATAGGGCAAATGTCCGGTGGGCTGGACTATTCTGAGGTTCGGTGAGCCGGTCTGTGGTGGGGAAATTGCCAATGTGGATGACGTTAGGCACCCCACCCCTTCCTCATTAATGATCATTAGCAGGTGACATCACTCCACATGGGGCACCCCCCGACCCCTCATTAATAATCATGAGCTGATGACGTCACTCATGTGGACCCCGCCCCCACCATTCATTAATAATCATGAGCGTTAATAAAAAGAAAGTGAAAATATATATAATAAATAACTATACTAAAATAAACTGCTAGTACGCTCACCGAGGTTAATAACCAGGCTACAGTCTACATTATAGACTGCCAGTACACTCACCCAGCTTAATAACCAGGCTACAGTCTACATTATAGACTGCCAGTACACTCACCAAACTTAATAACCAGGCTACAGTCTACATTATAGAATGCCAGTCCACTCACCCAGCTTAATAACCATTGCTGCAGTCTACATTATAGACTGCCAGTACACTCACCCAGCTTAATAACCAGGCTACAGTCTACATTATAGACTGCCAGTACACTCACTCAGCTTAATAACCATTGCTACAGTCTACATTATAGACTGCCAGTA